CTTCTCCATTTGGGCATGTGTGTACTAGCTGCCCGTATAAACCACAGGTCGTGCATATATTCGACATTCCCTCATAAGCCACATAATATCTCTCCCCGTTCACCATCACTGTCCCCTTTAGTGGCTTCTTGAGGTCTACCTCCACACAAACACGGGCAAAACGAGCTCTCTCAAAGTTCAGTGTCATTGCATCCACCTTCACCGGTTTCCCCAAACCCCGCGCAATCCCCATCAAGATCGATCGATGATAAAAATTTACTGGGAAATTTGCTAGACGAACCCAAACCGGCGTTGTCACTATGTCATGGCTTAACGGATCAAAATCCGGTGACCAAGCTTGCACCATAAGGTAACTCCCAAACGCTCTCCACGGTCCACCCGTTAGCGCCGCCAAGTACTCCGCCTCAACCTCGAACCTAACCATGAAGAATTTTCTCGGTAAATCCATCACATACATAGCCCCTCGTGGCTGCCATAACTCCTTGAGCTTTCGACTCATATTCGAGATCGGGATATTACGACCTAGCACCTTAAAAATCATACATTGTTTCCACAAACCATTTATCGCCTCTAAGACTTCTGTGCCGATCGTAATCACTGGTTCTCCCCCTTCCCCATCTGGAAACTCCAGCACCAACCGCTCCGTCACAAACGCATCATCCAAAACACTCTCGGGACAAAGTCTCCCACCAACACCACCCTCTGATACCTTCTGTGCCCATGAGCCCGACCCCAGCCTGTCTGGGGGCCTGTCCTTCTCACTCACCTCCATCATCGTCACCTCTCGTCCACCATCTTTCAAAACCCTAATATCGCCGTCGCCATCGCCCATCGCAAAATCTTTTTGTCTTTTTAAAAAAACTTAAACTTTATTATTGCTCAAAAACTTGGTTTACATAGAGTTTGCAGAGATCTTTATATAGAGATTCTGACAAGGGTACACATAAAATCTAGAGAAGAAAACAACAAGGTCGTTACGCGTCATTTACAAACGTTAGAGAATCAAAACGATTACGTAGCTGGATTGTGGTGGCTTGTGTCTCCGTACGTTTGACTGTTTTTGACTCACACTGATCCTTATCTCCTTTGTTACTGTTGCAGGTTTTTGTTTGAAGAAGGTGATCGTTGGTGGGCCTCGTGTGGGCTTCATCTCGAGCATTCAGCCCACCTGTCGAAGATTCTGAAAGAGCCAGAATCTTTTCTAATTGACTTATACACCCCCTTAAACTTGGGGTTGGTGGCAAATCAACACCGAGTTTGAACCTTAAGTCAAAAAAAGGTTGTTGAGCCAAGGATTTGGTGAAGACATCTGCAAGTTGTTGATGGCTTGGAACATGCTTGACAACAAGAGCTCCATGAGCAACCCTTTCACGAATATAATGAAAGTCCACATCAAGTGTTTGGGAACGTGAGTAAGAGCAGGATTCACCGTGAGATAAACCGCAGACAAGTTATCACAGTACAGCTTTGGAAGTGATGGTTGAGGATGGCCAATAGCGTCAAGAAGAGAACTTATCCACTTAAGTTCCGTAGCTGCAATAGACATAGTTCTGAATTCAGCCTCTGTGCTCGATCTTGAGATTGTAGAATGTCGTTTTGCAGACCAAGAAATGATATTGGACCCCAAAAACGTACACAAGCCTCCTGTAGATCTCCTGGTTTCTTTACAGTTAGCCCAATCACTGTCACTGTAGGCACGGAGAGTAGAATTTGTATTCGAACTTAGGTTGATTCCCATCTGAAACGTTCCCTTCAAATAACGAAGTATTCGTTTGAGCAAGCTAAAATCCGCTTCAGTTGGTGTATGCATTTTCTGACAAATGAGATTTACTGCAAACTGGATATCTGGACGTGTGAGAGTCAGATATTGAAGTTTGCCTGCTAAGCTTCGAAAGTAAGTAGTATCCGAGAAAGACTTATTCTGTCCTGAAACCTTATCAAGCTGAAGAGGTAAGGGCGTTGGCATTGGTGCACAATCTGACATCCCAGCTGAGACAAGAAGATCTAATGTGTATTTTTCTTGACTCAGAAATAAACCTTCATCATGAAAAAAGGCCTGTATACCCAAGAAATAGTGTAGAACTCCCATGTCTTTCATTCGGAACGCCTTATTCAGAGTGTCTAGAAGCTGTTGCAGCAACTCATCATTGTTTCCAGTCAATACCATGTCATCAACGTATAAAAGTAATAACATAACATCAGATCCTTTGATGTAGACAAACAAGGAAGGATCGGGAATACTGCAAACAAATCCAAAGTTGATCAAGAACGTGCTAAACTTATCAAACCAGGCACGAGGCGCCTGTTTTAGTCCATAAATTGCTTTCTTGAGACGTCAAATATGATCAGGCCTACTCGGATCTTCAAAACCAGGAGGCTGTCTCATGTAAACAACTTCTTTTAAATCTCCGTGAAGGAATGCATTCTGTACATCAAGCTGTTTTATGGACCACTTTTGAGTAACTGCAACATGTAGAACTGATCTCATTATAGCTGTCCATACCACTGGACTAAAGGTTTCCAGGAAATCAATTCCTTCCTCTTGATCATATCCCTTGGTACCTAAGCGAGCTTTCAACCTGTCAAGACTTTCATCAGCCCTCAGTTTAGTCTTGTAAACCCATCTACAACCTAAGACATTCTCTGCAACATCAGGTGGAACAAGGTCCCATGTATTGGTTTCCTGCAATGTACCGTATTCAACTCCCATAGCATCGGTCCACATAGGATCTTTTAATGCAGACTTCACTGTTTTTGGTTTTGGATAATTAGACTTAATAGTGAATAGTACATAGCGTTGATTTGGTTTAAAAATCCCATCCTTTGCTCTGGTAATCAATGGATGAGCATTGTCTGCAGTAGAAGTTGAGGTAATATGTGTTGACTGAACTGGGAGACTTGACTGAAGTGACTCATTTACTAGTGGTGAGGCTGATTGAGACCATGAGCTGTGTGAGCTCTGTGTTGATCCGGTCAAGTCTGTGTTTCCTGATGCATGAGAATAGCTGTTGCCTATAGGATCGGAATCTAAGTCCGTCGTACACTCAGAACTATTTCCTGCACTAGAAAGAGACATGACAGGAAGAGGCAAGGCTTGAGTATCTGTATCTGTAGAAAGAATTGGTTGAGCCGCATTCAGCCCACCTGCAAACGAGTCTGATGAAACCGGAATATCAGACAAGGGTGAGTCATGTGAGTCAAGTGTTACAGGAAAAATACGCCAAGACAGAAGACCATCGGCTGCTTTAGACTGGAAAGTGTGATACTTATCTGCAAAGGGAAAGACAGATTCATCAAACAGAACATGACGACTGATAAACACCCGGCCTTTAGGTGGATAGAGACATCTATACCCCTTGTATTTTTCATTATAGCCAATGAAAACACAGTGCAGAGACTTAGGATCGAACTTATGTTGTGCATAAGGTTTGAGATACGGATAACAGGAACATCCGAAGACCCTGAGTGAGGAATAGACCGGAGGTTTACCAAACAACTTCTCAAATGGACTCTTTTTATCAGTAAGAGCTGAAGAAGGAAGGAGATTACCGAGAAAACAGGCAGTAAAGAAGGCTTCGACCCATAGATATTGAGGGACCTTACTCTGAAATAGCTTAGACAAACCTAACTCAGTAATGTGCCTATGTTTTCGTTCTGCCAAGCCATTCTGTTGAGGCGTATGAGGGCAAGAGAGAAGATGTTTGATACCACAATGTTGCGGATGAGTCAAAAACTTAGTACTCGTGAACTCACCCCCTCCATCACTTTGAAAAACTTTGATCTTGTGTTGAAGTTGTCGTTCAACATACGTTTGAAAAGTGATAAAGACAGAGTAGAAATCAGACTTTCTTTTCAGAGGATAGAACCATGTGAACCTTGAGTAATTATCAATAAAAATTGCATAATATTCAAAACCTTGGTTCGAAATTACAGGAGAAGGTCCCCATAAATCACTGTGAACACGTTCCAAAGGATGAGAAGCTACAAACTCTGAAGGAAGAAAAGAAAGCCTACTGAATTTTCCCAACTGACATGCCTCACACATACGAGAGACAGCCTTATTCATGACTAGAAGATTACTACTTGCAAGATACTTAAGAAGCTCCTTATTGGGGTGCCCAAGTCGCTGATGCCACACTTCAGAACTTGTGCTTTGTTGCCTCGGTGAGTAGAAGGCCATAAACTGTGGGTTCTCCAGTACATACAAGTCATTGTGCCTACTGCCTCGAGCTAATATCTGCCTTGTTCTCTTGTCCTTTACCATCATAGAATCACAATCAAATGTAAATTCACAAGGATAATCCGAAGTAATCTTAGAGACAGATAACAAGGACTTAGCAATACCAGGGCAGACAAGAACATCTGTTATAAGAAGATTACCTTGAGAAGTAGGCCGAGTGGTGGAACCGATATGAGTGATGGGAAGGAAGTCACCATTACCGACCATAACAGAATCATTACCAGTGTAGGGTTGAGCCTGATGTAGCTGAGAGGAAGTGTTGGTAACATGAGTAGAAGCCCCAGTATCTGGATACCACTCTGTTCCAGAAGGTGGAGACGTGTCGGATACTCTCATAGCCGCTAGAGCCTTCTGAACATCGTGTGGTTCGTAGTCTTTGTCAAATCGATTGTAGCACTTGAAAGCAGAGTGAACATACCTGCCACAGATTTGAAAAGTTGGTCGAAGGTTGTTTGAAGTGAACTGTTGTTGAAAACCACTGCCCTGAGTAGAATAAGAGCCTCGTCCACGAAAAGACCCCTGATTGGAGCCTCTTCCACCATTAGAGAAACCACCACGAGAACCAGAGGTGTTGTTGTTGTAGAAAGAGACATTTGCACTCCGATTTGTTGAATCATCAGTCTTCTCAGTTTGAAAGGCAAGATGAGGAGTTACAGAATCAGTCACAGCAGCATAACTCTGAAGTTTGTCTTCAAAGCCCATCAACTTATGAACCACATCCTCAAACGACAGATTGAAATGAGAATCCATAGAGTTTTCAATGTATGTAACAATAGACTCATACTCTCGCCCTAGACCATGAAGAACACCAAAGATCTTTTTCTGTTCAGAAATAGGAGCTCCTATAGAAGCTAGTTGATCACACAAATCTTTGATTTCTCCCAAATACACAGCTAGTGACCTAGATCCTTTTGCAGTGGTTTGAATACGTCTCTGAATATCTAACTTTCTAGTGAGTGACACACGGTTGTACTTTTGAGCAAGTGAGAGCCATACCTCTTGAGAGGAGCGTAAGCCGAAGACTGACCGTAAAGCTTCTTCAGAGAGAGAACCAAAGATCCACCCAAGCACAGACTGTTCATTTTGAAGCCAGACCATAAGTTCTGGATTTGGAACATCAGAGAGCATCGAACCAAAACGGACAGTTGTTGTTGCTGGAAGCTGAGGTGTGGCCCCTATAACATGACCAAGTAGACGTTGACTGGACAACCAGATCTCCATTTGAGATTTCCACATCAGGTATGTAGAAGCAGAGAGCTTCAGTGTCACAAAGTGTGAGATATTCAGAGGTGACGAGAGAGGTGCTGGAGGAAGCGACTGCAGCGATGAATGGAACGTTGGAGCTCCAAAAAGCGGCGGAGTTGACAAGCTTGGCGCATTCTGTACTCGATCTGGAGCTGGAGGAGCTCGATCCTGGCCCTGTGTAACTCGAACTGGAGCTGACGGAGTCGGGTTTGGTGTAGAGCTCTCAGAACCGGGAGGGGTTGATTGAATCTGTGTGTCGCTTGCCATTGTTGTCGCCGAGGAAGAGCCTTGCGCTCTGATACCATGAAAGTTTGAAAGAAACTTGAAAACGAAGAAAAACTCAAACTTTATTATTGCTTAAAAACTTGGTTTACAGAGAGTTTACAGAGATCTTTATATAGAGACTCTGACAAGGGTACACATAAAACCTAGAGAGGAAAACGACAAGGTCGTTATGCGTCATTTACAAACGTTAGAGAATCAAAGCGATTACGCAGCTGGATTGTGGTGGTTTGTGTCTACATACGTTTGACTGCTTTTGACTCACACTGATCCTTATCTCCTTTGTTAACGTTGCAGGTTTTTGTTTGAAGAAGGTGATCGTTGGTGGACCTCGTGTGGGCTTCATCTCGAGCATTCAGCCCACCTGTCGAAGACTCTGAAAGAGCCAAAAGTTTTTCTGATTGGACTTATACATGAAATCCTATTCATACCCAAATAAGAGTAGTTTTTTATAAATCGGTTTGACTTTAAGTTAAAAAAAACTTCAAAATTTAAAATATATATCTCTGATTTAAATATATAATTTTTCATAAATTTTATGTGTGGTTGGTTTATGATAAAACTATTTTAAGTTTGCATGTCCATATTTCGATAAGTCGATAGTATTAGTTTATCGATCTAAAGCCACACTAAATAAAAATGAGTACGGATACACTTTTCAAAAGTACAACAAAACAACTAAAAACAAAAATTACAACAAAAAGAAACAAACAAAGGAAACATAAAATGGTGATCATACGATGTTACTGTTACGTATACTTGGATGTATTACGAACAGAGGCTATCTCGACGTCATCACCACCGTCAGCAACAGCCAGACTTGGCTGGACACTCTTGTAAGTGTATCTCTTAGCTACAATCACAAAGAAGCATAAATTTGCAGCGGTCAAAGCGGCTAGCGTCCAGTAATAGCGGTCTAAGCGGCTGCTATTGAGGTCTTTCCCTAACCAGCTCTTCCCTGAGATTTCCTCGGCTATACGATCAGTAACCGTCATCAAAAGATTGTTGACAAAGCTAGCCGCTCCAATCACACTGAGGTAAAACGCTATGCCTAAGCTTCTCATGGAGTCAGGGACTTGGTCGTAGAAATACTCTTGAAGACCCACAAGGGTAAAAGCGTCCGCTATGCCTATAACTATGAATTGAGGAGCTAACCATATAGCACTCATGGCCACGTGATTTTGCTTTGTGTAATCCAATCTTTTTTTCTCAACTAGAGCAGCAGTGATCATGGCGATTAAGGAGAATACCATACCGGTCCCGACTCTTTGTAGAATGCTAATACCTCTTTCGTTTCCCGTGACGCGTCTCAAAAGAGGCACGAGGAATTTCTCGTAGACTGTTATGGAGATGATCATGGAGAGAGCTACTAGGGAGAACATGGACGAAGGAGGAACTATGAAGCTTTGACCGATGTGTCGGTCCATGATAATGGCTTGTTTGATGAAGAATGTTGTGCTTTGAGTGGCGCATATGCCAAAGGCTAATGTAAAGAACCAGATTGGAATCATGTTGATGAGTAGCTTCACTTCTTCCACTTTAGTTACCGTTGCAAGTCTCCATGGACTCTCCTTCTCGGCCATAGCGTTCTCGCTTCCTCGGTCTTCAATTATCGCTGCTTTGTCTAGAAATCTGCAAACCGTATATCAATTAGTTCCATGCATGTATGGATGCTAAAGAAACCTAAATCGGAATTGAGCATGTACATGTCTCTAGTTATGATGCACTTACTTAAGATTTTTTGTGTTGGACAGAAGCCTGCCTTTAGTATACTCTTCTCTAGACAACTCATGGAGAAGAGAAGAGTCATTGGGACAACGAAGATGTCTTTTGGCAATTGCAGCGACAAAAACTTGCAAGATCGGGGTCAACGGGCTACCAGAAGGTGCTCTATAACGGTAAAACGGTTTGCCGATAAGGAAGATCAAAAGCGATGTAGCCATGACTACAGTGAGTATGATACCAGCCACACCCCAACCAATCCGGTCTTCGACATAGACGATGACAGTCACCGCGGTTAAAACACCGGCGCATAGACCGGCGCTCCACCAGTTAAAGTAAGACATTTTCATTTTTCGTTCTTTGGGATGGCCATCTTCAAATTGATCAGCTCCAAAGCTCTCAAGGGATGGCTTATGACCTCCAGTGCCTATTGAGATCAAGTAGATTGCAATGAAGAAGGCTATCTCGTGGGCTTTTCTTGGCTCAACGCATATTTCTTCATGACAAGCTTTCAATCCCGGTATAAACCAAGACAGTGTTAAAAGAATCAAACCCTGTAAAATTGAACAAAATTAAGACACAAATTAAACCATCATCTTTGACTAATCTAAAAAATTTACGTTGTGTATAAAGGTATATCATGAAGTGATCCGGTCTTGAGAGTGTGTAAAAATGTGCTAGTACACCAAGACACACAACAAAATAACATAACAAATAATATAAATAAGGTTTGTATTTAGAAAACGTGACCGTCTAAAAAATATTTCAAAACTTTGTGCAAATATTTTTTTTATTAGAAATGTTTTGATGAGTTGAATATAATTTTTTAAAAAAAAAATAAGGATCCCAATATTATTAAAAGCGGAGTCCTCTTCAAATGTATCAGTCGCACATGCTAAAAGACATATGGTCTTCATTTAAAATATCCAACAACGCTCCTAACATTTTGGAGTATTATCGAGTCGGTTTTCAGAGTATATATATATATATGCAACAGGTGCTAACAAAATAACTAAAAAAGTGTATATAAATAATGTTTTTATTAAAAAATATTGAACATGGTACATAATTTTCTCGAGTAGAAGTTATTACCATAAGGTAGATGATGGTTGCAAGTAGAACGGTTGCATAACGACCGAGATAAGCATCGGCGACGAAGCCTCCAAGGAGAGGCATCAAAGTAGTAACACCAGACCAGTAGTTTGCATTTCTTACAGCCATCTTTAGGTCTTGGTGAAGAATGGTCGTTAAGTAGACCACTAAGCTCGTAGCTATTCCAAAGTAACTTAGCCTTTCGCTGAATTCGATTGCTGTACACATATATCAAACCATAATTAAGATCATAATTTAAAGATAGTTCCACAAAGACATAATATCAATATTCTCTTTACAAAGTTTGATATACATACCAATGATGAAGAGTGCAGCTCTCCAAGCTCCGGTTCTAGCCCGACGCGGAATCTCTCCTCTACTATCGAGAGAAGAATCAAGAACCCATTCTTGTTGATCATCGTATGAATCTTGAATCTCTGTATCAATCTTGTTGTGATCCATAATTTTATGTGTTAATGATTGAGAGAGAGAGAGAAAGAGAGAGTGAGAGAGTGAGATATATGATTGTTGATGAGTGATGTGTTTGTGGAGAAGCAAGCTTGGTCCTCTTTATAATGGATAACATTCGCTATGTTGACTCTTCTTGTTTAGTGCTTCAAGATTCTTTCAATGGAATTTTCCACAAAAAAAGACACGCTAGGTTGACAACTAGAAGACACGTAGAGAACGTAAATACTATTCTTATTCATCAATAAAAAAAAAAACAATATGTACATAAAAAGCTTAAATTTAATTTCATCCGACTTTTCATTACACGACTATAACTTTAGGCTTTAGTATAAAGTTTATACAAACATACAGGGAAGAAAATGATAGTTAAGTTTTGGTTACGCTCAGATAAGTACAAATCTCGGTGTGATGTAGTACTCATCTTTTTTCAATCGGTCACTTTCAGATTATAACTTGTGAAAAAAAAAAAAATTTGTGTGGTTTTGTGGACTTCAGGAGTCTCATAAAAGACGTTGAAATTTCCATCAACTCCAAAGTTTAAAAGAGCTAGAATAAGATAATTTTACCAAATAAAACATGGAGTTGGAGACAGTAAGACCTCAGATTTGATCGATGCTTTCTATTTGTTAAAAAGATTACTAAATCAGAGAGATGTGGTAACCAAATTTGATTCTTGTTCAACAAATTTGAGCTACATATGAAGCCAGAATTGAATTTAGACTCAAATAGAAAGACGTGAAACCAAAGATAAACTTCAAGTCCTAGCACAAAAATAATTTAGCATGCATTAGTCGTTAATTATGCAAAGATATACAAGAATCTTGTGGATCCTAAGAAATCTTCAATTCATATGGATTTTGATACCTATAGTATGAAGATTCCCTCTTTGTGTCTATATGGAGATATCTCCCTCTTGGCTACCACCAAGATCAAAGACTTGTAAGAGTCGAGTGAAATTCACCAATGGTCCAATACATCATTACTGCCCCTACACAAAACAATGATTCCACAGTACCAAAGATGTTGTTCCAAAAGATCTTGGATTAACCGTCTTGTAGCCCTCTAGGATCTGATCCTTAATATCTACAAACTCTTAGAAACTTTTAAAACTAATGTCAATTCAAGAAGACAACGACCTATTGTTATTTGGTTAATTGACAAGTTCAATCCATATATCTTCTCGAAACTATTCCTAAAGCAAAGTTCGATTCTTTAGTTTCTAAAGCGTAATCTCTTTTGGAAGATAACAACGATCAGTAAAACTATTTACACTTGAAAAAAAAACATAATTTTCATTTTAAGGGTTTTCCTATTCTTTAATATACTTTACAAAACAATCTCAACTCCTTATTTAAGAAGTAAAAAATCCTTAATAATTAGGTAATATTGCCCAAAATAGGTAAGATTACCGATTGATGTAACATCATTTCTGATTCCCGCACGTATCTTCTTAAGATCATACCTAAAATTCAGCGATGACAAAAACATTCTGCAGCCACATTTCAAAGATATTTTTTAATCATATAGATCTCATCCTCATCTATTAATGGTGTTGTTAACCACCACCACAATATGTTACACGATCCATGTTGTACTCTAACTACTACTATAAGTCTATAATTACTCACGATAAAGGAAAAAAAAAGCAAGGAAGAGACACACTTAGCGTAATCATATAATTCCAACTGTAACAGTAATAATCACGTGTTAATTAATCAATTAGAGGGGTCAATAATGCTTAAGACTGTAACCACCATCCAAATTAACGTCATTATACGATCATTATCCTCTACTTCTACAGTGATCCATATAGCCTTATTTTCGAGAAAAAAAACGAATTTCTCATATAGATATGTGGTTAGGGAGTTTAATTAAAGAGATTTAAGTGGCTGTGGCTAGCTTATTGGTGATCATTGCCAGGAGAAAGTTGCGAATCTTTAGTGGATTTGCTACCAGAACCAAAAACAGCATTCCCAAATCGTGTATATTTAAATTAAAGAAACAATTTATGTTCAGATTAAGAGTCAACTCTTATCATGTATGATGAACTAATGGAAATCTGAGGCTGTGGTTGAGGAAAGTGGATTACCTTTTCCCTTAGTGCTGCTACCACCATTGACTGATTCCCATTATCTATTACTACTATATAACTAATCCCTACCCAAAGATATAAATGGAGACAACAAGGTATTTAAAATTGAATCTGAATCGGATTATTTTTGTACTACGTTATATGAGTCATCAGACCGTTGATTATTATATTGACATTTTTAAGTTATATATTGTGTAAACAGATCATATATTCGAAATCATTTTATAAATTTCAAATTCTTTTGTTTTCTATTTTGACCACATTTTAATTTTCAATAATATAGTAAATGTTCAATATTAATGAAAGATAAGAACATTGAACAAATGGGAAAAAAAATTTTGAATTAATTTTGCTGATAACAGTTGAATTTTTTCACAGTTCAAAAACACTCAGAGAAGAAAACTTCTAAAGCAAGCTACTCTTTTATATATGTATATATAACATATGCTCTTATATACTGTCTACAAAAACAGTGAAACCGAACAAGTGAAGTTACCCGCTGCTTCGTTTGGGTAACAGATTATCGCATCTCTTATATTTCTTGTTTATAGTGGAGTTTTTAAGCTAAATTAAGCAAGGATGACAAATTACTTAAATAATGTAGATGGGAATAATCAATCATGAGTGGTTCGCAAGAACTAAATTGGGAATCGGAACCTAACTATCAATTTGTGTGTGTTGAAGAATTAACCATCTGAATTTCATGTCTTTTTTTTTTTATCACCACCACATACAACAAACGTGATTATGCTCTTGGCTATAGGACCACAGATAAGATTCCTCGGCGAGGTCTCTTGTTGAGGTCTCTATCAAGAATCGATACCGTTTTTTTCCAAGCGAAGAATAAAGAGCACATGATGCTCGTGCTTATTCATATTTTCCTTTGAAATTTGCATTTTACATTAGAGATGCTTTCATTGACAAGCCGTTCTCCCTTTTCTGATCTAATAATCTTAAAAGTCTTCATTTTTATTCTTGTTTGAAAGTGATGTCTGAGTGAGAGAGAGAGAACTCTTCCACTACGCGGTTTTGTGTTATGCACTGACGAAAACAGAAATAGTAGAAATCAAAAATTCAAAATGGATGATAAGAAACACATGTTATAACCAAAATAAGGCACCAACGTATTTTGTTGAAAGACTCAAGATAGATCATCATTACCTTACAAAATTCTACGTATCAAACGGAGCAGGTCTACCCACTTTGACGTGAGTTACTAAACTAAAACCTCAATGTACTATTTCTAACATATAAATTTCAATGGTACTATTGGTGTAAACGTATGTTAGAACAAGTACTAATTTTCATAAACAATTTATTTAACACAATATAAATATTTCTGAAAGATATTTTGCAAATGAACATGTCCTCGACGAAAAAAGGATACACGCTATTTTAGTCAAACTAACGTAAGTAATTATTACAGATTGAGTAAAGATAATTAATCAGCACCAGTGGTCTAGTGGTAGAATAGTACCCTGCCACGGTACAGACCCGGGTTCGATTCCCGGCTGGTGCAATTGTTTTACAAAATTTTAGATTTAGGCCATTTTCCTTATTTTGCAGACGAGCCCGAAACTGTTTCAAGGTAGGCCCAATATTGTGAGTATTGAGAGACGAGAACCCCTAAGCTTGCAAGATCGATTTTCTCAAAAATTTGCTTCAGGAAAAAACTATCGAACTTCCAGAGAACACTTTAGACGGAATCGATGGCGACTTCTCAGGCGGTGATGGCTACGATCAAGTCGGCTAGACCGACTTTCCGCAACAACCACGACAAGGTCGCATTCGCTGTTCACGCTTTTTTCCTGACTTCCGGTTTCGACCTCACTGCCACCGGACGGCCTGCCTTCGCTGACGACGCTCTGTCTTCGTCTTCCACTCAGGGTTAGTATTGGTTTCATCTTTTTAGATTATCTTATTTATTTTTTTTATAGTTTTATGGAATTTTCTAGGGTTTAGGATTTCTGATTTGTTCGGTTCTGTATTCTCTAATAGAGGTTGGGATTGACGGGTGGAACGAATTCGATGAATACGCGTTTGTCTATACTAATCCGTTGAACAAATCGACGAAAGTTCTGGTCAAGTGTTTGCCGATTGATGATAAACTTTTTGTTGATGCGCTTGCTGATGGTCAAACAGAACCTGCCCATCTCGAGATAGAGTATGCAATGGTTTCTCTGTCGAATTGTTATTTCTTTTTTTTTGTGAAATCTTAAGGTTTCTCTGTCGATTTTGATTCTATTTCTGGTTCTTCTTGCAGAGTTGGGGATTATGTTGGTGAATTCAACGAGGGGAATTACACTGCACAGTACAAGAATTTTGACAAATTAGTGAGTAATTTGAAGAATGAGATTCTGGATAAGCTTTACGGAGGAGTAAAACCTGTTCCTTCGAGAGCCGGGTCCAGGTAATCCCCGCTTAATTACAGATAATTTATTGCTCATGAGCCAGAAACTGTTCTTAGATGCCTCTTAGTGTTTTAGTTTAGTGTATGTTCAGTAGGTTTAGCAACGAGCATATGATTTCACTTGTAGTGTTGCTAGGCTACCTTGGCACCGTAAATATAGTTTTTGTTGACGGATTGATCTGACTTAAGTTGCTCATTCATATAGTCGTTTCGTTAACCACACCAAAATAATGTGCAGAGCTTTGCTAGTGTCTCGATTTTTTTGGTGTACAAGGCTTTGTAGCCTTGGTACATGTTGTTCTCATTGTGAAATCACAGTTTGTGGGGGCATTTTTTGGTTGAGCCAGAATGATTTGTTTCCTAATTCTTGAAGTGTATACTAAGACATCCATCTTTATCTTTGGTTGCTTGCAGTTCTGAGACAAATGAAGAGCGTGGATATCACGTTGAAAGGCCTGCTCCACTAGACCCTCTGATTCACCCCTCAGTTCCATTAGGCCCTCAGTTTCACCCCTCAGGGTAATACATCGACTACTTCTACTTCTTACTCTTATGATCCAAGAATTGCTACAAATTTTGTTTACTTGCTTTCTTAGCCATAATTGCAATGTCAGAGTAAAGAAGAGAGTTCACTGAGTCATGACAGTTTTTTTTACCTATAAGGTATTAGAAAACTAAAACTTATCGGTTATTGACTTTGATTCTTAGGGTGCTACTTCCTCCGATACGGGATAGTGGTTTCAGCGATCTTATCCCCGGACCAGGTGCTGGAGCATACCCTGTCAGGTGTGTGTTATCTATGTTAAAAGAAACTATAGTTACAAATGGCATAAATTTCATTTCACTTGCAATGGTATTCACCACACATGTTTTCTTAATTATCTCTCACCAGGGGTGGTTTTGGCGATGGAAGCATGCTAGTAGGTATGAACCATTTTTCTATCATTATTGAGAAACGAGAGATTATCAGCTTACTTGATTATATAATCTGTTAAAACTGATAATGTTTGGTTGCAGGACCAAATGATCGTAACATGTTCCCCCGGTTTGGTGATCAACCTGACTACATGGGACCACCACAACCGTAAACTCTCTCACTCTTTCTTGCATCTTTTTTATTTCACGCAAATGGCACATACACATACACAAGCTATGTAGTTGACCACAAGAAAAGCCATCTTAACTGTTCACACAAATAATTATGGGTTTTCTGGTTTTTGACAGTGGTGTGCCACCTCCTGGTGCTCGTTTTGATCCTTATGGCCCGCCCGATGTTCCAGGTTTTGAGCCAGGCCGGTTCGGAAGGTAATAGTCTTTTACTTAATGAACTCCACCAATCGAGATGTGTTTTTTTTGTTTTTTGACGATGGTTTATCTCAAATCTTGATAGGCAACCTCCAAGAAGGCCGCATCCTGATCTTGAGCATTTTCCCGGCGGTGGAGACTTTATATAGTCAAAGTAAAAAGGCATCTGCAAAGAAAGAAGAAAATGTTGGCATAATATAATAACTTTCATCTTTATGTTCGAAAGTCTAGTAGTGGCTACGTACAGACAATAGGATCTACGTTTAAAAAAAAAAAAAAAGCAAGCAGACAATAGGATCTATTTGCTTTGGTTCTTTTTTTTTGTTCGGAATTCCCCAGCTCTGTTTATAACTTTCATATAAAATATATATATATAAAAAAGTTTTGATGTATTTGCGCATTTTGAAAATTCCCCTTGGTTAGTGTCTGAATCGGTAGCCATATATATACAAGACAATCGCTTGAATAGTTTGTGAATTTAGAAAAGCATATCATTATCTATTTCTCTTCGGGTCAGATGAATTTGTCGAAGATACATGTCCAGTTGTGTTTTGGTATTCATATCGAGACAAACTATTTTTTCTTGTATTAGATTCATTTGTTAGAGTTCCGTGACAAGGAACTATGGAATTTAGTTTTCTCAAATTCTTTATTTCTTTTTCCGATGAACATTTAGTTTTCTCTATTTATTGTTACTGTCAGGCTCTGATTTTTGCGACCCGTAGACTTAATTTTTTAGTCCTGATAAGAGAAGATTGAAACTGAATCGATTTTGTTAGATCCGCTGACTCAAGTGGCTAATCCGCGAGCGCACGAGCCTACCTGCGGATCTCTTTAAAATTACATGCTTGTCGCTTTGTTCAGGGTTTAGGCATTATCCTCGATAAGAACTTTCACCAGAATTATATGAAATAGATGTGGTTGATAGAGTGAAATCATTTCATATATTATTGATAACAAGTTCCAATTACAATCACACTGACACTGTGACACATATAAACATTATCATTATTATTCATATATAATATACGATACAGGGAATTGTAAGGCTTCCTGGGTGCAGGAGTAGTAAATCTCTAAGCTTCCTCAATCTCCTTCCTTCCTTAAGTCGTTCACACTTCATGGAAGTGTGTATGCTATTTTTTTTTTTTTAAAAAAAAAGAAACAGAATACAATTAACAAGTAGTAAAAAAAATGCAACATGTACCGACACTTCACGGTTAAATTCTGTTAGTAAATATATGAAACAAATAAAACGAAATCAATATTTTTAGTTTGGCGACATCTTTGGTTCATAACAAATCTTTCTTTTTGTCACTAATAAACATTTACGAGTGTAACTTTAGTCTGTATGAAAAAGAGAAAAAGAAAAAGAAAAAAATGTTGAACGTAAAATTTAGAGTCAAATTATGAGACATTAGATAATGATATCTTTGAATATAAAGCATAATGTAAAAATGTAACACCAAAGTAAACATTTATATATAAATACTTACGTCCGCATTTGTAACCGACGGGGCGGTTAACGAAATTGCAGCGTTTAGGGATGGTAAGGGCAACTTCCGGCTGGACGCCGGAGGCTTTGGCCGTGTCGGAGAGAAGAACGGCACAGAGACATTTAGGATTCTGAGAAAATCTTCTAATCTGAGCACAGCAACCTCCTGGCACGGCGGCGTTAGCGTCTTGAGCCGCCCCTGCACATGGAGCCAGCTTCATCGCCTCATTGTCCGGCGAAGATTTACCGCACTCACCTGCCCCGTCGACGACGGCTCCTACGAGGAGGATCATGCCAAGAACGCATAGAAATTTCATGGAAGATGCCATTATGTTATTTTGGGGAGGAGAAAGTGAATGATCTTAAAGATTTGAAAATAAAACTCGGCTTGTGTTTTGTTGATCTTGTTTGTTGGTTTGAATTAGATTCTTGAATGTGTGGTTTATATAGCGGAAGTTTTGTTCATATTTGAGGCACTGAAGGTAGTGGACTAAGCACTTGAGTGAGTGAGAAGGGAGGTAGTGTTCTTACCAACAACAGAAGTTCCAGGTGTTGATGTCTTAGATATCGCTCAACGAACATCTTAATGCTTAATTTATTTCTTATTTGGAATTATCAAATCGGATGGTGGATTTGTGGGAGTTGTGTCATCACCGACCTTGTTGCTTTTAGCATTGGGCTTATTGTTTATTAAGAACTACAATAATGAGCTTTTTTATTGATTGAAATCCTTTGTATTATGTTGAAACCCTCGGTTTTGTTCAGAGGGTTTGTTAGAAACCGAGACAAAATAAATAGAACAACTAAACCATAACAGTTAAGGGTTTAGTTGAGTTAGTAACGAGAAGCGGTGGCATTTAACCTTTTTTTGTGAAGTTTGCTCTATTTTGTTGAAGAATATGAGCGTTAAGCTCTTACTCGAGCTATCTTCTTCTTCATTCTTGTTAAGATATTACTTGAGCTATCTAATATCTTCTTCTTAGCTCGATTAGGTGACCATTATAGCACCAAGGGGCTCACTCCTTTGTCAAAGTTATGCGACAAAGCTGTGTTATTCGATTATTATCATATTTCATATAGTACTAAACTTTTTTTTCAAATGCATTTGATTAGGGCTTAGTGATATTTAGAACTTAGAGATTGGAATATTGCTAGAGCAAGTTTTAGATTAAGCATTAAGCAGGCCTGTTAACAGAAATATGGCCCAAAAACTTTCTCAGTATCCATAGGCCCAGCTTATCTCTCCTCCGGTAGACCACGGTGATAATTTCATAAATCTGTCTGTTTAAGCAAAGTCTACATTATCAAACTCTATTTTATACAAATTTTGACAACTGATAAAAAAAACTTGTGTCCATATACTCAGCGACCAATGACAAGGCATACAGTTGAGTCATTGACTATCCTTGTGATTTCTGTCACGCAAACTTATTATTTTAGATACACTGTACGAGTTATTTTAATGATCCTACCACCTCTTAAATCACATGGAGTGATTCCAGCAAAAACACCAAAAATAATGAAATAATTAGCAAGAACTATGGGATGTAATATATTGGTATGGAATTCAAAATATTTCAAATACAAATACAACCAAGAAAAAGGTCATTTTATTTAAAGCATAGATTGCGGTGATGGTTTTGGTAAAACATAGATAGAGACAGGTTTTTTTTTTCCTTTTAGTGAGAATCGTTATCCTTGACGACGGTGACAGGGCAAGGCGCGTGTTGAATCACAAAGCTACTCACGCTTCCCATTATGATCCTGTTTCAATACTTGAAATAATTATTCATTTTCACGTGGAAATAACTTCATTTACACACTTTTAACAAAAAATTAACGGTTAAATGTTGACAAGAATCAAAGATAAACCAATTATAAACGTCACCCTTGATAGTTTAGACAAAAAATCAAAATCAAAAGCTAAACCTAAAACCTAATCAATTGTCGTTTTCCCATGATCTTATCCACTTTCGTTGGGAAGTACTTGTCATATAAGTTTTTGTTTTTTAATTTAAATTGTTCTTCCTCTAAAAAATTAAATCTCTTTTTTTTTAAAAAAAAATGTAAAATTTATTCATCCAAAAACCTTTGTACAGAGAATGTTTTTGAATGTGGAATCTGAAAACTTATTTGAACAATTTAGAAAGCGATCATAGTGACCAGATGTTCTTTGGGTTAAATCTCGTCAACCCAACAAAAAAAAACATAAAGTTTGAGATGGTTTTAGATTTAAGCATGATTGACAAAAAAAAAAAAAAAAAAAAATTGTTAAACCATGGACTCAAAGCCAATGGAATTTGACATTGTCTTTTAGCTACAACGAATATTTTCAATCATGGATCTGTACCGACATAATTTATATCAATCGCCTTGAGACCCATTTATACTGTCGTATACGATAATATACTAAAGCTTAGCAATAATGACATTTTGGCTTAGAAAATTTCAGATAAAATGGAATTTATGTTAATAAAGTAAAGAAAAAACAAACCTTTGAAGGGCACTAAGTCCTCTGTTTCCCATGACAATAGAATCAAGTTTGAGCTCTTTAACAGCATCAACCAGCTTCTCTCTTGCATCTCCCCAGTATAATTTCGTCACTACATGCACCTAATTCCATTTATTATGTTAACCAAACCACTATGATTAATAGGTCCAAATTACGAAATAAATGTAATTTGATTAGGATCAAGAAAAAATATAAGAAAAACCTCTTTCTGCCTGGAACCAGTGTCGAGGATGTCAAGACATTCGATGTCGATTTTGACACCGTATTTCTTCATAATCTCCGGTTCCCTAAACTCCACCAACGGTATGAGAGCTGGAAGACCAAATTAAAACCGGATTAAACCGAAAATTCAAGTCGTAAAATTCGAAAACCGGGGACTAAAAGCGAAGAAGACTTACGAGAACCGGTTTTGAGCCAGAGGGCGTTACGAGATTCAGCGTCAGAGGATGGTAGAGTGTGGATGATGTAAAGTGTGTCTCCTTTATCTGCTAAATTCTCGATCGCCCATTTCAATGCGTTCTTGCTGCTATCCGAGAAATCCATCGCGATTCCGATCTTCCTGTCTTTCGGCATCTTTCTTGGTTTTCTTGATCAAACTTGTGATGAGTTTTTTTTTTTCAAGAGAGAGATGGTGAAGAATTGTGAGAAGGCAACTTCTTGTAGCTTCGAATGTTGAAGTTATAGGACTTGAAAAGGAGAGAGCGAGACACGAAGGATGAAGTTTCCTCGATGCTTCGTCCGATGTAGGATCCATCGATTTCATCTAAACCGTCCATTTAGTAAATCGTGTGGTAACATGAGATTGTATAAGACTTTTTTTATACTGAATAAATTTATTAAAAATTGCTAATAAGTTTAGCAAATGTTCTTAATACAATCAAATTTTAATTTAATAAATATTTTCACACAATTCGAAATTCCAAATGATTGGATTCCACTTTTGTATACCTCATTATTATATTAATAAAATTATTACAATATTCCATTAACATTTCTAGCAGTAAATTTTTTAAAACATCTATTTCTAGTAATGTAATTATACATTTAATGAGTTGTTTTACCGTTGGATTAGGATCGAGGATCGACATGTGACATGATGAGTTGTAAGCATAGGTTCATGAAAGTACTTGGTCTATTTTTTGATGCATATTTCTAAACTAATACTTGATTAACACTATAGCACATGTTTCTTATCAATTTCCTTCTCGTGAAATAAATCCTAAATAAAATGCACGTCTCCAGCACTACTAAAATAGCTTTTTTTTGGGTCCGATATCTATACTACTTAGTACTTACTATAAACACAACAAAGCGATAGAATCACTATTGTTTTTGCATTTGCATTTTATATTGGTTGATTAAATTATGAATGTAATAAATGAAAGACGTAAATACTAACCTAACTGCTTATTTAAATTTAATTGGTGAATTTAGAAGTATCAGTGTGGTTAAATGTCTTATAGTGGTAAGGTCGGAGATAGACACTAGCTAGTAGAAATGATAAAGTTTTCTTTTCATTTGCATCTCTAGTTTTCTAATTGATTGAAATGGATTATTATCTATGATACAAATACCTTTGTCAGGGATCAGAATCAAAGCAATTTACGCTTTAAGAAGTAATTGTTTTTCTTTTGTCACAAGCATTGAGAAGTAACTTACTTAAAGATGAGAAAAGCCACTCAAATCATCTGATTTCTAATTCAGGTTTAGATTCAATTAATTATGTTTTGGTTCTAAATTTCTACTATGATTAATTGTCTTTGAATATTAGAGTCTAGACCAAAAATGTTTTAAATCGAATATAAAAATTTGGAAATTTCAGTTCAAAAGTGAGATTATTTTTGGGAATATCTGGACTGCTTGGGATGTATGATTAGTACAGTCAAAGTTTGAGACATCTTTAAGACCAACCAGCTTATAATTTTTTGACATCTTGGGCTGAACTATCTCACATGGGCTTTTATTGGGGATTTTAATGAATCTCTTGTCCACGAAATGTGAACGAATCATACAGAATTGTGAAAGGGCTTTTTGTTGTTTCCATGTGCATTTCTAATTTCTTTTGATTGATTAAACTAACCCCTGTCCAAACTAATGTGAATGTGTTCCCAACAAATGATAAGTACTTGGTGAGTGTAAGATGAATATCATTAAGACTGAGGTTTTCGTTTAACTTGGTATAAAATCAAAGAAACTAATGTAAGAAAACAAATAAAATCTGGAAAATCGACATAATCAATGGATTGAGATCCACATAAAGAAGATATGGAGTCTTGGTATATCAATTTAGACCGTGATTATATATGATTTTTAAGTTCAAAAAAAAAAAAAAAATTTAGACCGTGAACTTTGAATTAGATAAAATGGATCACTAGCCGGCTCGCAAATGCAAACTTCAATTAAAGATAGTAAATTGACCACAGCATACAATTATCATGATATTTTAAAAATTAAAAGGTGTTTGTATCAAGAAAATATAAAAATGTTGTACAAAATGATGATTGGTGACAATGAGAGTTCATCACTATTGTAGAGCTTTTCAATACTGAAGTAGCTTACATTACAAGCAAAAACATGCGAAGGTCTCTCCCTCTCTCTCTCTCTCTCGCGAAAGTCTGAGTGTAAAGGTTTTGATAGCTTTGGGTTTGGTCGTCCTCCTGTGTGTATGCATGTGAAGAGTGGAGCCTACGCACGTGACGGTAACATGTGCGAAACCAACTAATCTAATCCTAATCTGTCGCAATTAAAGTAGCAAATTTACAACTCATCTTAGCGTGTTTTGCGCGAAATCCGTAATCAAAAAGACAAAGGACCATGGATGGGAGTTCGTACCGGACATATATTCGGTTTAGCTGTCTGATTAAATGTGCGGTCAAACTTATATTATTCCTTTTGTCAATTTCGAATATATTATTCGTCAGTTATGAAAAAATGTGCTATAAATTTTTCTTTTTAAGCAAGTTCAGTTTTGCAAATTGATTCGGCTTATTTCGAATTTCAAGATTTTTACCTTCTTACAAATTATGCGGATACTGATATTCATCTTCCCGGGTCTATGTTGTTTTAAGCTTGGTAACTTTTTGTAAATCAGAAATACTCAAAATGTTTCTGAAAAATGCCAAACAATATGCTAACAATATACTACTATATAACTTAGTAAACAGGGTTATCTATAATCTATGTATTTAGAAAGTCAGGACTGCAGGTTCTAAGCAATTTATTGGATCAACCAAGTATTTTTTGAAGTCAAAATTATAAAGAAATAGTTGAATATACGAGGAAACAAGGGAAGGTCCCATAGGTTTGTATGGTTGGGATTAGAAGCTGCAGCCAATTATATTTTTATTTACTGAAGCAAACAAAAAAACATATAGAAAAATATAAAAAGTAGACAAAAACAAAGGAGAGGAAATTAAGGAAATAAACAAGCTTAAGTCACGACCCCAAAAATACTATATATGTCGTTCAAAGCATGTATAGTTATATTTTCATCGTGATGTTGTTATTGTCACCGAAATCAGAGTGGACTCCACCACCCACCCATAAAAACAAGATAACGAGAAGCAATTATAAACATATATATATATATACGTTAAAATTACATTTTTTTGTCAAGATTTGTGTCAAGATTTGTGTCAAATTCAGACGTTCTCGTGGAGTTCATGTGATGCATGTTTGATGTTTCATATATGATGTCAAATAACATAACTCCTAGTTATAGTTTTACTCCCCCATGCTAATAAATAGGATATTCTATGAATTAATATCCAGGATCATACATATAAGGTATCGATAATGGAGTGGGAGACTTCACACTAAATAAAAGCATGGTCAATAACAAATTTGAGTTGGTTAGTATAATTAGTAGTTTGTCTTTCATCGTGATAAGTCAAAAAATATCTAAGAAGAAAACGATGTTGTAATAACTTGGTTTTATCTTTCGGCGGAAAGGAGAGATTGTTAATATATATAGGGGAAGATCAAGATCGAAGTCTTTCTTTCTGCTTTCACTTTTTAATTTGCGGAAATTGGGATCTTTGATTTCGGAAAGTTGTGGAAGGCCAATCATAGTAACATTCATTCTCCCGTCAGCATAAACCAAAACATCACCATCTCCTTTAACCTTTATTGAGCAACTTAGAAATGAAATAGTATGCAATTTGTAATATTTGGACTATCGGAAGCAAACCCACGTGTAAAACAACAGTCTATTATGTATATTTTTTCCTCAAAATTTCTTAATGCATATATGTATATTTTTTGATTCAATTAATTAATGTGGGAGTATGACATGCATGTAAATATCTTTCCTAATAGCTATAGCTTATATAAAACAAACTAAAATGATTGTATAAAATTGATATTGGACTCTTCTGCATAAACATGATTGTGAGATATCGTGTACTCTAGTGAAATTTGTGATTATTTTTCTATCGTTAATTATCATCATGCAAAACCACGGATATATATAACACATAAATGATATCAACTAATTCCTATCGATTGATGATATATACTTCAACACGCTATAAAAATCTGAACAAATACAGGTCGGCTGTCTACTCCAAATCGAACCGATACAAATTACTTTGGTCGATTCAAAATGAACTTTCGCTGAACTGAATTATGAATGGTTCGAAAATATCATCATCTTAGGAGGTGGATTATAACTGGTTGGTTGTTCAGGGGAAAAAGGGAGGTGGGTTATAAATTTCGCATCGACTATAAACTAGGATAGAATCTATTATTTGCCGTCCAAAAAAAAGGGAAAAATCTATCATTTACTATCCGTTAATTTTGAATTATAAAGGTAGACAACGAAAGATAATTCTTATTTTTTTTATTTTCGCGTAAAGCTGGGATAAAAGTATACGATTTATACGAAACGCGTATGTTAACCATTCAAGTGGATAAATACGAGAACATTTCCCTTTATCCATGTCTTGTAGTCGACTTAACATTGATCCGTCATCGTTTAGATACGTAATCGCCTTTTTAATAAATTTACGAAAGTAATTATAGAAGAAACCGTCTTATCATTAAAAATGTAAATTAAACTGATTAAAGTAGTGGGAAATGGGGTGGGATAACTTGTACGCGAAGAATCAGGTCGCGTTCCCTGTTTTGCCAAGTGGATAATTATACGGGCCAAATGTCATCTTGACACACCCAACTAATTAAATTATAACACGTGTCTACGCCACGTCATACCATCGTGCAGTGCAGGTTTTGAGATGCTTGTTTCCGTTTTGTTTCGGCACCGTTATAAAAGAAAAGAACCAAACGGAAATATTTTTTTTAAGTCACGATGGGCAAAACCGTCATTGAAACGTCTCGAGAAAGTACCATATCAAACCTAGATAAACGCGCTTCCCACGACGGACGGTATGTGGTGGTGTGACACCATATCTTTATTAAAACTACGATAATACCCCTGTCACTTTGACGACTACTACTAATCATCATTATTATTATTTGTTGTTGTAACGTTTTTTTTTAGATATCATCATTTTAGTCACAAAATGTTCGATGTACCCAAAGAAGAGACGCGACTTGTGTGGGTACCTTAAATGGAAAAAGCAAAAAAAAAACAGCGTTACATGTAGAATCTATACATCGAATCAAAAACGTTTGGTACACGCATCACATTCAATGCTTATACAAAACAAAAGGGATAAAACTCATAATTGACTCTGGACCCCAAGTTGAAGGGGGTAATAAAGTAATTCCAAACAAGGCACGTGCCTGGGAGGTTGAGTTCGAATGCCGGTTTTAACCCTATCACGTGCTAGTCGCTTCACAGATATTCCTGAGAGCGGGTCCCACTAACTTACTTGCCAATACCCCTAACTTGTTTTTCAGAGTAGTAGTAGCCTAGTAGTAGGCCCACACTCACTCTTTCCCTGTACGCTGTATCAAAGGCGCGTGGAATCCATTTTCTAACCGTAGGCGCGTGAGAAGGAAACCTATCTTCCCACCACCACCACCACTACTATCCACATCTTCTTCTTCTTCCTTCTACAAATACCTCTCACTCTCTTTCCCTCCTTTTCTAGGTTTTCGCCTGAAGCTGGGTCCCTTTGATTTTCTCAAACTCATTATTGAAACTTAACGAAGCAGCAACCTCTTCCGCTATTTAAAAATCCCCTTCCTCGATTCTCGTGAAATATCTCTAAAAAGTCATGGAGCCTACAAGCGTAACCGATGATTCTGAGTTCTGGCTTCCGCCGGAGTTTCTCACTGACGATGATTTTCTCGTGGAGAAGGAGAATAACGGTGGTGGAACCGGTGACTCTAACAAGTGCTTATTCCCGTATGAGAAACGTCATGGATTTGAGTCGTTTGGGTTGGGCTCGGGTTTTGGTTCGACCGGTAAGCCTCTCGGTGACGAGGAGAACTTCTTACCCGGTTTGACCAGGCAGATGGTTCAGTCATCTCTGGAAGATGATTTCTCCGGTGGATTTTGCGGTAACCATGCTTTTCCGGCCGTGAACGACATCAAGGTATTTCGACCTAAAACCAATTTTCAATTAACCTCTCTGTTTTCCTTCGATTTCGATTTTTTTTTTTGGGGGATATTGCCTTCAACTTGTTTTTTTTTTCTTTGGGTGTGGTTCTTCAGGCGTTAGGTACGACTCGTTCGCGTCTATGTGGTGCCGGAATCGGCTGTGTATGCCGGAATCAACGGTTGAACCAGAATCGCCAGTGGCGAGTGTCTTCTCCGGCGTCGTCATGGGATCTGTACTGCGCGGCGACGGAGGAAATGGCGAGGATGAATATCAACGACGAACCGTACGGTTACAACAACCATAGTGGCAGAGGACTTCCCAGTAGACATCCACTCGCCGCCGCCAAAAACTCCAACAACGGCTCTGGCTACCAAATCCACCAATCTCTCCGATACCAGAAGCTTCAAGCCATCCAAGTAATCAGATCACAATCTCTCATTCTCTCTCATTAGCGATTCAACATTTGGTTTCTGAGTTTTTGATAATATTGGTGCTGATTTTTGTTTCCATTGCTGCAGTTTCAGCAACTAAAACAGCAACAGTTGATGAGAAATCATCGTCAAATGGTGCAGCAGAGCAGAGGATTAAGAGTTGATAACAACAAAAGTGTTGCTCCTGTGGAATTGTCATCATCTGCATGGTCTAATCAGCCACCGAGGCGTGATGGTTCGGGTATGAGGGCCGTTTTTCTCGGAAAAAGTGGATCAACCGGCACCGGCGTTTTCTTACCCCGACGCGTTAACCGTTCTTCTCCAGTCACCGCCAAGACTCACGAGAAGCCTAGTAAGTTCCCAAAGATTTCGATTCCCAAATATGTATCTAGAGTTTCCCAACATTTATTTCTGATGAGAACTTATTGTTACTCTTATGGGTTTAGCTCTGGCGACGGTTTTGGTTCCGGCGAGAGTGGCGCAGGTGCTGAACCTAGACGAATATGTGGTCCAGCCAGTTGTTCGGTCTTCCCCGAATCTCAACGGTATATAACAAACCCCAAACAACCCTTAACGAAATATCATTTTTAATTTTTATAAGTAGTAGTCAATTTTATAATTCATTTCGTGTTAATCAGGAGATGCGTCGTGGAGACAGAGGAGCAACAATGGGATATTCTCGAGCCAAATGAAGATGGAGCAGACAGTGAACGAGCCTCGGTTGCCTTCGGAGTGGGCTTATTGACCCATTTAGTTTCCGTAGCTTTTGGGTGTTTTTTAGGAAGATGTTTGAAGAAAGAAGGGAAAAGCAGGAAGATAACAGGTAGTGAAATAGTGGTAAAAGTAGGGTTGATATAGATAGTGGGAGATTTGAAGGGTGAAGAAAATAAAGAAGGAGAAAGATGAAGATGTGGAGAAGACGAGGTTTTGGATCGTTTAACCACCACCATTGATGGCCGATAGAGGAAGAAAAGAGGATTGTTTCTTGGCTTTTTTTTGTTTGTTTTTTATTCTTTTTCTGGGAAATGAAAATATCAGTCTGTCACCGGGCTGTTGCTTTAGGATACCCTTCCTCTCTGTTTTGTTCTCACAACTCTTAAGCAATGGATTAGCTTAAATAAAATATTGTTAAATACTGATTTTGTTTTGCAAATATTAGATGGTTACATCATTTCTAAAATCCTTGCATGCGGAACCTATCTTATAATATTGTGGGATAATAAAATGGATCTCACAAAAGGAGATGTAAACAACCCATAAAAAGGTAGACACAAACCATCTTTAAGCTCGAGGTAATACCATCCCAATAATCTTGTCTTACAAAAAGAGAGTTTAACAGAAAACAAATTGAATACCACACTTGATTTTGATAAATTAAGATTAATAACTAAATTAACTATAAGAAATATGTACGTAATAAATAAATCACCACTTGGGAGTTAAGACCGCCACTGACACAGCAGTAAAGCCAGTAACCACGGTTAAATACAAACAAAGAAAAGTGATTCTATGATGTCCAAAAACCCAACAACATTTTGTTCTTGTTATACTCGCCTTGTTATTACTATTAGCAACAAAAACACAGCTTCTATAAAGTTCAAACTCATACTCGTAGTAAAGATTGAAACAAAACTAGTACTCCCTCTAGTTTACAAGTTTTGCGTTTTAGTACTTAATTTTGACACTTTTTTACAAACTTAATTTTGACACTTTTTTACATCGTAAATGCCTCTGATACTTTTGTTTATCGATAAGAAGTGTGATATAAATTTTAATACAGTAGCTTTCTCCGATATGTGAAGAAGAAATCTTAAAACTACATTTATTAAGAAACGAAAAGCCAATTGAATAATACTCCTATCATTGATAATCAATTAATATCCAGGTGCGCACGAACAGTTTGGGCACTGGATTTGATTAAATGCTACTAGTAAAATGCTAGTATTGTGGAGCAACGTGCAGGCTTTGTCCTTAGCCATTTGATATTACCAAAATAAATATTGTCGTCAGATTAATTATTGATAATCTCTAATAACTCAACATTTGAGTAATGGCAGCTGTTTTTAGTTGTCTTGGTTTTCTCGGTGATTTTATTAACGACTAGTACGGAATCATCATGTCTTATGTTTAGTTTTTAATTAAAATTGTCTTATGTTTAACTAATCTTGGACCTTTTAGAAAGAAGAAAGCTTGAGCTACACTAAAAGCTTCATGATTTGTAACAACATATTAGAATTAGCACAAGAATCATCCAATTCTTTAAACTTAAAATTGGTTCGAAGTGAGAACATTTGAAATAATCATAACTTAATCGCTCTCTTCGAGTTCCTTGACAGTTTCAACCAGACTTAAGCAATTCATATTCCTTTAGTCTTCAATCCACTAGCCTAATCTTCAAGTCACATAACCAACACAATACACTAAACCAACTTTTGTGTAGCCTTAACACTAAACCAAAAAGAAAAAAAAAAGCTTTTGTGAATTTGTGATCGAACCCTTCAAGTGATTGCCGTTCAACTTATGTAGCCATGACTCATAGCGTAAGCCACTCCCACCTGTTCGAGTTGAGCCGGTTTGACCAAACCCGCCGACCGGTCTTCAAGTTCATCCGGACCGTTTGTAACCTTTGCTGGAGATGGGACCCACATGTCGATGTTGATGTTCTGTACTTTGACTGCTCCACGCGGTTCGTTGCGGTTCGTTGCGTTCATTATTATAGCAATTCTTTGGATAAAATTTAATGAAACTCACTTGCATTTTCACATGACTCCGCATTTATGCTACTTTCATCTTTTTTTTCCAGAAACCACATAAAAACAAAATACTACTATACAATATGAATATTTTGAAGAAAATAACGCTTAAATACGTGCATGTTGGTCTCTGTATTCACATTTACAATCTCAAAGTATTCATATTTCAAATTTAAAGTATTGTCTTTGCATTCTTCTCCGAAACCACTGAAAAAGGCAAGATTAATTAATAAACATGACAATAAATACTAATATCCAAAAGCACGGAGTATGATAAACAACTCAGTGGTATTGGTTAGGGCGCGTCTTAATGAAAACTACGATGTTTGATATTTAAAGATTATTTTGTATTGAAGACAAAACGTATTTGTAAATTGTTGATTATAATGGAGCAGTATTCAAGAAAACGCTAGAGGCGTTAACTAAGCAGCGATCTTCCTAGCGTTTTCAAATTAAGAGAGTATGAAGTTGAAGTTGGTCCAATTAGGATGCAAGAGAATGAATTCGCTAAATTCCAAAATAATCTAACAAGCTTTGAAATGTATCTTTTAAATATTTCTTGCTTCTCACTTCTGTCACACATGTTTACTTCTGCTCTTGCAGACCAATTTATGAAACAGGTTGACCTATTTGCAACTGTCGGTCTCTATTATGAATCAATTATTGTTTATTCTAGATTTTCTTTAGTCTTGGATTTTCAATGCCTAAAGAAAAAGAAAAAACTTGTGTAAATTGGGTTCAGTTCTCACATGTAGAAAATTTCAACAGTCCACCATATTTGCTCACCTAATAACCACTAACACATCACCAAATTTTCGTTTTATTTGTTTGTCATACAAATTTCAGATCCATTTTTTTTTTTTTTAATTCTGATTGTTCATGTACACATTATCATCCGGTGGTTCGGATCCGGTATAGTTTCTTGTTAGGTAACAGCATTAGATCGTTGAAGACTGAAAAACACCCAACTACCATTGTTAGGCCAGTGTATAGGTCTTACTGATTTTTGTATTCACATTCAACATACCATTTGCAATACTGAAGCAAGCATAATAGATTTATGATTAATTAACATATCTTTTCTATTCTATGGGCTATGACTAATACAAATTGAAGCATGTTCAGCATTAAAGCCCATTAAGACTTGTCAGGCAAATTATATTCTGCAATCAGAAATCACTTATCAGTGTCCATATTAGTGCCTTGTTGACTTGTTCAGTCGATTATATCATAAGTTGGCTCACTAGTTCTCTTCTCGTTTTTTTTTTCTATCAGAAAAAGTTATTGGAATTATAAGACGTTTTTGTAATCAAACATAATAAAGTTTTAACACTATACACACTGTTTCTACGTTTTTTTGTTATTGAAAAAAAAGAAGATAAATCTTGATACAAATGGATAAATCAGTTTTATGTTATTCTAATATTCATCCATCTTTCTGAAGTTACTTAATTTGACACTTTACAAGAAAAGTGGATGTGAAGAACATATTTGTGTATTTTATATGTCTAGTAAAAAGCTTAAAAAAAATATTTTCTTATGTTTATAAAAGTCCATTATGATTCATGACCCGTCTCTCTTGGTTTCTCTACAAGTCGCAAGGTAAACCCGAGAAAAATTTGCCGATTCGGTACACAACTAAACTCTGTGTGTTTTTAGTTTCTTCCCAGAACAAGACCAAAGTAATGGAAGAAAAAAAATATCAATTAACTTATTCAAGAGTTATTTTGGTGGAAACACAAAACTTAATACATATTTAAAAGAGTCTTAAAAGCCGATGAAATTTGTTACAGCGTAATAATCCACTACCAAGTACCAACTGCTAGCAGAGTTCTGGAGAACTTAGAGAGGTATACATGACGCGAAAAACGGCGCTCAAGAACCTCTCTGTTTTACCAGTAATCGCCACAAGAACATTTACCATCTCTGAAGTGATGGAAACGTTTGTTGTCTCTCACAATCAGCTCCCTACCAATGATTTTGGACATGATCTTGATAAAGTTGTGGCAGTCCACACACACACGGAGATTCTTGATGATTGTAAGTGACTTCCGAGGCGGGGTACTTATGATACCATAAGCAATCGCTAACCTCTCACTGTGGTAGAGTAACGCCTGCTCTTTGGCCTCTTGGTCGATGTCATGCAGAACAGGCCGTGTGTCCGGAACATAAACCGCTGGCTTCTTTGCAGCCATCTCCTTGGCTTCATCCTTGTAATAAGTCAGATTCCTGAACTCAAGAATCCTACTTTTGCTAGCAAGCATACTTGTGTCCTTGAATGATTTTGGTGGAGGCGTAGGGATTTTGTTGGTTACAGCCTTTGAAGGGTCGAGATCAACCATCAACTCCTCTGCGTAATCCTCTAAATCGATATCTCCATGAATCTGAGCATAGTTCCTCATGGCTTCCCAAAAATCACCTGTGGGTTCGAACGGAAGGTCGCGGATGTACTGCTCAGCCTCAACAAGATGTCCACATTTGCCAAGAACATCTAAAAGACCCAAGTAATGCTCTGTCCTTGGACTAATCCCATGCTCGTTTCTCATCGAATCGAAATGCAAAAAAGCTTCCTTTATGCCACCAACAGTAGCACAAGCCAGGAAAACAGAAAGGAAAGTCTCCTCGTTTGGTTTCAGACCTTGTTTTGGCATCTCCTCGAACAAATGCAACGCATCGTCTCCCATTCCGTTATCACTGTACACACGCATCATCATGTGCCAAGAATCCATATCCTTATCGGCCATGTGATCAAACACTCTCTTAGCATCAGTCACACTCCTACACTCCCCAAACATACTAATCACCTTATTGTTCAGCTTCGGATCAGCTCTAAACTTAGACTGCAGGAAACGATCGTGTACCTTCTTGGCATGCTCAAGTGATTTCAGACTAGCACAAGACTCAAACAGCAGAGAGAAACATTCTCCATCAGGCATAGCTCCCTTATCAAGCAATTCGATGGCGTCTTTGTATCTCCTGAGCTTGCACAAACGCATTACCTCTTCAACTGTAGGAGCTATCTGATTAGGGGTTTGGTTTGGGTTTCTGGGTTGCTGCGCGTTGTACTGGCTCTGAGGGTTTTGCTGAAAATTCTGATACTGACCATGACTACTCTGATAATTGACTTGAGGTCTGTGCCCACCGTGTAGAGGATTCTGGGGAATCCACTGATTAGGGTTTTGCGGCGCTCTTTGATTGGTGTTCGTCTGGCTTTGAAAACCCTGAGAATTGAAGCCCGGAGGTGGATATGGCCGTTGCGACGGCGTATGAGGTGCGACGGAGTGTGGAGGCTGGTAGTAATCACTCGTGGCGGCGGATGTGCTCAGGTTTTTGATCGGAATTGGGTTTAGGGCAAAGGTTTTGGTCCCGGAGCAGTGACTGAAGGCGGATTGAGAAGATAACCGGGGAAAAGAAGAACGTACCTGAAGCAGAGAACCTATGGTGATAATCTTCTGGCTCCGAATCGCCATTAGAGAAGACATTTCTCTCAAATTTTTTTTTTTTGGGAGTAGTAATGGTAAAAGGCGAGACTTTTCAGTGTTAAAACCCTGTTTTTTTAAATAATCTCAAATAAAAAGTTTATTTTTTAATAAGGCTTTTTTTTTGCTATATTTTGATTTATTTTCATTTGCTCAGTTGTTGAGCTACCCAGTATCAAAGGAGAAACCAAACTCAGCCTTTTTTTTTTTTTTTTTTTTTTTTTTAACCAAACTCAGCCTTGGTTTTTGCTTCAGGCTTCGATATCAATTTGTAGATCTTCTACTCTGGGTTTGCCTTCCACAAAATCCTAATTCGAAAGTCGCTGCGGAACTCCTGATTTGATCGGCGATGGATGCGACGGAGCAGAATTACTTGCCCAAGAAGAAGAAATCCGAAACGGAAGACGAAAAGAGGTTCTATACTCTGTGGAAAATCTCTGCTGATCTAGTCGATTTTTAGATGGGTTTTTCGCGTAGGTCATTTAGTTTGATGTATCTGAGAATTCTATCTCGAACAGGAGGAAGAAAATCGTTCCCGGGAGCTTGTTGAAAGCAGTGGTGAGACCTGGAGGAGGCGAGTCGAGCCCCGTGGATGGTGATCAGGTACTAATCTGGCTCTCTGTTTTTTCGTCGATGATCTGGTTTGTCGAGAAAGAGACAAAGAGTGGTAAATTCTGATGCTTTTGTGTGTTTTTCCTCAGGTTGTTTATCACTGCACTGTAAGGACACTGGATGGTGTAGTAGTGGAATCTACGAGGTCAGAATGTGGAGGTGAGACTGACAAATATCTCTCAGTGGAATTTTGCAGCTGGAAGTTGCTTTAAGTTTTTTGATTAATCGAATGTGTTTGATATTCCATTAGGGAGAGGTGTACCGATAAGAGATGTTTTGGGGAAGAGCAAAATGATACTTGGATTGCTCGAAGGAATTCCCACAATGCACAAGGGTGAAATTGCAATGGTATTTCTAAAAATGTTTTAAAGATCACGGTCTTGATTCTTCACGGCTTAAAATGTCTTTATCTTTCTTTCTTTTTTTCAGTTCAAGATGAAACCTGAAATGCACTATGCCGAGAAGGATTGTCCAGTCTCAGCACAAGTCAATTTTCCTAAAGATGATGAGCTTCATTTTGAGATTGAGTTATTAGATTTTGCTAAAGCCAAGGCAAGATCTCATCACAAACTAAGATAACAGTGCGTTAGTTAGACGAAAACCTCTGAAAAATTCCATTTTATATAAGCTGACTTAAGTATTCGTTTCCTTGTGTTAATGTCCAGATTGCAAGTGATGATCTGGGGGTCGTCAAAAAGGTATGACCTTTTCCATATTTGTAGATATATGAATTGGCTGGGGGTGATGTATTTCTTTGGTGGCTTCGGAAAGGGTAGTGTAAGGAAGAATAACCAGAGGTAGCATGACATGATCCAGTTATTTCTTGTTCTTCCTGATGGCTCAAGTATTGCTTTCCTTTTATATGAAAGATTCTAATTGAAGGTGAGGGCTGGGAATCTCCGAGAGAACCCTATGAAGTAAAAGCCAGGTAAATTTTTGTTTTTTAATCATTACTGCATTTTGGGTCGAAAATCATTTAACCTTGTTTTCCCTTGTGGGCTGAAACATTGATTGAAATTTAATGTATTTTTGGGGTGTATATTAGGATTTCTGCTAAATCCGGTGATGGACAAGTGATATTCTCTCACACAGAAGAACCTTATTTCTTCACGTTTGGGAAATCTGAGGTGATTGTTTAGTTTATGAGCCATTTGTAGATTTTTACCCTCCATGCATATCCGGTTTGGTGGAAACATTGTTAAACATTGCTCGTCAATTAGGTAGGTGCCTAAAGGTCTTGAAATCGGAATTGGAACAATGGCTCGGAAGGAGAAGGCAGTGATATATGTTCGCAAGCAGTACTTGACTGAATCTCCTTTGATGCATATAGTTCAAGACCTTGAGGAAGTTCATTTTGAGGTTGAACTGGTCCATTTCATTCAGGTATAATAGTTCAAACTTATATAATCCTGTCTTCTTATGTAACTTTGTGCATTTAAGAATTGGGAGATTGAGTGATATTCCTCTCGCTTTGAAGGTTCGCGATATGCTTGGAGATGGACGTCTCATAAAACGTCGAATTCGAGATGGAAGAGGTATGTTTCACACCTTCTTCTTAACAGTTTCTTCTTCGTTTCAACAAAATGCGTGTTTTTATTCTTATATCTTGCTGGGGCATCTGCTAGACCCGAATATTTATTTTCTGTGTGTTTTGGTTTTATCCCCTTCACTATTCTGATCTGCAAATGTTTCACCAACCTATTAGGCGAGTTTCCAATGGATTGTCCTCTCCAAGACAGTCGGTTAAGCGTTCACTACAAGGGCATGCTTCTCAATGAAGAGAAGACCGTCTTCTATGACAGCAGGATTGACAATAATGATCAGCCGTTGGAGTTCAGTTCAGGAGAAGGCCTGGTCAGTTGCTCCAACGTTTAGAAACCTAGTGGAGTTATTTACGCTTTTCAATTATTATATTTTTAGGCATGAGGTTGCTTGAGATTATAATGTCGTATTGGCAGGTGCCTGAGGGATTTGAGATGTGTACTCGTTTGATGCTACCTGGGGAGCTTGCTCTTGTTTCATGTCCCCCTGATTATGCTTATGACAAATTTCCGAGGTCATACTCGTAACGGTGTAAATCGCAGTGAACATGATAGTGTATAAACTCTTAGTGGAGAAATAACCGCATTTTGATTGTTTTCTCATTTGACAGACCGCCTGGCGTTCCTGAAGGGGCACATATTCAGTGGGAGATCGAACTCCTTGGTTTCGAGACGCCAAGAGTAAGTTAGTCTAGTGTTGAGGCTTACCGTAGGAATTGTAAAACCTTCCATTCTTATGAGTCCAGGGATTCTTGTCACAGGACTGGACAGGTTTAAACTTTCAGAGCATCATGAATGAGGCAGAAAATATCAGAAGCACGGTATGAATCGAATGTTCTGCTAATATATATACATGTAACCTATACTCCTAGATTGTACCATTACAGAGTTTTGTATTGTGGACTTAGGTGACACCAGATTATCTAACGTATAGCTCTTCTATGCTTTTGGTTATACTTTGAACTTCAGGGTAACAGGCTGTTCAAAGAAGGAAAATTTGAGCTCGCTAAAGCAAAGTACGAAAAGGTAATAGAGTCAAAGAAACGGTAGCCAATCCAGTACCATTAAGTTCAGTATTAGCAATTGTTTCCTTGTGTCTGAGCGGTAAACCAACAAACAGGTGCTCCGGGAATTTAATCATGTGAACCCACAAGATGACGAGGAAGGAAAGGTATTTGGTGACGCAAGGGTGAGTTTATCTTCTCATTACGCTTGTGGTCATAGATATGTCTTAGATTTGATAATAGTATCAAGTATTGACAAACTCTTCTATCCTTGCTCTGCTGAAAATTGAAGAATATGTTACATCTGAATGTTGCGGCTTGCTTGCTTAAAACAGGAGAGTGGAGAAAGTCTGTAGAGACATGTAATAAGGTAACAGTCAATATACGGAATCTCTTAAAGGGCTTAATTCTCGAGTCTCAGAAGTTTAGATTTGTGAGACCTTTTGTGCAACAATTTCCAAACAGGTCCTAGAAGCAAAGCCTGGCCATGTGAAGGGTCTCTACCGCCGCGGAATGGCTTACATGGCAGGTGCAGAGTATGAAGACGCTAGAAATGACTTCAATATGGTAGATTATGCTTAAATTGCTTATTATATAATCCTATCCATAGATTTGGAAATCTGCTTACTAACGTGACTTCACATGGCTGTGTTGTAGATGATCAAAGTGGATAAATCATCAGAAAGTGATGCCACAGCCGCACTTTTGAAACTGAAGCAGAAGGAACAGGTCAGTGCTTGAGTTCAAAAGGCTATTAAAGATTTCATAATGTTTTGCTGATTTCAATACAAGATTGTCTGAATTGTCTCATGAATTGTCTCATAAGCTCATCTTTTGGACGTCACAGGAAGCAGAGAGCAAAGCTAGAAAACAGTTCAAAGGATTATTCGACAAGAAACCGGGGGAGATAACCGAAGTCGGTTCAGAAATAAGAGAGGAGCCTAAAACTATAGAAGAAGTAGATGAGACAAAAGATAATGATGATGATGATGATGATGAAACAAAGGAAGAAGAAATAACGACCACGTTGAGCACGGAAAGGAAGAGGAAATGGTCGGAGAAAGCCTGGCTGATTCTGAAGAATGTGATACTTCAAATCGGAATCCAGCTCGGTGTTGCTCTGTTAGGTGTTTTGATTTTCCAGTTTGTCAGCGCCAGATTTACATGATAGAGAGCTTATGAAACCAACGGTACTCACTTGTCCTCCTACCAAACGGTCTATTAGTACTCTAATACTCAGAAAATGTAAAACTAATGGATTATTATATAAGGCTTATAAGCTTATTATATAGATTCAAATAATATTTACTCAAGATAGTGTCCTTTTTGCACCGCAACTCGATCCTCTTGCTTCCTGAACTGATTGATGATTGTTTCTTTTTTTTTATTAAAATCCTATGAGATGACAAGAAAAAAAATGATGTAATGTACATTATGGATGTGTTCATGAATTTTTTTGTAGTCTTTCATCACTAAGAAAATTTTATCATCAGTCATGCAAATTGTTTTAAGTTTGTTGGTTCTAACATTTTTGACTTTTGGAGATTCAAATAATCAGCATCATAATTGCAACGGTTGCCATAGATAAGATTATCCATGTATAAAATGAAAATATTAAATGTTGCACAAAAAAATTTAATGATTGAAAAAACAGAACATCCAAAGAATTCCAAACACAACATCCAACTTTCCAACCATCAATTTAGCAAAAAAAAATAAAAAAAAACTTTCCAACCATCACTAATTTTAATTTAAATATAAAAATAAAATAAGCTGATAAAAGTCGCCATTTTCTTTTAAAAAAATCAACCGTTTTCTCCGTGTTGAACTCGCGTTTTATCGTACACCCAAACGATGCTTAAATGTTGTATTTTTGCAAAACGCTGATTTTTCTTCTCTCAGAGATTTTTGGGGCAACGGAGAAATTGTTTTAGGGCTTTGTTGATCAAACGTTGTCTCAGATCTCTGCTAAAGGAAAATCCTTTCTTACTAAAATCTCCTTGTAGATTCTTCAATCTCCTCTTTTGATCTCTTGGGATTCTCTTCTGGTAATCACAGTCGTTCTCGTTTCAAACCTTTTCCGATATTCAAATCGATCGTTGAATCAAGCGGCGTTTACACCGACTTGGGTTCGGACGTTCCGGTGAAAAAGCTCGGTTCCACAGATAATTTGAAATTAGGAGGTGAAAAGTTTGAATTTTGTTGGGTGTTTTTATCTGGTTTTGATGATGTTGACCCAACCTGTTGGGGTCTAAAGTGTTATGGAAGTTGAAGAAGATCAAAGAAAAAGAAGATAATGACGCTCTACATTCGCCGCGAAGCTTCTAAGGTTCTTCGCTTAAATTTTGCTTTCCGATTTTGGATCGTGAAATTACTTTGGATAATATGCTGATTTTGGTAAATTTTGTTTCGTTGTTTGTAGCTTTGGAAGAGAGTTTTCTCGGAATTAACGACGGAGATTGGTCTTCTCGTTGAGAACTGGAAATACCTTCTTGCTGGTCTTCTCTGTCAGGTTTTCATTTTTTTTTAAAATTGAGCTTTCGGATAAGTTTGATATTTGATTTCTAGAGCTGCGTAGAAAAGATCCAATGACTCGCCGTGTGATTTGAATTCGATACCTTTTTTGCTCTTAGTGTTGAATGATGATTACCCTTTTGCCAGATTCCGATTTTGAGCAAATCCTTATTTTGGTTTTCTTTTGGCTTAAGTCTGACACTGAAAACGTAGGATACGGTAAAAGGTTATGATCATGGTTTGTTATACCTATAGTAACTTTATGCCTTGGGAGAGAAATTAAAGCACAAGACTTTTAGTCTCAGATTTTTGTTTGCTTTGACACTTATGAATTGATTTGTTATCATGTGCAGTATATTCATGGTTTAGCTGCTAGGGGAGTTCATTATATTCATCGGCCAGGACCTACGCTTCAAGATCTTGGTTTTTTTGTTCTTCCGGTTTGTCTCGATTTTTTTCTGCTAGTTGGTTGATCATTTGTTTTTCAGAATGGATACCATATTAAGCTTTTCTTGGTTTTTCGATTCTTAGGAGCTTGGTCAAGATAAAGGCTACATAAGTGAAACTGTGTTCACTTGTGTATTTGTTTCGTTTGTCCTGGTGAGTTTCCTCAGGATTTCAGTATTCATGTCTGGTTCTGTTTAGAACAATCACCTGTTATATGAACGGTTTGTTTCACCTTAAAAATTGCAGTGGACTTTCCATCCATTCATCAGGAAAAGCAAGAAGATATATACTGTGTTGATTTGGTGCAGAGTACTCGCCTTCTTAGTTGTAAGTACCCTTTGCCCTTTGCTACGTAGTTGTAATTCAAGGCTTGCTCGTCTTGAAGTTTTGTTTCCAATTCTTTTTGTTAACAGGGTTGTCAGTTTCTCCGTGTAATAACATTCTATTCGACTCAGCTTCCTGGTCCTAACTATCACTGTCGAGAGGTAAAGCGAACTAAAGATCTAACAAGTAGCGTATCCATCAATATTCATGTGTTTATTCTAGTGAGTTTTTTGTGTTACTTACAGGGTTCTGAGCTTGCCACGTTGCCACGGCCACATAGCGTTCTTGAGGTGCTCTTGATCAACTGTGAGTTTTAAACATTTTTTCTTTCCCTCAACACATTTTCTCTGATGTACACTTGTTCTCGTTCTTATGTGATGATACGCTGATCTTGTCAGTTCCTCGCGGGGTGATATACGGATGTGGAGATTTGATTTTTTCATCGCATATGATATTCACACTAGTCTTTGTCCTCACTTACCAGAAATACGGTTCTAAAAGGTACAAACTTTCTCTAGAAATGTCATAAAACGCCTTAAACAATAACCGGAAAGTCAAACACATCTCTCTTTATTAGCTTACAAATGTCTCTCTTTTTAGGTTCATAAAGCTGTTAGGTTGGGTCATAGCTATGTTGCAAAGCCTATTGATTATCGCGTCGCGGAAACATTACTCAGTCGATGTTGTCGTCGCATGGTATACTGTGAACTTGGTTGTGTTCTTCCTCGACAAGAAATTACCAGGTCTGATCTTTTTACTTCAAATTTTTACTTGCAATGCAAGAGACCCCCAAGATTCTCATATGATATTGTTTTCATTAACAGAATTACCTGATCGGACATCGGTGCTACTCCCTGTGAGCTCGAAAGACAGAATCAAAGAAGAGAATCACAAACTCTTGAACGGGAATGCAGTTGATCCTGCAGATTCAGGGCCATGCTCATGATATGACAATGGAAACACTCGAGCCTTTGTGAATATAATTTTTTTTTTTTTGTGATATATTTTGAAATTGAAATTTTGTTATAGTGATAAACTTACTCTAAACTATTAGACATAAATCCAATTCAACATATATAAAACATCTTTCGTTTTTTTATACTTTTGTTTTTAATGATATTTCTTTTGAATTAAGTTTAGTTAATTAGAAGATATTTGTAAAGCTTGTTATCATAATTCATTTTAATATATCATTAAGAAATTAAAACAAAATGATTTTTTTATAAATTCATAATGTATTTTTAAATAAAATTAAAATATAGTATTGATTGAGCAAAATATTATATCAATAAGACAATAAGACTTTTCTTTCAGTTTTTACACATTATGTTACATACTCGGCTTAAGTTAAGTTATAATGATAATAGATCCTGGAAAAAGGGGGAAACGAGAAACAGAAATGCAGTTGTAGTTTGTACATGTCCAGTTTCTTGCTTTTCAAGCATCTGATGTTTGTGTGGTGATTTTAGGGTTTGTACAACTTAACAAAGGATATTGGTAACACGAATACATATATAACCCTACTACATGTTCACCGTCTTTAGCTGTGTTCAATGTTCAAAATCAATCAAATCCTCTTTCACACCATATTTCCTAAAATCTCAATTTAAAGTTATTTGTCATTTACCAGCAGCCTGGAAAACCCGCCAAATTGTACAGCATTTTTTACATAGCCAGAGTAGAACACACAGAAACTGCCTCCAAACTTCTATAATCTTTTTGAGACTATGATACAAAATTTTCATTTACTCATTTTTATAATTCACAAAATAATTTGCTATTCAAACTGTTTGTTAACAGTCAATAGGTTTTATTCAACCATTCATTTAATTAAAATAGCATTCAACGATCTTAATCGCACTATTTAGATTTTAGTTGAAAATCAAAACGTATATATAAATATTACCATGTAGAATATGTATACTGAGGGAGATAAAATTAGTTGGGGGTGAATAATAACAAACGGAAACATATGGGGTGAAGAATGGAAAACATGAAAATGTTGTTACGCAGGGAAGAGGGAACGTGGCATGTGTCGGTATGGAATGTGGTCAAAGGCACATCCCATGTGGGCTCACATGTTTACATCCTCTCAGGACACAACTTTGTCACCAAAAACTCTCTGTCTCTATCCTTTCTTTTTTCTTTCCTTTTCACATTTTCGGTGCTAAAAGAATATAAAAAAATTTGTCCCTGAACTAACCAATTGTATTCTCGAATATAAGGAAATGTATTCTCGAATATTTCGATAACTTCTAATCAAATTTGTTATAGGCATGGCAACTTCAATAGATCATGCTAACTGAATATATATAAACATATGTTAAGAAATGCTCAGATATTCTGATAGTTAATCACTGAAAATGTTATCAAATACTCTAATAGTTCTTTAGTGTATCAAACGATAACTATTGGGTTAGAGACCCTACCGCTCGAATCTAATATTTTGGACCCATTACATGAATGTCAATAGAAAGTAATCTTCTTTTATTTTTTTCTTTGTGGTTAAATATTGTTTCTTAGGATTCGATGAACAACAAAAAAGGATTCGATATCCCATTCTGAATATTCGTTTAGCAACAACATAATATACAAACCTAGTGACATAGAAATGCACAAATATGATAAACATATATGATATATGGTTGGTATGAATGAAATGATAATAATCATTCTTCTTCTTTTTTGACATATGATAATGATCACTGTTTTCATGTCACACAAACGAGCAATTCCATATTTCATTATTCATGATGCCCTTTCTTTCATTCTTTGCTGGAAAATCTGTTTTTCTTTTTAATTGTTTTTTTTTTGTCGACTTCTTCCTTTATGTACTAGTGTAGTATTTGAGTGATTATGAGGAAGATGGTCCTATATGGTACCATATGTGGGTAATAAAATTATTTTAAATGCAGAAAGAAAGAAACATTATGATTATACCAACTGTCTGGATATGGTGTGTTTTATGAAGTTCTTGTTTTCAACTTTGTTTTTATTTATTTGTGTGTTTTAGGACCCTATATATATATATATATATCTTTTATTGTTTATGAAAAAAGGTCACCTTTTGTGAGCAGTTGTGGTCTGGGAAAACATTTAACCACTTGTGTTTGGACAAGGATGACTACATAACAGAAAAACGGGCCTCTAACTAATTCTATATTCTCAATTTGAAATGATGGCTACATAAGAAAATTTCAAAAAAATATAAAAGAAAGAAACACTATTCAATTCAGACCAACCAATAAAAGACCAATCGAACTATAGAAGTGTAAAGTGGAACTGTGGAAGTGATTTAATAGCGACTCTAATTTACCAACGCAAACATTCAGTAAGAAAGCTAACATAGTTGATTAGAGTTTGGCCTTTGTTGTAACTTAGACTGGATATACGCATGACATTTCTAAATATATGTGGTTTATTCTAATTATTTCATATCCTTGTTCATTTTTTCATCTTTGTCATTGATCAAAACCTGAAAAATCATAAATACATGTATCTTAAACATTTTATCTGTTGAAATTTGAAAAGAGCGAGATATCAACACATTTGAAACATTTCTTTACCAAAACAAGACATATTTATAAATCGATATAAGTTGTTCGCATAGATACCGAAAAGTCATCTTGTTCATAAAGTAATTAATTATTTGTGAGATTTATATCTTGATGCATTACAAGAAAACAGACGTGTTGAACACAAGCATGAAGCACCAAGACATGTTAAGTCTCGCCCAACATTTTTCATACTGTCTACTGAGACTTCTTTAATACAGGTTCTCAAAAGGAAAATGCCCAAGTCATTTGTGATTGTCATGGCACGCATCTCTATAGGTCATTACGTTCCAAATGTGACTTGTTTGATGATTGTATAAATTTGAGTGTTTGACTCTTTTTGAAGAGAAGAGAAAGAAGATAACGTCAACCTTTAGTGTTTTTAGTTCATCGTAATAGATCCGTTAATCTTTTCTAAACAAACTTAACATATGCTTTTACAGACACTATTTTCCACTTTTTTTTTGTTGTTGAAGACCTATCAAAAATGTAGTCTCCAAATTTAACGTCAAAAGATATTTTCTTTTTTTGATAAACCTTATCGGTTGATCCGGTCGGTTCCGGTAGGAACGCACCGAAGTGCTATAATGTGAACTTTTCCTTGGTTCAACGGTTCAACGAACACCATGAGCTTCGAATAAACTCGAGTCAACGGGCCATGAGATCCATGAGATCCAAATGGGCCACCACACTACATGTCCCGAGTTTGAAATGCCTTCCGACTAATGCCAGGGATAGCTAAATCGCCTATTACTGGACTACCATGTAAATTGCTTGGGCATTTAGCCCAAACCCAGACTTTCTACATAATTGTGTTTTTATTTCCAGAGAGAATCGAACCTGGGTGAAGTGGTGTAACACCCCCACACATCCCACACACCCCACAAAAGATATTTTCTTAGTTAAAAAAAACCTTAGCTTAGTTATATTTTTGAGGCGGGTTTTCTTGTTTGAAATCTGTAATTTAAGATTTGTAAAAACTATTACAAGTGTGAATTAAGAAAACATAATGCTTCAAAAGTCAGCGAAAAAAATACATTAAAAGTCAATCGCCAACAAATGGTTTAATGATGAAGCTCACGCGGTTTCAACTTTCAACATGAAAAAAGTGTTTCTGCTTTTTGCGCCTTTTACTTTCACCGGTTAAAAAAAGAGAAAAATCCACTATTACAATTTTTTTTTTCACCTTATGGTTTGATTTGTCTTCTTTCATAAATTTACATTTTATGCGGCAAAATATATATGCTTTCATAAATTTATACCGTGACAACAACTTTTCCTCCATTTTTGATTTGGCTATATAATTCAAGAAAATACTACATATTTGAAGAATTATTACAAAAAAAAACATTATGTCGTAAAACGAAGAAAAACAAAAACGAATTTCAAAAAGATTTAAAAAGGGAGCGGCGCAAAGTTTTGTTGCAAAAACAACTTCGGATATATAAACATTAAATTATTTAAAAGAAAAAAACGAAAACAATCACGTTCTTGAGGCAAGTCTGAAAAGCCGAGAAGCAGAAGAAGAAAAAGAAGAAGAAGAGACAGAGACCGTTCTTATCGGCGAAGACGAATTACTTTCTCTCTTCGTGTGAATTTCCTTCTCCTTACTTGAACTTCCCGGCGATAACAATAGTTTGGTTTGTCTACCGGAGCCGGATCATCTGATTCCATCGCCGACGTTTAAGTCATCAAATGGGAGCTCGGTGCTCTAAGTTCTCCTTCTGCTTGTTCCATTCCAACTTCAAATCCGCTTCAGTCCTCGAATCTCCCGATCTCGGTCTGTGCTTCGTCTTCATCCTCTCTCGATTTCTTCGATTTGAGTTTCGCGTTTTGATTTTGAGGGTTTTTTTTGTTGTTTTTGTGAAAGAAAACGGAGGGAAACTTTGGCCGAATTTCAAGGAGTTTCGATTGGAGCAGCTGAAATCTGCGACCGGAGGTTTCTCATCGGATAACATTGTATCGGAACACGGCGAGAAAGCTCCCAACATTGTTTACAGAGGTAGGCTTGATGATGGTCGCTTGATCGCCGTCAAACGCTTTAACCGCCTCGCCTGGGCCGATCACCGACAGTTCCTTGTAAGTCTTCTTCAATATCGAAGCTTCATTGAATTCGATTTGATTTTGGGGGTCTTAAATCTTTGTTGTTTTCAATTAGGATGAAGCTAAATCTGTAGGGAGCTTGAGGAGCGATCGATTGGCGAATCTGATAGGTTGCTGCTGCGAAGGCGAGGAGAGATTACTCGTTGCCGAGTTTATGCCTCACGAAACTCTTGCCAAGCATCTTTTCCACTGTGGGGTTTACTTACTCTACTCATGATTATCTTCTATGGCTATTCAGCTTGTGAGAAACAAAAAAACTGAGAATGTATCAGTGAATGAATAATCGTTTTGTTGTTTCAGGGGAGAATCATCCGATGAAATGGGCGATGAGATTGAGAGTTGCATTGTGTTTAGCGCAAGCATTGGAATACTGTAGTAACAAAGGGAGAGCTTTGTATCATGATCTCAATGCTTACAGGGTTTTGTTTGACAAGGTTAGTATTGATCGATGCTTTGCTTATTGTTCTGAGTGTTTTGTATCAGATTTTTTTTTTTTAAATCCTTTGTGGTTTACAGAATGGGAATCCAAGGTTGTCTTGCTTCGGACTCATGAAAAATAGCCGAGATGGGAAGAGTTATAGCACAAACTTGGCATTTACTCCTCCAGAGTATCTGCGAACCGGTAAAGACCTGTCTTCTTCATGTTTATATTATTTTGTGAACCTAAAATTCCACAAAGCTAAATCCACTCACGAATCTATATATTTCTTACATCGTGTGTCAGGTAGAGTGACACCAGAGAGTGTAGTATTCAGTTTTGGAACCGTTTTGCTCGACCTCATGAGCGGCAAACATATTCCACCAAGCCATGTAAGCCCTCTCTTAAGTTTAGATGTAATGTAGGACCTGTCTCATTGTATCCCGCTTGACAGTTCTTGGAGCCGGCTTTTCGTTAAGAACCTGATTTCTTATGTTTAATCCTTACTAAGATCGTAATGGCGTTGCTGGTTTTGATAGTTCATCATGTTTTTCCTGCCTCATATTCTCTTTTAGTGACTCTCTAACCTTGCTTGTTATGTTATACAGGCGCTTGACCTGATCAAGGGCAAGAACTGTGCAATGTTAATGGATTCTGCTCTCGAGGGCCATTTCTCAAACGAAGATGGAACTGAGCTAGTTCGGTTAGCCACACGTTGTCTGCAGTATGAAGCTAGAGAAAGGCCGAATGTGAAATCTCTCGTCACGTCACTCGCCACACTCCAGAAGGAATCTGATGTACCTTCATATGATCTTATGGGGATACCAAATGAAACCGAGGCTGAGGAAGAGCAGCCGCTTTCATTGACGCCCTTTGGTGACGCATGCTTAAGAGTAGATCTTACGGCCATACACGAAATACTTAATAAGATGGGATACAAGGATGATGAAGGAATTGCCAACGAGGTCTGAGTTTATTCCTTCCTTTATTTTTGCTCATAGCTTAGTCTTTCCGTTTCTTGGAATAAGGGACTTGTTATGTATATGGTTTTATCAAATCTTCTGCAGCTCTCGTTTCAAATGTGGACCAACCAGATGCAGGAATCTCTCAATTCGAAGAAGCAAGGGGACTTAGCTTTCCGTTCCAAAGATTATACAACTGCAGTCGATTGCTACACTCAGGTAATATCCACAAATGTAAATACCGAATAATTATTGATTTTGAAGAACTCTTAAGCCAAGAGGAAACCATGTTTATATCTCTAGTGAATCCGTTTATACACTCTTTTTTTCTTCTTCTTCAGTCATTGAAATTGAAAATGGCTGGCTGTTTTGTGTGTGTTTCATGGGGTATAGTTCATAGATGGAGGAACAATGGTGTCACCAACGGTTCACGCACGGCGATGCTTGTCATATCTGATGAACGAGAACGCACAAGAGGCTCTAACCGATGCATTGCAAGCGCAGGTTGTGTCTCCAGAATGGCCAACCGCTTTGTATCTGCAAGCGGCTTGCTTGTTCAAGCTCGGCATGGAAACCGATGCGCAGCAAGCTCTTAAGGACGGTACTACATTGGAAGCCAAGAAGACCAATAGGCGCTGATATAAAGTGTTTTTTTCAAAAGAGCTTTGTATAGGCTTAATTTGTTCCCTCTCTCTCCATCTATATGCACATACACATATATGGTGTATCTATTATATATATGCATACCTTCTCTTTCTTCTTCTTCGTTGTATTTATCATGAATTATGATGATGATGATTGTGATCTCTGTGGCTTGTCGTCTCATGGAATATCTCTTTTGAGAGATTTTTTTTTTTCAGTCTGTCAAATTATATTACTCAGTTATTTTATATTGAACATTCTTATGAAATTATATATCAGGATCTTATTATAAGAAACTTGATTGTGTTTTGTAGATATGAGAGGTTTAAATAAAGTTTCTGAGAGTCAGAGAGTTAGGCCTTATCCAAATTATGTTTAGCAATCATTTGATGTAAAGGGAATTATCAATTGTTAGTAACAACACTTTCAAGTCAGTCCAAATCTAGAAGTGAAAAAATAATCTGTATTGCAGCGATTAAATTAGTAAAGAACTAATGTACAGTTTGCTTCTGATTTCTACATAATAGTTTTTCATCAATACTTATATTGTCTGCATTTAAATTTGGTTTTTAATTGTAATACGAGGAATGTCACAAAAAGATATTTTTTCCCAACTTTTTAAAAGAGATGTACACACATCCAAACGTTTAAGAAGAAAACCAATCAAAAGGAGAACATAAACCATAATCTCAAAATGAAAAATACAAATACGAAGCACTGAAGACTTTGCATAAGTCTCACATCCTCAACATAATCTTGAAAGGTATAACTACAATTGTATAAACTCTATGACTCTTATTTTTGAACTCCCAATCCTTGTATTTTTAAATTCTTGCGGAAGTTTTCCTCTTGACATTGTAGTAAAATAAATAAGAAGAGAGGTCTGAGAAATGGTACAGCGAAAACACAATATCACGTATTCACGTGTACTAATCATTTCAAAAATGTGAAAATCGGTATACGGAGGCCAAGCATCTTCTAGGAACCAAAACCAGATATTTCTGTGAGCGTTATCTGTAAAATAGTTTACAAACTGCAAACTAAAACGTCAGACACAAACGGATTTACAATAATTAACAAATGAATTTTGTAAATATATTTAATAATGTGGTTCATTTGGAAAATAATATACACTGAATACATAAACCTAACGCAAATGCAATCACAAATAAACAATCGACGACATAGTGTGTTCGATAAATACCCAAGTGTGGGAAGTAAACATACAATTTGGTCACTAAGATATAGAGCAAAACTTAAATTTCAATTGCAAGACAATAAAACCACTATAAATTAATACTTGATATAAATTAATAATAAACGATTAATAAAGGTCTTTAATGTAACATTATTTGAAAAATTAGTTTATAAAGATTATAAACTAAAATCAAATTTCTCTATATAAATTAAAAAATATTAATTAATAATTTTATTAAAAATAATTTTTGAAAGTCGTCCCAAAATTATTCATTTATAGATACGTAAATAAATGGCCAAATAATAATCAAAAGCATTAATACAATGATATACATCAGCCACGTCCAGCTCGCTCTTTCTTCTCTCGCAGAAGCATCTCCTCCTCTTCCCTCCTCCACCGCCACCGCTACGGCCACCTCCTCCTCTATCATCTCATTCCCGCCGGCCACGTTCCTAGCCACCGAGTGGCAAATCTCACATACTCTACATCCAAATTTTGTTTTTTTTTGTTACGGTAATTAATGTTCAAGTTTTCTTTTGTGATGGAAGTTAATGTACAAGTTTTACCCTTTTTTTTTCTTCTTTGACAATATTAGTTTTCTAATAGATTTAGTATCTTTGAAAAAAAAAACTTAGGTTATTATGACTATTGAGTAAAGAAAAAAAGAAAAAAAAAAACATGAGAGCAAGAAGAGAACGTACTCGTTTCCTTTGAGTTTGAACCAAGTCTCAGCACATTGTCGATGAGCAAACGCCAAATCATCCTTACACGAACATCCCAACTCAATCAAACCCTGACCGTACGATCTAACCTCCAGTTGGCAAATCCTACACTGATCCGTTCCTTGTTCTAAATCGATGTGCGACATGGTACTGTTCAAAGCGACACATTGAGGGATTTCCCTTATAATTTTCATTGAGGGATTACTATTCTAAATCGATGTGCAATAATTAATAAAATGTTTGTCCTTATAAATAAATAAATGGAAATAAGATTTCTACGCGTCTGCCAAATTGAGGGATTTTCCTTCTCTCAGACAGATTCTGTACATTTTTTTCTTTCTTTCTTGCGACGTATGACAACTACATAAGTCCACCATATCCAAAAGCCCATATTCTTTGGATTATATTGGGAGATCGACCAAAGTTATGGAAATCACCAAACATCTAGACATCAATATCTTTTTTTTTAGACATCAATATCTTAGTTTTGGAAATTTACTTTTATCTCTAAATATATTTTATACATTTATGTATATCTTAAATTTTGAATTCTAATTTACTACTATATAAGTTGATGTATTAGGTAAGTTAATAATTTTTTTCCTAAATACTTTTATGTTCTTTCATGTTCTTCTTACTCTCGTCAATTTATCACATCATTTACTATTATGATGAAAAAGCCAATTCAACGAGACGACGTTTCTCTTCCCCAAGTTTGATTTTTATGCAGAACAATGAAAAAAAATATAAAATCAAAGAGGGGTAGATTAATATGGAATTTTGATTTTTGGATTTGCTTTAGAGCCCATTATCGCCGTCCGAGCAATTATGTATGCACTGATGTTAATGTTTCCTTTCGTAATCTTCCCCAAAAAAATGCTTAAAGGTTTTGCATTTGACAGTACTACTATAAATCATATAATAAATTATTTTATTATCCAACGAAAACATCTATTCAAAATTTGTCCAAAAACTATTACTCAATTGAAAAGTTTAACATGGAATCATTGATATATAGTGCACCGAATTTATATCTTTGATGGAATCATTGATATATAGGTGTCTCGTTTTCCTCCTCTCACGCCATTTCAAAGGCTCCTCAAACCCTCTATGCGACCATGCGTATGGTAGGCTGGTAGCAGATGAAACCGTTTATGGCGGCATTTGGCAAAAGCTTAACAACATGCTCCGCAATAACCATCTTCAGTGATCTTTTTAAAAAAATGGTCTACACATATGTATAGCTTCAAGAGAAATTGAACTAGAAACACATGTTCAGCATGCATCACATCACATATATGTATAGTATAATGATATTTAAAAGTAGATATTAGATGATTCTTTAAACATCGCTTATAAGTTGCGATTGCACATTGCATGTTGGCATGTATATGTATGATGTATCGAACAAGAAAAATAAACAATGGTATTGTTATTATATGGGGAAATGTTAAGAAACCGAGAACCAAAAATCAAACTCACTCTGTATCCTCATCTCTCATATGAAACAATTCATATAAATGTAAGATACGATGATCCATTATATATGGATCATCATCAATCAAAATGTTAAACATAATTAAATCATGAAACACACGTGAAATTAAGACCATTTAATTTTACATAGGAGCCGGAGCTAGAGCAGGCGATGAGACATCGGAGATAGGGCCGGGAGCGGCGCCGGAGCTGAGGATATCCAGCATTGAACGGCGGGGATTTATCCGTTGAGCATCGCACAGATCAGGTAAAAATGCACCTGCATGTAATCAATTAATTAGTACGTTACGTCAAGTCTACACTTTACACAAAATTGAATTATATATATTAGCAACGTAAAATCATATATAAGATGCAATAGAGATATCGTTGTTATTTGAATAATAATTAAGGTGAGCCAAGCATAACAATCAAGCTTCTACCGAAATTCCTTGCTTTGACGATAAGAAACACCATAAAATATGAAAGTTTTTATTAAAAGAAAAAAAGGTTTGAAAGTGAGCTTCTTGCATGCACGTTTAAGAAAAAAGGACCCGACACTAACGAAATACACAAAACACACACAAGTATAGGATTCTAAGTTCTTTAATCAGCCATATAAAACACCATATTGTACACATTTTTCTACTTTAAATTCCTCAAAAAAGAAACTACAGTTCGGTAAATTAATGGACCTTATGGTACACCATTCAAAATTCTCTCTTACATACGCATTTTTACGTAGGGAATATATATCTTCAGTCGTTTCTACCTATTCATTTATGTGGACAGACATAATTAAAAAAAAAAAGTTATAAAAGGAAGACCATATGCATAAAAAATCAAAATCAAAATCTTTCATCAGAAAAAAAAATAAAAATTTCATCAGAAATAATACCGGTGTGTATGCAACCTATTATCTATACACTCATCAAACAATTTGTCAATGCATGGAAGACTTTAAAAAAAAAAAAAAAAGGAAGCTCAAGATCGTACCTTCACCGGCGGCGAGATTGAAATAGAGATCAAGAATGTTAGGGCAATAGTCCAAACAAGCCGGCGAGCAAAGCTTAGCGGCGAATCCTGCCTCCATCATTGTGTCCGACGAGATCCCTACGGTTTTCCGATCAACTCCACAAGCGGATACACAAGCATCGCTCTCCACGTGGTTTACAATCCCTTCCACCTCCACCGTCGAAGTCCGGCAAGTGTATTCTCCGGCGACGTTAGCTGTCTCCAATAAACATCTTTTCCCCGAAGCCGATATTGAGAACGCGCACATATTCGTGGGCAGATTCTCGCAAACTATTTCTTCCCCTACGTTCAAATTATAGGAGCAAAGAACATAAACTAATTAAAAAAAAAATCCAAAGATTTACTAAGGATTACTAACGCTTTCTTTTTTTATGGTCTATCTTCGATCGGTAACTGTGAAATGTATTTGTTCTTCTTCTTATGATGTAAAAACTGAAACTTTATAACCAATAATAGTTTATGAGAAACAAGTTTTGAATTGATCATGAATTAGCTAGATCCTAGGTTCTAAGGATTGGAGATTTCTATATAATAGATATGTTTGTACGTACCTAAAGCGGCATGGAGAAGAGAGGAGAGAATGAACAAGATTGGCAATTTGAGGGAAGAATAAGACATTGCTTCTGGTTTTTTTTTTTTTTTGTTCTCTCTTCTTCTCTTTCTCCTTGATTGAATTTTAGGGGTTAAAGTTTTATGTTTTCAAGGGAAAGAATAATATAGAGAGAACGTGGAAATAGAAAGGCGTATGTTGAAGGACATGTTGTGGGTTTGTGTGTAAATATATACCAGATGTTTTGATGAATGATTTGGATTTGCTATTTTTTTATAATAACATTCTCTATATATGGTATTACTATAATAGTAAAGTTTTTTTTTGTCAACAGTAAACATTATATATTATATAGTAGTTGCAATTTTAATTTTCTTACATTATGCTTTGTCATATTTTCATTTTATAAATGAAATCATTTAATTTCTTATTACGAGTTCATGGGTGTCTCTTTAATTTGGTGGACATTGATATGTACTATACTTATTGGAAAAGGATCAAAACAGCATAATCTTAGACGTGGATAATCCGATAAACACTATATTTTTGGAATGGAAAATGATTTACGTGCTGTTGAGTTGCTATACATATATTATCACCATTGGTTGATTTCAATCTTCAAAGACTGAGCGATGAACAAGGTCACTGAATGAACTTATTTTAGTCGATATTCAAATATCCTAAATTAATGAAACTAATATGGTTAAGTATGTGCTTCTTTAACTTTTAAGAATTGTGTTTTTTTTTTACCAAAATATTCTTTATTGTTTTTACTTTTTTACTATTCGTAGCTTCATTATATTGGTCATATAGGCTTTTAATTTACTTGGATAATTTATTTTTCGTTACATGATATTATATTAACTTTTAGAAAACTTTTTTTGTTAATTGGCATTTTTTAAAATGTTTCAGCGAACGTAATCAAATTTTAAAAAAATAACAATTGATAAAGAATTAGTTGAATTATCTTTTTCATTACAAGACTTTTTGGGTGAGTGGCTTTCTTGGAAACAAAGCGACGTGCGTACATGTGTTCACGTCTGTATTTGACTCAACGCGTTTAGTTCTAATATGGTTTCAATTTTTTTTTTTGTTGGTAAATTAATATGGTTTCAATTTAGAGGCAGAATTTATAAAATCAACAATTATATATTTATTTTGTTGGTAAAACAGTGTATACAAAACATAAATATACGTGCTTTTGATGCAAAAAGTTCAATGTTAGTTTGGTTTAGTATAAAATAATAAATCCAATGATAAGCAAATCTCAAACTTAAAAGTCTCGATTCGATTCACTTTGGTTTGTTTTCGTTTATAAATCCTTAAATTTGGTGTTGCGCGGTCTTGGCTAACCAGGAAAAATAAAACTATTAAGATCAGGCCCAACATACTATGAGCTACACACACTGCCACAGTTTCAGTTGCAGCTTCAGAACTGGTCTAGCAAGTTAGAGTATTTAACTGACGATACTTTGTTGTCTCTGCGACAATCCTTCGATGCAAAACCAGTGAGCACATTTAGAACCTAATCTATCAACGGATAGGGTTCTCGTTTTTCCTCCTCTCACACCCTTTCAAAGGCTCCTCAAACCCTCTATGCGTATAGTAGGCTGGTAGCACATGAAACCGTGTATGGAGGCATTTGGCAAACGCGTAACAACATGCTCCGCAATAACCATCCTCAGCGATCTTTCAAAAAAAATGATCTACACATATGTATAGCTTCGAGAGAAATTGAACTAGAAACACATGTTCAGCATGCATCACATCACATATATGTATAGTATAATGATATTTTAAAGTAGATATTAGAGTCCATTTTTTAAACATCGCTTATAAGTTGCGATTGCACATGGCATATTGGCATGTATATGTATCGAACAAGAAAACAAAACAATGGTATTGTTATTATATGGGGAAATATTAAGAAACCGAGAACCAAAAATCAAATTCACTCTGTATCCTCTTCTCTCATATGAATCAATTCATATAAATGTAAGATACGATCCATTAGATATGGATCATCATCAATCAAAATGTTAAACATAATTAAATCATGAAACACACACGTGAAATTAAGACCATTTAATTTTACATAGGACCCGGAGCTTCATCAGGACCCGGAGCTTCATCAGGACCCGGAGCTTCGTCAGGGGGTGAGGCATCGGAGTCAGGGCCGGCGCTGACGTCGGCTTCCAGCATTGAACGGTGGGGATTTATCCGTTGAGCATCGCACAGAGCAGGTAAAAATGCACCTGCAGGTAGTCAACTAATTGGTACGTTACGTCAAGTCTACACTTTACACAACATTGAATTATATATATATTAGCAACGTAAAATCATATATAAGATGCAATAGAGATATCATTGTCATTTGAATAATAATTAAGGTGATTGAAGCATAACAATCAAGCTTCTACCGAAATTCCTTGCATGCATGCACTGATGCACGTGTAAGAAAAAGGACCCGACAGTACCGAAATACACAACACACACACAAGCATCAGATTCTTAGTTATTTAATCAGCCATATAATTATGATATAAAACACCATCTTATACACATTCATTTCTATGATAGCTAGTATCAATTTCTCAACAAAATTTATTTCAAAGAAAGTACAGTTACGTAAAGTATAATATGTGGTACACCATTCTAAATTCTCCCTTACTTACTCGGTATCAATTAATGTAGGCATTTTTACTTGTGCAATATATACCTTCAGTCGTTTCTACCTATTCATTTATGCCGACAGACATAATTAACAAAAAAAAAAAAGTTTTTTTTTTCGTCAAGATAAAAAAAGTGTTTATAAAACAAGACCGTACAAAAAAAAAAATCAAAATCTTTCATCACAGTTTATACCGGTACGTATGCAATATATATCTATACACTCATCAAACAAATTGTCGTCAATGCATTGAAGACTTTTTAAAAAATAAAACTAAAAAGAAGTTCAAGATCGTACCTCCACCGGCGATATCAACAATGTTCGGGCAATAGTCCAAACAAGCCGGCGAGCAAAGCTTAGCGGCGAATCCTGCCTCCATCATTGTGTCCGACAAGAACCCTACGGTTTTCCGATCAACTCCACAAGCGGATACACAAGCATCGCTCTCCACGTGGTTTACAATCCCTTCCACCTCCACCGCCGAAGTCCGGCAAATGTATTCTCCGGCGACGTTAGCTGTCTCCAATAAACATCTTTTCCCGGAAGCCGATATTGAGAACGCGCAGATATTCGTGGGCAGATTCTCGCAAACAATTTCTTCCCCTACATACAATTATAGGACATCAGAACATTAACTAATTTAAAAATAAAAATTCAATGATTTGCATAGGATTATTTACACTTTCGTTTCCTATGGTTTATCTTAGATGGGTAACTGTGAAATCTAATGTTCTTCTTCTTACGATGTAAAACTGAACTTTTATAACCAATGATAGTTTATGAGAAACAAGTTTTGGAATTTGATCATGAATTAGCTAGATCCTAGTTTCAAACGATTGGAGATTTCTATATAATAGATATGTTTTGTACGTACCTAAAGCGGCTTGGAGAAGAGAGGAGAGAATGAGAAAGATTGGCAATTTGAGGGAAGAATAAGACATTGCTTCTTTTTTTGTGTGTTCTCTCTTCTTCAGTACTTTCTCCTTGATTGAATTTTAGGGGTTAAATTAAGTTTTACGTTTTCAAGGGAAAGAGTAATATAGAGAGAACGTGGAAATAGAAAGGCGTATGTTGAAGGACATGTTGTGGGTTTCTGTGTAAATAATATATACAAGATGTTTGATGAATGATTTTTATTTACTATTTTTTAATATAACACGTTTGTTGCAATAGTTGTGGGTTTCTGTGTAAATAGTTGCAATTTTAATTTTCTCACGTTTTGCGTGATTGCTCATGTATTTTAATTTTATAAATGGAATCATTTAATCTCTTATTACGAGTTCATGGATGTCTCTTTAATTTAGTGGACATTCATATACACTAGATAAAACCCCGCGTGTACACGCGGTAATTTTTATATATATAATAGTTTAGTTTATCAATAATATATATATATATATATGCAAATTTGAATTTTCTAAATTATGATAGAATTATGTAATTGCAAATCACTTTCTATGGTTATCTCTTTAAATTATTATTAGACATATATCTGTTTGTTTATTATATATTTTCTGTTTTTTTACTAATGAAATAAAGTTAACAAATACGTACATTCATCGATACACAATAAAATACAAAATATTGTGTTTGTTTGTTTCAGCTTAACTTTTAAATCTCATCTCAAATCCTTTGAGTTCTGCTTAGGGTAATAAATATTAAAAACAATAATTTTTTTCTAAATAATCTTTTTTTTTGTTAAAAAAATATAAAGTTCGGACGTCAATAGAATAAATATGATAGAGTTTGGGCATTATATTCTCTTGATACATAAAGAATTTTGTCTATGTGACAGAAAAATAATGCGCTACGTAAAAAAATTTAATAGCTAATTTTATATTGAGTTAAACATTCACTATATGCCAGTCTTATGTATCTACAAAAGATGTACGAAAACTATAAACATAAATTGAACAGAAAACAAAATACCTCTAAAACTTCAACTTCGTTTGTTATATCATCTGCTCTAAACCTAATATTGTTAGGCACCAGAGCATTACAAATACAAAGATATCATAATTTTTCATGTATGCAATAAATAGAAACTATTTATGATTTTTTAAATGTTTTGCGAACAAAAAAAAACGTCGCATAAAACTCTATATTAATATGAAAACAAGAAATAATTATTTTAATGGTTCATAAAGTTTTTCTTATATATACATAAAATAGGAATATTGATATATATATATCACGCTACATACAGCTTGTTCCTAGCTAGCTCTCTTTCTATGAGGGAAGGATTGTTTATCATTGCCTCTTCGTAGACACGTAGAGTGATTATATCCATGTATTTGATCGCATTTCTGATCTGAAACACCAAAAACCACAATCACTAAAACAAAAGTAACACAAAAAATCTGTATTTTGGATATGTTATTTGAAGACCTTAATTCTTTCCCAATGTTGGTTATGAACGTGACTGCAGTGGCGCTATATCTGATTTCTGGAGCTCTATGAGCGTGTAAGAGAAAGTTGAAAAATAGGTGGAATGCCGCTCCGATCCATTTTATAGTAACATATGATTATGGCTCTTGATTCTTCGAATTTATTTTAGTGTCGTTCAATTTTTTTGGGTGTGCTTTACGAAGTGGTAACACTACAAGTTCAATACATTTACTTTTTATTGTAAGAGAATGACTTTTCGAGATATAAACTACTTTTGTATTTGTGTCATGGCTGATGAATTAAATTTTTTTTTTGGGACTGAGAAAATTAATTTTTTCAAAAGCTGATGTGTCAAAATATAAAGTGCTTATGTGTCAAGCTTGTGAGACTCAACTGAGTCTTTATATAATAGACTAGAAGAGTACCCGCGCATACACGCGAGTTGTTTTTCTTTTAGTTATGTTTTTTAATTAATATTTTCATTTGGTAGTTTAGAAATACCCTTCTTATTTTGTTACTCAGAAGATTTTAGTAAGAGAATTCAGTTTTGTTTAAATCAGCACCAAAGTTTTTATATATTAAAATAGTAAAATTTAATTGACTTGAGTGGAGAACTAACGAATAATATTAGTAGTGTTTCCTCTATCCATCCAAACAAATCCCTCATCCTTAATTGTTCAGCAAAAATAGTCACCAATACCCTTGTAGGAATCAGAGAATCTGCTAGCTTTGAGCAAAAGAAAATATGGCAAAAGAAAGAACTTAGTTAACTCGTAACAAAAACATTGAAGACCCAATCTTTCGAAGCAACAATTATGAAACTTGCGATAATCAGTCAAGACGAACACCTGGTATAAGTTACATCTAAACAATCATAGGACATCAATGCCCTTGCATAGACAAAGAATAAAATGTAATCACCGATCTCTGCCGCAGTTATCGCAAACAGTTGTGAGTGCACACCATTCGTCATGTTCTTGCGGCATCCCATTTTTTGATGTCACCTAGACATCAAGCGTTAGGGTGAAGATCAAACCTAGCTCAGACGTAAATACACAACACTCCAAGGTCAAAGGTAAAAAAAGAAACTCTTATGAAGAAGATATGTTATATGGGTAACTAATTTATATACTTATAGATGTGTTAATGATACAAAAACTTTGAAACTCTTTTTCTTCTCGTCATTCAGATATTGGTAGTGGATTTAAATAATCAAATTATATTTTAATGTAGAATTTGGAACGTTTTTTCCATCAACATATAATTAATCATTTTGAAAAAAAAATCATCAATAGCCAAATTAATGTGTATTCTTGAAATGTGATTTTTTTCTAATGTGGAGAGGCTGAAGTATCAAAAAGATGGGTGCTTAGGTGTCAACCTCTTGTCTTAATATAATAGATTTTTGGAAAATGATCAAACCATCCTAAAACTTAGAAGTGAATAATCCGAAAACTTAAGACTAAATTTCTGGAATGGAAAATGATTTACGTGCTGGTGAGTTGCTATACATATATTATCACCATTGGTTGATTTCAATCTTCGAAGAGACTGATCGCTGGAAAAAAGAATTCTTTATTTACTTAACAAGGTCACTGAATGTGTTCATGTCCGTATTAGAGCATGTCCAGTAGTAAACCTCATAGAGGGGTTCATCAGCATTAAAAAACAATATTTTTCGATTTGTGTGGGTTGAGAAGAACTCGGGTGAAAATGTGGTTCCAGTAGTGAACTCCATTTTGGGGTTCATCCCAAACAAAATTTTTTTTTTTTTGAATTAAATTTTTTTTTTGTTTAAACAAAAAACACACATTTATTATAAAATAGAGAAATACAATTTATTACACATAATTTTAGAAAATACAATATATAAGAGTAAAATTTAATACAAGAAAATTAGAAACATACAATATTTGTAAAATTTAAAAAACTTAACCAAATTTATTCCAAATATTTTCTATTAAATCCTCTTTCAATCGTTCATGTATCTGTCTGTCACGGAGTTCGTTTCGTTTTGCCATCATCAAATTTGAGACATTTGTAGGCATACGTGTAGAATATGTCCTATCCACCTGCGAATTTCTGCTTCCATCTTCTTGTTGGAATTGTTCTATATTGGCTAGAATGTAGCTATGTCGTTCGTTTTCTACTATCATATTGTGTAATATGATAGAAGCTCGCATAATTTTCCCAATTTTTTCTTTATCCCAAAAAAAAAGCAGGATTTTTGATAATTGCAAATCTAGCTTGCAGCACGCCAAAAGCCCGCTCCACATCTTTTCGGATGGATTCTTGTTTAGTTGCAAATTTGCTATTTTTTTCTCCTTGAGGAAGATGAATTGATTGTATAAAGGTAGTCCATTTCGGGTAAATGCCGTTTGTGAGATAATATGGCAAACGATACTCGTTACCGTTTACCCAGTATCTCACTTTTGGAGCTCGACCTTGCAAGATGTCATAAAAAACTGGTGACCGATCAAGAACGTTAATATAATTTAATGTACCTGGGTCCAAAAAATGCGTGCCATATCCAAAGATCTTGTGATGCCTCTAAAACGATAGTCGGTTTTCCTGATCCGCGTGTATATTGACCTCTCCATGCGGTTGGGCAATTCTTCCATTCCCAATGCATACAATCGATGCTTCCAATCATCCCGGGAAATCCCCGTTCCACGCCGATCTGGACGATTTTGACGGAATCGTCGCGAATCGCAGGTGAAGAGGAAGAGAGGAGAAAAAAAAGGGGAAACACACAAAATGATTTTTTGGCCCAAAAATAATTCATTTCTCGAAAATTACCACGAAATCTCCTCCAATCGCAATGTGACACGTCGCGAAGAAATGGGGTCGTCGAGCTCGCGCGGATGAACCGATCCATCAATAATGGGCTATATTTCTTTTTTTTTAAATACACTTTGCTTATGAACCCGAACCCGAACTTCTTCTCCAAACCCCACTGGACATGCTCTTAGACTCAACGCGACGTGCCTACATGTTCACGTCCGTATTTGACTCAACGTGTTTAGTTCTAATATGGTTGCCGGAGAATTTATAAAACAAAAGTGTTATTATTAGTTTTGGGTAAAATAGTGCATACAAAACATAAAAATACGTACTTTGAAATTTTGAATATAAAGAACCTAAAATAATTTGTTCAATTTTAGTTTGGTTTAGTATAAAATAAGAAATCCAATGATAAGCAAATCTAAGATTTAAAAGTCTCGATTCGATTCACTTCGGTTTGTTTTCGTTTATATGGCCAAGGACTAGAACAACCAAAAAATCCTTAAATTTGGTGTTGCGGTATTGGGCTAACCAAGAGGAATAAACTATTTAGATCGGGCCCAACTCTCTTTATAACATATACTATTTAACTACTAATCCTTAATAAATCGGCCTGCTTATATATACACTTATCTTTAGGTCCGTAAGAGAAAAGCCACGTGTCAACTACATCAAGATAAGTGGGACCCGCTTTGTTAAACTGAAAGCATAAATCGAATCCTTCGTCCACCTCACAATCCGATTCTCTCCTCTCTCTCTCTCTCCACCTCCAAAAACACACACACAAACCTCCTCCCAGTGTTTTTTTCAAAAACACAAACGCAGCAAAAATGGCAGCAACCGCCGCGACAACGTCGTCGTCTCATCTTCTCCTCTCAAGCTCTCGCCACGTGGCGGCCGCATCTCAGCCCCGGATCCTTTTCCCGAGATCTCTGTTCTCCTCCGGGAAGCGAGCAGCCGGGAGGAATCATCATGCTGCAGGTGGTGGAGTGAGGTGTATGGCGGTGGCGGCGGATGCTGCTGCGACGGCGGAGACGAAATCTCCGGCGAGGAAGAAGAGTGGGTACGAGCTTCAGACGCTGACGAGCTGGTTACTGAGGCAGGAGCAGAAAGGAGAGATAGATACGGAGATGGCGATAGTGATGTCGAGCATAGCCATGGCTTGTAAGCAGATCGCTTCACTTGTCCAACGCGCCGGAATATCTAATTTGACCGGTGTTCAAGGCGCCGTTAACATTCAGGGAGAGGATCAGAAGAAGCTTGACGTCGTCTCTAATGAGGTCAATAATATTCATACACATGATTGAATATTCTTAAAAGTATTTCACTTTTGGAATCAAAACATTAACCAAAAATAGAACCAATTCACATGTTTATTATTTTTTTATCAGTAAATAAATGAATTTTTTTTTTGACGGAGAAAAAAGATAGAAAAGAATGAGATAATGAAAAGATTTTGAAGGATGGTTAATTGCAGGTGTTTTCGAACTGCTTGAGATCAAGTGGAAGAACGGGAATCATAGCGTCTGAGGAAGAGGACGTGCCTGTGGCGGTGGAAGAGAGTTACTCCGGTAACTACATCGTCGTCTTCGACCCTCTTGACGGTTCCTCAAACATTGACGCGGCCGTCTCCACCGGTTCCATCTTTGGTATCTACAGTCCCAATGACGAGTGTATCGTCGACGACTCCGACGATATCTCCGCCGTAAACTCAACTACTCAATTTACCAAATTTTTATTTCTTCATCTTACCAAAAATTTTAGATTATTCGATTCGGTTTGATGCGGTTAAACTAGTAAAACCAATTCGGGTTACGGTTCTGTTTTGGTTAAGTGATTTGGTTGCGTTTGGTTCGGTTTAGTTGGCTTATGTTGCTATTGTTGTAGCTTGGGACAGCAGAAGAAAGGTGTATAGTAAACGTGTGCCAGCCAGGGAACAACTTACTAGCAGCAGGCTACTGTATGTACTCGAGCTCAGTCATCTTCGTTCTTACTTTAGGCAAAGGCGTTTTCGCCTTCACACTCGACCCAATGTACGGCGAGTTCGTACTCACGCAAGAGAACATCGAGATCCCCAAAGCCGGTAAAATCTACTCCTTCAACGAAGGCAACTACCAGATGTGGGACGACAAACTGAAGAAGTACATTGATGATCTCAAGGACCCTGGTCCAAGTCAGAAGCCTTACTCGGCAAGGTACATTGGAAGTTTGGTCGGAGATTTTCACAGGACTTTGTTGTACGGTGGGATTTATGGGTACCCTCGTGACGCCAAGAGCAAAAACGGAAAGCTTAGGCTTTTGTATGAGTGTGCACCAATGAGTTTCATCGTTGAACAAGCCGGAGGTAAAGGATCAGATGGACACCAGAGAGTACTTGATATCCAACCAACCGAGGTAGCTCAAACACACACACATTTCATACATCTACTTTATTACAAGAATTTATGTTCGGTTTGGTTGTTTTTCTTTATGCTACCCTGCTATACTAACTTTGTATCCAAAATTTAGTGTCATCATCCTAATTATCTTCTTTGGGATACCTTACAGATACATCAGAGGGTTCCTCTTTACATTGGAAGCAAGGAGGAAGTGGAGAAGCTGGAGAAGTACCTGGCTTGAGTCATGTACCAAACATTAGCCATTTTTATTTCTATTATAAGCCAATTTCTGACTATGTGGTATATGCAGATAGATGCAGAAATGATGAAACTTCTATTTTGTTGTTGATATTCAATATAGAGAAATCAGTTGTTAAATTATAGAGCCAATACCAAGTTTGATTGATACAACTCTTACTACTCGTTAATTAGGATGGACCATAGGGCATAGCATTTTTACATTCCACAGATCATTTCAAAAAAATAGCACCGTAGTTAGCCAAAAGCAGAGGATCTGTGTATTGGTGTCTTGGAGCCAATTACAGTCTTCAAAATTCAGTACATCGTCTGTAACATGACTCTAGCTGCAACTCTTGGCTGTGTAAAGAGAAGAATAGCTGAGTTAGGAAGAGTAAGCAAAATGTATATTTAAAAAATCATCTGTTGCAAATGAAGCATAAAGAATGAGTGGACAGAGCAAAGGTATATTTAAAAATCTGTTGCAGACCAGAATATACCAACCTTAAGTGATCATATCTTTTCCTTGAATCACTTCAGTCACAGTTGATGTATATTCTGACATGGTCTGGTCAGGCTCTAGATTCCCGTTCCCTGATTCAGGAGACGACCTGTGATTTACAACAGCGTAATGAGCAGACAGCAAGAGATAACAGACATTTACAGAAACTGATATTATAAAACAAAGCACATACCCTGCCACAGTTGGAATGGGTGCATTTGGGGTACTTCCTTCACAACCAATATCAAAATCAACTAGTAGCCCTAGCTCGGAGAATGAGAAGTCTTCACCAAAGACAGAAAAATCAATGTCAGATAAATCAACTTCAGGCTCAGACCCAGATGGTGAAGTTGAAGCCAAGTCTGCAGTGGCAGGTGCCTCAAGGCACATTTCTGTATCAGTTTCATCAAAATTGAGCCTTCCTTTCACATGGTCTCTCTTATTTAACATCTTAATGTTAGACTTGACCGGTGAAGAAGAAGAAATCAGATGGCTCCTTTCCACTGTATAAGAAGTAATCTGCTTGAGAGGGCTAATTGTGAATCTCTCCCTTGTAACAATTGTGCAGTTTGTAGGAGTAACTTCTTTCTGGGGACTGTTGGACTTATCGCTGCAAGGAGAAGCATGCTTTTGTGGTGTCTTAAGACATGTTGAACTTGTAGGAAGGGACGAATCAGCCTTGTTGAACAAACACTTGGCCACGCTTGACCCGTGACCAGTCATTAACTCATTTGCTGATGAGTTCTTGGCCAATGTCAGTGTTTCAGATGGAGTTTGAGACGACAAATTGTTAGCTGCTTTATCAGCTTGTGGGATCTTATTCGTCTCTGAATACAAGAAAAAAAAGACAAAAATAAGTTGAAGGGTACTAGAGATTTAACCAAATTTAATTAACATGTAGATGTAGGCATAAACACATACCATTTGCTGTTGAGTTGTCTTGTGCTGTAGTAATCCGCGCTTTCCTAGTTACCGGAGGAGTTCCTACAGAGACCTCATGAACTTTTCGTTTTCCAGGCTGACTAGTCAAAGGTGTGGAGAAATTCCCAAAATCTACTCTTTTGTTACCCAACAATGACACTGACATAACATTAGGTGTGTTGTATTGAGCGCAGCCTGAAAAAACAAAAACATGTTATTAGTTCCATATGCGTAAAGTCGGATACATCAGCTAGGTACAGAAAATCAAGACCTATACATTAGCAGCAAAATTTTGTGTCCAAGTGTAAATCATCTTAGTACACAATTGCAATGTTCTAACAAACAGAAAACAGCTAGAATCGGTTCAATCGATAATGTGGAACATGAAAAGATCAAGATTCCAAAAAAACCAGGCTAAAATTCCAAAAAAACCTGAAGAAGAGGCTCTGTAGTTTTTCTGTTGAGAAGCCGGAGCAGCCACTGGTGGAGGAGGAACGGTGAGGCTGGCGTTGTAAGTGTTCATCACATTCTGCATCCCCTGCAACAGATTCTGAACTCTAATTTTCTCTTGATCCAATATCACTCTCTCTTGAGCCAACGCCACTTTCTGTTCCCTTAAGCATACGTAATCTTTCAATATATCCTCAAGGGTCAAATAACTCTTCAGAACCTACGAACGCAATAAAAACGCATAAGAAAAAGAAAAAGGAAAAAAAAACCCAATGGATTAAGCAGCAGAACAACAAATACAAGAGAATTTTCGTGAGCTTACATCACGAACTGGGGATTTGGAGAGGAGAGAGGAAGCTTCAGTTCTAAAGAGGTTTCGGGTTTTTGAGAATCGATTGTCGTAGAGGTAACGATCGACGATGAAAGCAATTTGCGTCGGAGTAATTTCTCCATTACCGATGTTAGGCGATCCCTTGGATCTGCTCGATTTCCCCATCTCGATTACTTCTGGAAATCGAAAACCCTAAATTAAGACGAAGATGAAGCACAAGAGAGAGATAAAGAGATGGAAGTGGAAAAGACCTGAAGAAGAGAGGGTTTTTAGTAAAAGAGTAACAAGGAGCGGGAGATTTTCAAAAAAATCGGTTTGGAGCGATTTCGTGTTTTTTATTTTGCCGGGAGATACTTGCGCCTGTTCGTGGCGGTAACCTGAATGTTTTGAAAGTAAAAAACTGTGAAGTTTTACTTTTTTACCATTACTATCCAATAGTTTATTTTCACTGTTGTATGAGGAGGAGTGTACTAATACAACAGTGTAGATAAATAATTAAATACTGTAATAGTAGGATTTATTTCAGCCAGACATGAATATCAGCTTTTTACCCTCTTTCTTTATTAGCTAAGTGAGGAAAGAGGAATATACAAATTATGGAATAACATAGATTATTGGGAAAATTCGCGATTGAATTTACCATGCATGAACGAGCTACAATTGTAAAATTAAATTTAAGAGGATACGGTAATTTGTTTAAACGAAATAAAATTCTAAATTTCTTAAGGAAAAAAGAAACAAATTACTTGATTTTCTTAGGCATCCTTAGTACAAGACGGTCGCAACATTTTGATAACCGTTCATGTTGATTTTGACCTAACAACTTTAAAAATCAGCTAACGAACGAATTTTGTTTTTTTATTTGTGAAAACAGATTTGGATTATTTTTTACATAAAAATAAAAAGAAAAAAATATAATCATCGATAATATATGAAAATATCATGTATATATAATACAACCAATTGGGAAATAATTTAACATAACTAAAAGTGGAACATGTCATAAACGCATTCTAAATACCACAAACACATTTGAGATTAATGGTTTTTCCGTGTTTGAATGAAAATGATGAAAGCATTTTTGGGGTTTACCACGGTGACAACAACGAAAGCAAAAACACTGAGAAAGATTCACAGCAACGAGGAGACAAAAGTTGCTACCTTTAACGCTTTTCGCATTGTCCAATTGCTTAACCCCATCACTCCCTGTTCTTTCTCTCTCTTCCTCAACCACTTTACTCTCTCCATCAGGAGATCTAAAATCTCCCCATTTTCTTACCCTAGAAATCAACCACAGATTCCACAGCTGCTTCATTAATGGCGAGCTACATTCTCTCCAGGTCATCCCTTCTTCTACTCCTGGCTTTACTCTCTCTCTTCTCCAGAAACTCGATCTCGGAAGCTAAATCCTCCTTCTCGTTCACAAGTTTCGGTAAAAAACCGAGCTTTGATTCTGACGACATTTCCCTTTACGGCGACGCTAAGCTCGTCGACGGCGGATCCTCGATTTCGATTCAGCTGAATGACTCAGTGAGCCAAGGTGATGGGTTAGTTGTCTACAAGAAACCCATTGAGTTCGTCGAGACTGAATCCGAGTATCCCGCTGGATTTTCCACTTTTATCTCTTTCTCGATTTCTCCTAGTCGTGGTGGGAGGCTCGGATTCGTCGCGTTTCCTGTTAATGGGACATCTGATCACTCTTTATTTGAAGTCAAGTTTGATACTTCGGAAAATTTCACCAAGATTGGAGATTCGAGTGTCGCGGTAATAGTCGATGGTACTAATGTTCCTGAGAAGACTCGCGATTTCTCAATCGCAAACTTGCAGAAGAAGGAGGAGGAGAAGTTGGTGTTGTTGTACGCTTGGATTAATTACATAGCAGGTGGTCAGTTCTTAGAAGTCCGGTTAAGCAAATCAGAAAGCATTAAACCTGTTGATCCTGTGATATTTACTTGGATCAACTTGTCGGGGATGTTGAAAGGTAAAGATGAGTTCATGGTTGGTGTTAAGTCGTATAACGGTACTTTTAATCTCCATTCTTGGAGCTTGGAAGCGAGACGCGTCCCTAAGGGTATGCACTCTTATGGGGCGCTTTTGGGGGCGAAGCTTAGAGAAGAGGAGGAGGCAAAGAGGCGGAGAAGAGAAAGGGTGTGGGAGATTGTGAGTTGCTTCGGCATGACCTTTGCATCTACTGGGCTTGTGTTCTTCGCCATGATGCATATATGGGCAGCTTTCAAAAGGAAGAATATTGTGATGGTGATGCAGGAGGAATGTGGTATCAAGACTAAGGAGTTTGAGTACGAGAAGATGGAGAAAATGGAAATTGTGATGAGTAAAGCTGAGGCGCAAGTAGTAAAGAAGTGAAGTCAAATTTCGTTTTTTTTTGTGTGCTTTAGGATATGTGATCTTTATGTAATCAAGTAGATTTCTTGGGTTTGTAATGGTGACTAGTAATCCACGATGTTCTTCAATTGGCTACTGTAGCCCCCTTGTTTTTCTATGTGTGTAAGCTTATTACATTGTTATTATTCTTTGGCACTTTTAGTTTGTTTCAGCATTATAAATGCGAGTAGAATGGGATATTCGTTTGAGATAGATAAGAAAAACAACTTCCACCTCCTACATAGTTATCAATAATCACGATCATTTTAGGTACGCAACGTAGTTTATATTCATCTACTTAAACTCTTCAACCGAAGATAATCTTCATCACAATGACTGCCACGTTCATGAACAGGAGGGGCAGTCTCATGTACTGGCAGGCATTAATCAGACCTATGATTTGGCCTTTGAAAGAGTTTCTTCTACCGGTTTGGTGGACATTTTCAAGTGTCCATCCTCTTGGAGCAAGGAAACGATCTTCATTGAGGATTGCAAATGCATTAGCAAAGAGGAGCAGACCTCTCATCAATGTCCAGAAGGCCATCTTTCTCTGTGGTGCATAGTGTTGATAAAAACAAATCAGAATCAGGGAAAAGAGAGACTGAGTGGAACAAAGTTGTCTGATTCTTGGCACACAGTTAAACATAACCGTTAAGGAACTTGGATTAGAACTCTATGAATGGACACTAAGTTAGTGCAAGTATAAATTTTCATTGTTTCAGTGATTCACTGTGAAACATGAACATAGCAGTAAAAAATCTTGATTAAAACATATAAAGAGAAATGCCCAAGCCACCAGAATGATTAAGCTGTCTTGTTATTTGGTTGAATTGGTTCCTATAATGATGTCATCTAGAATTTATACTATTGCAGGAGTCACCGAGATAGCATTGAAAAGTGCCTTACGCTAAGCATGATGTTATAGCAACCATTCTCAAGGACATATAAGAACCTAAGCAACAGAAATATGATTGGTGACAGTTTTTCAGGATCAAAAAAGCAGGTTGTGAAAAGCACCAAGCTAGATATAAACCCAAGAAACACTAGATGATGTTTTCTTATGAATTTGGTTAACAGAACACTTCAACCATGAAAGCTCAGAATAATGTCAAAAACGCATATAAGCAGTTGATAACTTGATTATGGTTTGATACTGCTTAAAGACATCCGAGAAATCTGAGCTATTGCATTCCTCAGTAATTACACTGCTGGTCTAAACCTGAGATCGAGACTGTAATCGAAGATCCAAAGAAGCAGCGAAACTGATCGATCGATTCCAGAATTACATTAAAAAAAAACACCAAAACTAGCAACCACTGAAACTTAGAAAGATTACTTACCGGCGGGAAGAAATTTACGATGAGGACGACGCGAGAAGGAGATAATCGAATCGTCTGTGAGATTTTGTAGCCGAAACCGAGTGAATGGTTTTTATTCTTCTTTCCTCTTCTTCTTCTTATGAAGTCTGAAATGTTTCTTAAAAACACGGTTCGGGTTTTTCAAGGGTTGAACCGGATCCAGTAATATTCGGGTCAGGACCCGATATGATTATTTTTGAAAAAGGGGGAAGATTTGGATAAACCCCGACATCGAAGTAAAAAACCCCCCATGGCTTCACTTCTTCTTTTTCCTCACCTTCACCATTTTGATTCTTCACATTCGATCATAAATCGTAGAGAAGTAGTAGCTCCCGATCAAATCCCTCGAAATTCACCAAAATTAAGGAAATTTCTCTCTCCGAAAGCTTCAATTAATGGCGGTATCACAAACGGAGCAGCAGCGGAAACCGCTAAACCCAGTCGCAAAGGGAGGAAGAAGAAGCAAACCTCGACGGTTATTGAGAAAGAAAATACCGAAAGCGATCCTACCGAGACGAATCCTGAATCGGATCCGGCGTTAGTGGATTACGACGACGGGATCGATTTCCCGTACGAGGACCCGCCTCTCGTGTGCTGTTTCGGAGCCGTACAGAAGGAATTTGTTCCGGTGGTGCGAGTCCACGATAACCCGATGCACCCTGACATGTACTCGCAGTGGAAGATGCTGCAATGGGATCCGCCGGAGTTTGGTCGAGCTCCGGGAGGTCCGCCGTCGAACGTGGCGATCTCTCACGTTCGGTTAGGCGGGAGAGCGGCGTTCATGGGGAAAGTCGGTGAAGATGATTTCGGGGAAGAGTTGGTCCTGATGATGAACAAGGAGAGAGTTCAGACGAGAGCTGTGAAATTCGATGAGAATTCGAGTACTGCTTGCACTCGCGTCAAGATCAAGTTCGAGGACGGGAAGATGAAGGCGGAGACGGTGAAAGAGCCGCCGGAGGACTCGCTTCTTGTTTCTGAACTGAATTTAGCTGTGCTGAAAGAGGTAAAATCATTCAGATTATTGTTGACGAGGAACAATTTGACTTTCGTTTATAATCTAAAATGAAATGATAGCTCGAAGCTTGGTTTCTTATGGCAATTATCTGTCTTGAGCATTAATCATGTTGCAAATGACTAGTTTCTTGTTCGTATATGATTTGGATCATGAAATAGAACACCTCAGGTTCCCTTTTAAGCTTCTTGGTATTTTACTTATACAGGCAAGGATTTTCCATTTCAATTCAGAAGTGTTGACGTCTCCTACGATGCAATCAACTCTTTTCATGGCAATACAATGGTCCAAAAAGTTTGGAGGGCTGATTTTCTTTGACTTGAACCTTCCATTACCGCTATGGAGATCGCGCAATGAGACTAGGAAGTTGATCAAGAAAGCATGGAATGAAGCAAACATCATCGAAGTTTCACAGCAAGAGCTTGAGTTTCTACTTGATGAAGAGTACTACGAGAGGAGAAGAAACTACACACCACAATACTTTGCTGAGGATTTCGAGCAGACAAAGAACCGAAGAGACTATTACCACTACACACCAGAGGAAATCAAACCATTGTGGCATGAGGGGCTGAAGCTATTGGTTGTGACTGATGGAACACTTCGGCTTCATTACTATACTCCTTCTTTTGATGGAGTTGTGGTTGGAACCGAGGATGTGCTTATAACTCCTTTCACCTGTGATAGAACAGGTTCTGGTGATGCTGTTGTTGCAGGCATCATGAGGAAGCTAACAACTTGTCCTGAGATGTTTGAGGACCAAGATGTGTTGGAGCGACAGCTCCGGTTTGCAGTTGCTGCTGGTATCATATCGCAGTGGACAATTGGCGCAGTTAGAGGTTTCCCTACTGAAAGCGCGACACAGAATTTGAAAGAACAAGTTTATGTTCCATCAATGTGGTAGAATAGAAAGATCAAGAACTCGGCTTCTACTTTAATATGTTTTTGAACAATGTGTGAGATGTATACTGATTCAAAATTTGTAATCCAATGTACAATCAATTTTTGAGTTCACTGATGATTAGCAGACGTCTCAATCTTTGTATTGTGCTTCCCGTGCAGAGTCACAAAAATGCTCTAGCTGATACAACCTTTGATGCCCCCCTGTATGCCAAATTGATTCTACTAAGCAGCCTGAATCTTCTGAAACTCGGGTTACCTCTTTTCCTATATCTGTACAAAAACGCTGTATACTCGATGCAGCTTGTTCTATGCTCTGATCCACAACAGCATTCTTCAGTGTTTGACAAGTGAACCTCGACTGTTTTGGACGCTATCTTGAAGCACTCTTCTTCCATGTCTTTGACTCCGTTCTTAGACTTGATTTTTTCCAGAGCTGCTCAGGATGATGAGACTTGTTACAGATGCAATTAGGTTGTGGGTTTGCATAGAAATTCTCCTCTAGCCTGGGAAGTGAAGCAGGCAGTCTCGCATAAGCAGCTCCAATCCTGTCTCTATTTAATCGCTTAACCTCGGAAGCAAACTCTTCCCAAGATATGACACCCTCATCAAAATGATCCATCAGTCTAACAAAGTTCAGCCTGAAATAACCAACACATAAAAAATCAGCAAAACCAGTGAAAGAAACTGCAAATTGTGGCAAAACAAAAAACTTTTATTCCATGTTACCATACCTGTCTGGATTTATCGACTTCCTAAACCCTTCAAACCTTCTGTGTCCTTGGACCGCCTTAGCCATATTTCCATCATATGTATATACAAAAACATCGCTTGCAAGGGCCACAATATAATCCAATGCAGCAAGGCGATTCTGGTATGGACTGAAAGGCTCTAACTCTTCTTCAGTCGCAAGGGTTGAGTGAGAAAAGACATTTGGGTACTCTGCACGGAAAGCATCCATACTCTTGCTTCCATAGATTTCACCAGCCACTATGTATATAGTTGTGGAGGATGGATATCCCATTGCCTTTAAAAATATGGCTGCTTCTCGAGGAGACATTGGACATCCACCTTGAATCCGTCTCTCTCGGCTATCAATCTCTTTCTCCTTCCAATGTTGGACACTGTACCTCATAATTCTCAGATCTTCAGCTTCCTCAGCTGTAAGATTGTGGTTGCATCCTGTAAAGGCAAGCATGTCCTTTTCATATCTGCAAAATATCCAAAACACTATTGAGTCAAAACCGAGATCCACCAACGATTTTCCTTGCTGATGCAAAAAAAAGGTCGTATTTACCTCAAGTGCAGAGCGATATACGGCTCACTGTTGTTTCTTAACCGGTTAACCAAAACCTTTCCAAGGTCCTCGATCTCCTTGGTGTACACCAGTGCCTGGTAATTAGCACGACATCTCAGTCGTTGGATTGATGGCGGCAAGTCATTGTTAGCAAGCCGTGAGTCAGTATGCGTGAACTTCAACACCTTGTGACGTTTCAACAGTGGCACCATTTCGCTTCTGTAGTAACTAGCCTGCATTTCCATTATGAATTTGAGAATTTACTTCTCCTGGCGGAAAACCCCTAGATCTATACAGGAGCAAAGATAGAACACAGAACGGTAACCAAGAAAACCTTCACCAATATGAACGCACACCTTCGACCAAGAAATAGGGGCCTTTAGAAGAGGCTTCATGGCAGCATACTGAGGAGGCAAGTACTCGACAATGTCAACATCGTGTTTCAGAAGGTTCATGAAGTGTCTCCAGTCAAAAATATCTTTAAAAGTGCTGCATACAAAGAAAATTTATTAGAATTAAGTCAGTAAAAGTGATAAGATATAAGGACAAGACCTTGGGTCAGTCCAGAAAGATTCGTGGTCAAGAAGAGGAAGAACAAGAGTTGCATTCATAATCTTGGCAACGGCAACCATGTCACATATCTGCATTTTGGTCAAAACGAACAAAGAAAGGTAAATCAAAAACAGTACAATGTGGAGAATCGTGAGATCAGAACCTTCTAAAATACTGTGGAAGTGAGAACTCACCCCAGTTCTCATCTGATTCAATCCTCCATTTGCGTGTACTAGAAGATACCCATTGGTTTTTCGGCGCAGTCCTAGACAAAGACATATATCAGTCCTAGATCTTGAAGATTCAAAACTGTAAATGCGCCTGAAGAGGAACCAAGAAATGTAAGATAGCAACATACTCGTCTGTTTCTTAGGACGCGCCACACACTGGCGATAATTTCCGCTTTCAGGTTTCTGCCAAATTTCCGGAATCTGGAAAAAGCAACATCCAAACATGAAATCCATAACCAGATCCTCGGAAACGAAGTCAAAATGAAAGATTTCGTCTTCCTTAGATTGCAAAAACAGAGGACATGATTAAAAAAAAAAATTAAGCTCATTCTAAATCTGTTCAACCTCTGACTACACAGATCACAAAAATTCCTCGTACCGTAAATCTATTACTTGAAAAAATCAACAAGTTGTTTAAACTTAACAAACGAAACTACATCGACTCAACAGTGCCATGAGCTGTAAAAAAAACCAATATCACCAGGATCATTTTGGAACTTTTACATTAATTAACTTTTCAACTTAAGTCTTCTCAAAAGGGTTATGGATTGTGCAGAAAATAAAGTCAACTGAAATTGTAGGGAAGTGATGATCTACATCAAGGCCGCCCAATTCCATTGACTTTTAATGCTCTCGTCAAAGTCTCTCGCTCCAATATCAAAACGTACTGCTCATAACATGAATTTCATTTCTGAATATTCTAGCGCCACCGAAACATTGATCATTCAGTTGTGCAATCATTAAAGATGTTCAACTTTCTACCTAACCCACTTCTTCTTCTTCTTCTTCCCTTCGTTTTCTCTTTCAAGTTTCTCCAGAAAAGGAGACATTGATGCGAACAGTGCAACCTTATTACGCTAATTTTCTTAGAGACTACATAATCGGATATTAAATTGAGAACTCTTCAACTAAGTTACAGACGCAGACGAAAATTCCGCTCATGACGTTCTAAGTTTTGATCAGAAAACCTTAAACATGCAGACAAATAAAAGTAAATTCAGAAAGAGGATTGAGTTTGATCCTAACCAAGAACATAACTGTGGATTTGCGTATTTCTCAATTGGTTATCGATCAGAGAAGCTCAAAAAACGCGTATTCCCAAAGATTGACTTTTTCTTTCTCGGTAAACGAACAGAAAATCCCTAAAAAATGTCAAATGTAAAGAGAAGAGAGAAAGAAGAAAACTCACGGGAAGCTTCTCCAGAACGCGCATTGGCTGAGACGAAGCTTGGTTGACGGCGACTTCACGTTGAGCCATTGACCGATCGTCACAGAGCGTTCTAACGACGACAAACTCGCTCAATCGCGCGTGGTCGACCACGCGTACACCACCTATGAGGTATACCCTGAGGAACACGGACGCGACCACGAGAACCATGAGGAGACCCAAGATCCGACGCCCCACGTTTCTCCCCGATCTAAACCCTTGCCCCACCACAGGCGTCGATCCACCACAACCGCCGCCTTGGAAAAACGGAAACCGGAATTTACGGAGGAGAAGGAGAAACCGAATCGCTTGGTTGTTGTGAAATTGGTGATAGTGATCGTGGTGGTAGTGAGATCCAGTAGACGAGGAACCCTCCGAAGATGGAGAGGAACAAGGACCCCCTTGGCTGCTCGTATCTCCGCCGTCCAAATCCGTCGATACAACGACGGTATTAGCGGTGGCTGTACTGCAGAAATCAGAGGAATTCGAGGGTCGTTCGGAGACTACGTCGAGAGAATCACCCACACGGCGGCGTGTTGTGGTGGGTCCGGCTGGGATTGGTGCGTTAGGCAAGGGGTTTATAGCTCCGGCGACTGACATATCGCTGCCGGTAAAAGGGAATTCAAAATTGGAAAGAGAAGAGAGAGAGAAAAGAGGGATGATTAGTTTTGGTTTAGAGGCTACGTGGCCATGTTCTGGTTTTCTTCTTCTCTGTATCCACCGTCACCGTGAAACTCGGCGAAGCTGAGGCGCCGAATCAATTTTTGTTTTTCAGATTTTTTGTAATGGCCTGTGCGTATATTATTTATGTGACTGTTCTAATCATTCCATATGGAGTATATTTTTAAGTTTTTTCTTTTTTTCTTTTACAGTTTTGCATTTTTGGATAACTTACATCACGTTTGTAGCACATCTTAATACCAAAACGAATAATACCTCATCACTTATTTTTATTTGACTTTTTGAAATTATTTAGAAAGTTTTGAAGCTTATAATATTCTTAAGAATTTTGTATTGGCTTCATAATCGAACGGGTTATACAAAAGTACATCAACAATTAAGAAATATCTTAAAGGATTAAGCGATTTATAGAAAACTTACAAAGGAGAACAAGTGAAAAGATTTTGGCATTTAGCCTATAAAAGAAGTTAAAGGTGAAACCTCTTGATCCTAAAATGCGTCACAGTTTTCTTACAAAAACCAGTCGCTTTCTAAATGTAAAGAAACTAGTCAAAAATTTAGAGTAAATGCGCATTCATAGAATCATTACACTTATAATATAGAACACACAATTTTGTTTGGTCACATGTATCAAAATTTTAAAGAGTGAATTACGAATTATTCAAAGTTATGATCGTCTACACATGTTATCACGATATTGACTAACATTCAAAGTTGTATCATATAATCCAATCCATTTCGATAGACATAATTGGCATATAACCATTAACCTTTAGTCCTTGACCTTTAACAAATATACAATCCAATGTCGAGCTCTCACGATATGGAACTAACAAGACTTCGTGATATGATGTACATTATAAATGTTTATATACCAGAATTTTCTCCCACGCTGTCTATCCAGCATGTATGTGAAAATACAAAAACAGTAACCCAAAGATTAACAGAAAACACAACACAGATATTTTTTTACACAAAAATATATTACTAATAAATTTTTTTGTAACTTACAAGTATACAGAACTCGATTCAAAGCAAATTCAAGACATTTCTTGATTTGCTATTTTAGCTTCACTCTATCCTTAAATCTATACGTGATTCAAAAACCTCTCACTCAAATTCTTTAGTACTCTAGCTCACAATTTCTTATAAGACAATCTTTCACCTTTTGCTAAAAAAATTCTTAATTGTGTGTTAAAAACTTTACAAGTTCTAACATGCATATTTATATATATAAGATTTGCGGCTAATCCTAGTCGAGACTCCCTTTATTGATTTCTCCAAATTTTCAACTGAATCTTCTATTCCTTTACTTTCTCCTAAGAATAAAAAAACTTCACATTTTTTCGAAATCGATTCCAAGATACTTCAAATTTTTTGTCTAAGTCAGCTTCTCGTCTTTTAGAGTGTCCAATACATCCTACAGCTCTAGCTCACTTCAACGTGTGTAAATTGCTCCGCAAGTCTTCTCCGTATTATTCTTTGAGCTAGCTCGACTACTACACGTGCTGCTACAGATTAGTTTGCCTCCAGCATGTAGTCCATTCCAATCTAGTTATTTTTTAAGAGTATAACAAACTTTAAATATTGATTTTTTAAAACGTGGATATAAATGTTGTGTTTTTCCATTCTAAATCCAACAACTGATGGCGTTTGTGTTTAAAAGTCACATCCTATATTCGAAAGTAAAATTCTCTACAATTTTTTATTCTAAATAAAAAAAATTAGTCTAAATATAAGTTAAACAAAAAAAATCAGTCATTTCTAACTTGATAAACTTTGAATCTCTTAATATATAGCGTGGCGTGGTGTCATTTGTTAGACAGTTGCAAGTGAAAATCACAAATGGATGATAACAATTAGTCACACACACGTACGACTGTAAATAAAGCGCAGCTAAATAAATAGCCCCCCATTCCTTTTCTCTTTTCGTAGCAGAGAGAGAGAGGGACGATCGAAACTGAAACTCTACAGGCCAAGTTGCGTAGCCGTAATCGTCGTCTCTCTCTTCCCGAGATTCTCTACTCTCTCTCTCTCTCGTTGATTTCGCAACCCTAACTTCATCCCTCTCTCTATTTTTTTTCTCTGATTTCGCCTTTTTCTGGATCGAAGATGGTAGCTGATAGCAAATCCGACCTTTCATTGGCCAAAACTTTCGGCTGCAGTGCCTTCGCTGCCTGCGTCGGCGAGGTAACTTCCGGATTCCCCAATTTTCCATGCCTTTGAACATTTTTTTTTTTATCGACAGGACGCGCAAATGTATTGCGAATTTCCATGAAAATTTTCGAAGTCTGATCAGGTGGACCTTCGTGTGTCACCGTATAGCTAGAGCATCGTGTTATTAGCTTCTATATACTATTTCTCCAGATTTTGGGCTTTTATATGTACAGTAGTTTCGATGGAATTGATACGCTTTCTACACTCGGAAGGAGAATATTCCAGCTCGATGTATACGGTTAATCTGTCAGATCTGTGGGTAGGATTGAGTTTTGGCGTTTGATTTCAGTACTAGACGATGTTAATTTTATGCTCTGGGTGTGATTTTGCGAAACACTGCAAAGGAATATGAGATTTCATTATGGAATCCGAATTAAGCATTGTATTTGTTTTGCAACGCAAATCGTGTAAATGTTTTTTCAACTCTCAGAACAAAGTGTATCATCTGTTTAGATGTGTGCTGCTTCCTCAGATGATTATGTGTTGCATCATCGGTATTTGAAATTTCTTATGCAATCAAACTCTTGTGAACCAGGTATGCACAATTCCGTTGGACACTGCTAAAGTCAGGCTTCAGCTCCAAAAGTCTACCATAGCTGGAGATGTTACTCTTCCTAAATATCGGGGATTGTTGGGAACTGTTGGTACCATAGCAAGGGAAGAAGGGCTTCGTTCTCTTTGGAAAGGTGTTGTACCAGGATTGCATCGTCAATGCTTGTTTGGAGGTCTAAGGATTGGAATGTATGAGCCGGTGAGTTTCAAATCTACTTCTTTTCATGCTCCTGAAAAAAATGTGTTAATTCAGTAGCTTTGTAGTTAATACCCAAAAGCTTGTTTTCCTCAGGTCAAGAACTTGTACGTTGGAAAAGACCATGTAGGTGATGTTCCGTTGACTAAGAAAATCCTTGCTGGTTTGACTACAGGTGAGCATTGCAGGTTTAGAAGAAACTCAAAATATATGTGTCTCTCTTATTATTTAATTGTGGGATGCTGTTGCTGTTGTTGTCTAACTCTCAGGTGCCCTGGGTATTATGGTAGCGAATCCAACTGATCTTGTGAAAGTTAGACTTCAGGCTGAAGGAAAACTAGCTGCAGGTGTGCCAAAACGGTATACTGGATCACTGAATGCGTATTCAACAATTGTGAGACAGGTAGTTATCTAGCCATGGAAGTTGAGATTGTGCATAGGTTTGCTTAAACGCTGCTTTCATTTCTATCTAATTTGGCTCTGATAGGAAGGAGTCCGAGCTCTTTGGACTGGTCTTGGACCTAACGTAGCCAGAAACGCAATCATCAATGCTGCTGAGTTAGCGAGTTACGATCAAGTGAAACAGGTATGATTTGTATAAAAATAACTGTTCTCTGCTTCTCCTGTCTTCTTAAAAAGGATCCTGATATTGTAATCAACACTCCCTTTTCATTCAGACAATCTTGAAGATTCCGGGGTTCACTGACAACGTTGTCACACACATTCTATCTGGACTGGGAGCAGGATTCTTTGCTGTCTGCATCGGTTCCCCTGTTGACGTGGTACGATATCTACACTTGACATTAAACCATGAGTTTGTTCACTACGTTTCCTGATTTTAGTTTTGAATCTTGTTGTGTGGCACAGGTGAAGTCAAGAATGATGGGAGATTCTGCTTACAAAAACACTATTGACTGCTTCGTCAAAACACTGAAGAACGACGTAAGCGACTCTGCTTCTGTGTCCTCTCTATAAATCTTGGTCTTTAATGTACTAAAAACCCTCTAGAAACTGTTTATTCTTAACTCTTGAGTTTTTCCTCTACAGGGTCCTATGGCATTTTACAAAGGTTTCATCCCCAACTTTGGACGCCTTGGCTCATGGAACGTCATCATGTTTTTGACCCTTGAACAGGTAACGACTAATATAACTTTTATTGGATCGAATCAATCACGCAAAGCCTTGACTCTCTTTTTCTTACCTCGCTTCTTAATACTTTGATTCAGGCAAAGAAGTATGTCCGGGAACTAGAATCGTCCAAGAAATAATGAGGCGCAACGTTTTAAGCAGAGTGAATAAGAGCAACATTGTTTTCTTTTTAATTTCGGCTATCATTAGAAGCGAGAACTTCGTTGAATATTTTTTCCCGGAATAGAGTCAGTTTTTAAGTGAAACTGTGAAAACAAATTCTGTGGGTTTGCTCATATATTGGCTGTACCATTAAAACATTTATCCAAATAAACATACATTTTCGTCTTTCTTTCCACAAAGCTGAGAAATCAAAAATGAAGAAGAAACTGTTTGAAGAAGAGAGAAGTGAAGTCAAAGAGAGACAGACGGGGTCTCAGCTCAGTTTCTTATTTTCCGGATAAGCCCATATCTCGAATCTAAGGTAAAGCTCTTTAGCTTTGTTGTAGATGAACACCAGAGATCCATCAATGTAATCCTCGTATCTCTCGTAGAAAGCTGGAACTGTCAAAACCATCAAAACGCCTGCCAAAAACAAACACAGTCGAATGAAACTCTAGCTTAAGCCAGTCCAATTCTACTAGAGGAGAGGTTTACTTACAAGTGTGGCAAAGTGTCTGAAAATCCATGAGGCTTCCGATGAATGTGATGAGAAATAGAGAGATAGCTACTTTGATAAACAACTCTGAGTCTCTTCCCATTGCAATGTCATGGGAGACTTGAAGCAACTTATTAACATGGATGCGTAACAATGCTGAAGTTTCCACTGCCATCGCTTCAGTTATACGAAACTCCGGCAATGGTGGTGATGGCCTGGAGCCAAGAACAACTGAATTATAGAAATGAAGAATACAATGGAAACTCTTTGACAGAGACTTTATGGTTTTTACCTGTTGAGGATGGATGCAGATTTGGACCAGAGGAAAAGAATAGAGAGCAAGAGGAGAAGAACACTTGAAAGAAGAGTGAGAATTGTATAAGCTAATGTCTCAAACACCATCCATGATCCTATCGTTACTGTGACTATACCAACACTCACATTCTTCTCCCTCCACAGCACCACATCTGCAACTGCAGATTCATTTCATAAGAAGAAGAACAAAAAGGTTAGAGAAGTGAGAGATCACTTTAGCTTTTACATTTTTTGGATTTTGGTAATGATATGGATTCACTTACCAATGCCACCTCCCAGAATCTCATGTAGAGCCCTCTCTCTATTGAACAACTTTTCTGAAGAGGAACCCATTTTAGAAGAAAGATCAGCAACAGGATTCCAACTTTGATTTAGATTTTCTCAGATCCCAAAAGTTACCCAGATATACATATATGTATTTCGCTCTGAATGTCAGAAACAGATCACCATGTGCAGAGGAATCGCAAAGGCTCAAATCGAAAGAACCGTAGGAATCAGAAGAGAGTGGGAAACAAAAAAAAGGTGATGAGACTAAAGTTGGGTCATCACCAACATCATCAAAGCCATCAACTTTGAATAGAATAGATTATTAAATAATTCAAAGCTATGCTCTGTTAGGGAAAAAGAAAGTGTTTGTTGGCCTCTCGATGTGATCACCTTACAGCCTAAAAGTGATATCCCTCTAAAGCCCAGGTTTTCAAAACTGTTAAACTTCGCTAGTCAGCGGCTACATGAGATTAAATTTATTACATTCATCTTATCAAAGTTAGTAATCTATTTATTTAGTCAATACAATTAATTGGTTAACTTAAAACAATTGACCATACAAAAATTATCTTAAAATGTGAATAAAAAACGAGCAATTTCGTTTTGAAACCGAGAAGTAAAACTGTAAAAGTAATTTTTTTTCCTAAATGATCAAATAAACAAATATTTGAAATATTTATACTATTTAAAATACAACTTTATTCTACTTTATGTTAGTTTATGTTAGCAATCCCACTCCCACCTCTTTACTGAAACTGAACCAACACTGGTCTATGAATTCCTTCTCATTTACAAATACTACGAATTTTGATAGGAGAAATGAGTTGCTTCCACCCTCTTCAAACGTAACCAATGTCAAGATCGCTTTGGGATTTACCCAAAAAAAAAAATTACAAAAAGCACCATTTCACAAACCGTTTATTCTCTGGTTTCTGTCGATGTAAGCTTTTATGTTCTGTATGTAAAATTGTCGATAACAAAAAAACAAAAAAAAAAAAACAAAACAAAACCACGTGAATGTTCCTCACCCTCATCAATAAAAGCTTGTTCTCTATTCTCTGTGCTACTTTTGTTTCTCAGTTTCGCTTTGAGAAGTCCCAGCAGCTCCGAGATTGGCACCACTCGCAGAAGCATCAAGCAAACTCGCTGCAATAGCTGCCTTCAAGTCATCGTCTTCCATCTCTGAAAAAGACCTCACTTCCTCCCGCGACAATGCCTGATATGGTCTTTGTTCATCGACACTGACATCAGTTCTGTTGTTGGTGCCAGAAGGACCCTCCACCGAGCTCGTGTTCTTTAATAATCTCTCTGCGTCTTCTGGAGAAAGCCACTGTCCGAAAGTGTTGGAAGCTTCCGAAGAAGACGACATTGGACATTCTTGCGGGAAGTTTCCTTTCACTATGAAGATGCTCCATCCCGAGCCTTTGAGAGAGTCGAGAAACGCTGAAAGGTAGAACTTCGATAGGTGTTGCGGCGCAGCGAGGAGGCTGTCAAAGTTATACCATTCGCCGTTCACTTTCCTTATGCAAAACCAATGGTCATGCAAGTGGCAGATGAAGGCGTTTTCAAGCTCGGGATCTATCTGCGCAGGCTCTGCATCGGGACAATTGAGCGGAATCACTTGTAAATCCCACACTTCCAAAGCCTTTTGCAAGACCTGTCAATAAAAAAGAAGCTTCTTTAGTGAAAAGGATTATACAAAACTAGAAGTATCCATCCAACTAATGTCGCGAAATTTAGATGCTACACAGATCACATAAACCTCCACAATTATCGCTTCTGCTTTCACATGTTTAAAAATGGGATGTAAATCGCTATTCAGGGGAAGTAAGTGGTTTGCTTTTTCTATACTCTAAATACTCTAATATACAAAACTCTTACAAGCACAACGGACTTGTGTTGCAGCAGACTTAACAAGAAACTAGTTTCAAGCTATCCAGGAAACAATAGATGATACTTCTTACAAGAGACAATCAAGATCAAACCTAAAGAGAGTAAAATATACAAACCCCACAGATAACTATAATCTCCGAGTTCAGAGTTAAAGTTCTTACTGTCTCAGCATAAAGAAGCTAAGCTTTGATAAGTAAGTTTAGCCCAGTAAAGTCCGAGAATTCACCATTCTTAATCTCATTTCATTGTTTTTGCAATCTTCTTGATTTGATCTGTAAGCACTTAGCTCTAAACGTTAAAATCTTCCATTCGTGCATTAATCTTCAAGATCAAAGGTACGCATTCAAAAGGTTTCCACTTCAGTCTAATCGAAATACAACCAAATGCCCCAAGAAATCGAAAACCCTAATTTCGTCCAAACTAAACTTAATAAGAAATGGGAGTCGCACTTCTAAATCTTGAGGCGAATTCAAGGATTTTTCATATTCATCTAAGTAAAAACAAAAACCACGCACCCAAGAAATCGCGTTTATACCTGGATACTGAAATCGCCGCCGAGGGAAACGTTGTGCGACTCCTCAGAGAGAAAATCGCCGGCGGAAAATCCTCCGGTGGCGGCGCCTTCGAGCATTACCTGACGCTCCTTCCCGTCGAGATCGGAGGCGACGGCAGCCAAATCAAATTCGGAGAAGAAAGGTCCCTGCAGCACCGTGTTGACGCAGTGTACGGCGCACAGATTTGCTTCCTGCACCTCGTGATACAACATTCCTCCGTTGCTAGTTCTCTCCATCGCCGATCAAGAATTAGATCAAAACCCTAAATCTTCTGATTCCGTGGATAATATTTTGCAGCGATGAGAAAGTCTTTCCCTTCAAGTAATTAAGATGCGAAGAAGACGAAAGAGGAAGCAATTGAGAGAGAGAACGGAAAGTTAACCTTTATATAATAGTAACATGTGATTCCACGTCATCAGGCATGTGTCATGAATTAACTAACATTTATTTTTACAGTTCCCACAAAAAAAAAATTGTTCTTTATTCTTTACCTTCGAAAAAAATAGTTACGTTACGTATAATCATTTCGTAGTTAAATTCCCCCAATAATTAGTAATTCATTTTTTTTTATACTAGTAATTCAATTGTTAGCTCCTAAATATTTTAATAGAATCAATTATTTAATTCTTCTGTATTTATATCAAATTAGCAAACAGAACACATTTATAAATACAAACATTTTCTAAACAATTCTGAAAGAAAAGAAACTATATGCCACGTGTAAAAATAATTGACTTGAAGACTGACTGTCTTCTGTTTTTTTTTTTTGTCAAAAGTGTGCAAGCAAAGCAAATGGGATAACTGGATAAGCTTTTGCAAGAATAAAAAATTAGAGATTCTTTGAACTATCCAACTTCATCGTCCTAAGTTGCAAACTTTTTCTGAATCAAATAAATAAACCATTTTAGAGACTGGAAGTATTATTCAGGGAAACACACGAAATACAATCAGCAAAACCCAAATCAAAATCATCAACGACTAGACCAGTATATCTACATTTATAAATTACAAGCAAAATACTTTAAAGTTTGAAACCAAATCTAAACCAACACTGTAACCAAACTTGTGAAGAACCTCTTAAGAAACCAGTTTCTTTCATCAATGTGCTCGACCTATTACTTTCTTGTATTTGTAGCGTTTGGAGATCCAGAGATACACTAAGAAGTTGAGGAAACTAAGAGTTGCCAGCAAATAGAAATAGTAATCGAGATGGCCTCGGTTCAAGTTATCCGGTATCCAACCCGGTTTCCCATTCTTCTTCGTCAGTCTCATCACAACCGTCACAAGAACCGTGCTCAAGTAGTTCCCTAACGCAACCGTGGTCAACGACAAAGCCGAGCAGAGACTCCTCATGGCATCAGGAGCCTGATCATAGAAAAACTCAAGCTGACCTATAAAGGTGAAAACTTCCGCACACCCAACAAGTAAATATTGCGGGACCTGCCAGAAAATCGACATGGGGATCTTTTTCTGGTCATATGCATTGTGAGTTTTAACGTAATCAAGCCTAACGACCTCTAGGACTCCTGCAGTGATCATGGCAAAGATCGAGATCACGAGACCGATTCCCATTCGTTGAAGCTGAGTGAAGCCTCGTTCATGGCGTGTGAACTTTCTTGCGAACGGGACAATGAACTGGTCGTAGACTGGGGTCCAGAACAGAACACTGACCGTGTCGAAGAGCGAGAGTGAAGCGGATGGGATCTCAAAGTTTTTTCCCATGTGTTGGTCCAATGTGTTTCCTTGTAAGACGAACATCGTGTTCATTTGGCTGTACACTGTGGCGAAGAGTATCCCCGAGGCCCAAACAGGAAGTAGTGTGATAATGGACTTCAGTTCTTCGACTTGTGTCACAGAGCAGAGTCTCCACGGATTCACTTCCCCCTCTTTGATGCTATCTGATTGACTCTCAACCGCTGCCTTATCGAAAAACCTGACATTTTCAAAGCTTTGATTAGAAATCTAATGAGAGAATGAATCATAAGCATATAAGTAACATGAAAACCCCAAAGATCTCAACTTTCTTGAGAAAACCAAACAGATTCAGGTATTGGGAAAAAGATGGAAACTTTTTGATATCTTACTTTAAGTTGTCTGTGTGTTCGAGCTTCCGGCTACCAGTGATATTACTCTCATCATCTGCGGTTTCAAAGAGAAGAGACTTGTCCTCTGGAACCTTAACACTCACCTTCCTGAAAGACGCAACTATGACCTGAAATATCCGTGTGAGAGGACTCCCTCCAGGTCTCTGAAGCCGGTAAAAACGACTTCCCATGAAGAAAAACGTAACAGCAATGACCATGGCCACGGTCGGAACACCGAAACCCCATCCCCAACCAACGTTCATTTGTATCCAGACAAGAACAGTGGCAGCGACAAGAGCTCCAACGTTAATGGAGAAGTAAAACCAGTTAAAGAAAGAGCTTTTCTTTAGCTTCTCAGCCTCGTCATTGTCATCAAACTGATCCGCTCCAAAGGAAGAAACACACGGCTTTATACCGCCTGTTCCAAGCGCAATCATATAAAGCGCAACGAAGAAAACAGCCGTCTGGCCCGTGTTTGGATGACAAGTGTCGCCATTGCAGTTACTTGGTCTAAGTCCAGGAACTGAAGCTGATAATGTCAAAAGAGTCATACCCTGCAAAGAGAGGAATAACAAACTTACTATTCCCACTCATATTGTAATCCACCGATTTGAGGATTAATCATAAGCAGGGCAAGTAAAAAACTCACAGAGACATAGATGAAAACAAAGATTGCGATAGTCCAATATCGCCCAAGATAAGCATCAGCTACAAAGGCTCCAATCAAGGGAGTTATATAACATGTTCCAGACCAGTTCGTGACGTTATTTGCAGCAGTAGCATTGCCTTGATTCAGACGACTCTCAAGATAATTCACGAGGTTAGTGCCCATTCCATAGTAGGCCAATCTCTCACAGCACTCATTTCCTAGACAAGATTTTAACAGACACAAACACTGATCAACCTTCTATAGTTCTATGGCACTAAATATAAACCAAAAAGATATCAAGGGACAAATATTAGATCGTTACCAAGAATGAAGCGGCAAGCTTTCCAGTTTCCTGTTTTCTTTTTGTTGGCAGGATTTTTGTTAATATCGACAGTTCCATCTTCCGTATAAACGTCCTTCTCTTCCATAATCCTTATAAAACAAAATCCAATATAAATCTGAATACTTTTGGTATGAGCAAACCCTTCAAAATTTCAAGTAGCTGAGATATTTGATTTATATGAATCGATGGAAACGATTACTAAAATTGGTTGGTACATGTCTTTAAATTTTACAAATGAATAAACAAGTAGATATTTTTTTTTTTTGGTATGAAAATGAATAAACAAGTAGATGCGTAGACCGGAATATGCAGATGAAGAAAACACAGAATCCTCACTCTAAAGTTCAAGTTTTTGGGGAAAAGCGAAATACCCAAAGGATAAGGGTGAGATGTAATAGGACTTTATTCATCTATATTAGACAGAAGTAGTGAACGGAAAAACTTCTTTACCAAAATTAAAAAACTGTAAAAAAGAAAAACCTTTGTGAGACAGAAGTGGACGGTAAAGATGGCGGAATCAGCGGCGGAGATGGCAAACGAGTAGATATTTTCCGGGAAGAGTAAGCGAAAAGAGAATCTTCGTGGAATACTTAGACGACACTTGTAGGAGTATTATGAGTAAATAATGAGTATAGAGCTTGAAAAGTTGCAGTGCTCTGTTTCCACTTTCAGCTTTATTTTTATATCCAAGAAAGGAGCGTTCTTCACTTTTCTTCCTATGTTTGCAATTTAACCCTCTAACTTTGTAAATTTCAGTTACAGCCGCAATCCTTTTGTGCTCTCCATTTTCGATACCTCTTTCATATTGGATATTATATTTTGCTTTGGAACTCTTTGTTTTGACTCCAAAGTAATAAATAAATATATATCAAATAATGTGGCAGAGAAATTAAAAACTTATTTAAGAAATCCTCCACCCAAAAAACTTTACTGGACTTAATAACTGACTTTTTTATATGAAAAGCAAAGTGTGAACAAAAGTAAAGTCATATCAAAAGAAAATTTGGATTCTTTTGATAATTGTGTTCATACTTCATAGGGGATATGAATTGTATTTTTGTTTAGAGATATTAGCGAAAGGGCTAATAATATCTTTGTGTTTTTATATGACATAGCTGGATTCTGTTATCTACGAGGATTTGGCTGTATCCCAGACTTAGCTGTTGCATTAACTCTTTAATTTCCAAATGTTTTCAACTGTTAGTTTGTTTTTTTTAGTTCAAATATACAACCCAAACTAGAAAAAGTAACTATAGGATAAAAAGACATCCTTGGGTTTGTTTTTTCATCATTGCACGCGATATCCTGGTCCACACCAAATAAAAAAAACATTAGTACTACAATAAAAATTATTAAATAAAATCATTTTGTTGCCATAGATGCAATTAAGAGTTATATCGATCATCGAGAAAATACATTACATTAATAAGATAAGTATCTGCATGAAGAAATCAGAAGAACATACATATGACAAATGAAGAATCTTGAATAATTGAATATATATATATATATATAAGCTTGCGTGGTGCATATGCGTGTTTATGTATATAGATAAATTTATGTTGTGTAAAATATTCGAATCGTCTCGAAGATATATAGCAATTGTTTAAAGATTGGATTATCTTGTAAGCCAAAAACACAGAGCCGCTGACTTAAGAGAGACTGAGATCCAATGCAATATTTAATATATATTAATTGTATAATTATGGGCTCACATGGTTTAGACTTTAGACCTTGCAGGTAATCTTTGATTAGTGGGAGTTTACCAATACTATCAGATGATACATTCTAAATCAAGAAATTATGAATGGTCTACTCGTGGCATAAGTCATATCTCGATTACGATAGACATTCACATTCACGTCTGTTTCTTAACAAAAATTGAGCGTCTATCGCTCTATGCGTTGCCATTCGCCAAAGAGTGAATTCTAACCACAGACGTTATCCCATGCAAGAATCTCAAAACTAAAGAAAATCGATTAGCCCACCCCAAAACTACGCAATATTAAAAAGACGCGAAATTCTTTACGCCAAAAAAACTCTTCCAGTTCAATATGATCGTTTTAGGTAAGCTACAAAATCAATTGATCTGGACTTCTTAATTACATCGATATCAGAAATATCGACTTTAAGAAGCAGAGCAAGAAACATGATCCGTTTGTATAACTTACTAACATACTCGGCTAACCTAAAACAAGCTTACTCTCTTCTACGCACCTAGCTGATTCGAACCATGGCTACTCCTAAGCCACCAACAAACCAACTAAATGATCAATCTTAAACCAAGAGCAAACGAGATCATAAATAAAACTATCTAATAGAGGTTTAGATGAACTAATAAAGTCTTTAACGGTAATACGAAAGGTTGTTGCGAGGTCCAATTATAACAGAATAGTATAATTTGTTTGTCAGATCTAACTGAAATAAATAAATAAGATATGATCAATGCAAAATAATCACTCAATATCCTTTTGATAGATCCATATATCAGTGACGTGCAATTATTTAGAAATTTCGATCACTCATATTTGATTATTTCACGGGATTCATTGTAATTGACCTTTTGATCCCAGTCTACTCAATTCATTGATTCTTGATTCTTCCAATCCAATATAATAAACAAAAAAAAACTTCCTTACTCATGTATTGGCGTTGCATCTACGTTACATATTTGTTTCAGATATTATAGGGTTGTAAGTGGCCTTTGAACTCTCTACCACTTTTCCTATAATTCATTCATTAGTATATATATTTTTTAATCTGTGTATAATTTGTATAGTGGGTTAAAAAACCTTGATTGGTAAAAATATTTAATTAGTTTTGTATGAAACTTTTCATAATACACTTCATCTGTTCATGTAATGGATAGACGTGAGAGTTGTCGAACACGCATGTCAAAATTACTGGATTTAGATGTTTGATAGAAAAAAACGCTATAAATTATTTTTTACTTTACTATAAAAAAGGCTATTATTTTCTCAAATGGTTTAAAATATAAATTATTTAAAACTTTATTGAATCACCAAAATACTGATGACGATTCAATCTTTTATTTAATATATAAATTCAACGATAATAATTTATGTCGCAAGAGATAAAGTGCACATTGTTGTACTCTAGCATGCCTCATGGCCCTCATCTTCACTAGTATTTTGTTTCTTACTTTGTCTAGTGTCTTCATCGGATGGTTGTCGCCTTTCTTGTTTTCTCCCAACCTCCGTTTGCAGCAAGAGATCTTTGTTACTATCTTCAGACACTTGATCATCAGATTCACATCTCATTTCCTGCTCAAAAACCAGTTCACCACAAGCTAATAAGTAACAAAACTGTAATTTTAATATGAAACTTTACGCTAGTTAACATTGTTAGATGGATACTTGAGATGCTATAATCATACCTGAATTTTCCCAACAATCATATGAGCCTTGTAGTAAACATCTTTAACTTGGTTTTCATCACCCCAAGCCTCCTCAAACTTGGTGATTAGATCTTCATTTACAAGCTCTACTCCTTGTTCCTTAGCCTTCATTGCGGGCTGCCACGATCTCAAGAACCCTAAGAACCCTTTAAGTGAAAGTTTATGCGGAATGTCTAAAGTAATAGGCTTTCCTTCGGATCCCATCCCTATGCTCTCAAATGGAAATGGCAACGTTTTATAACTGTCGAATGCCAAATTCATAATAGGAGTTCTAAAAGGAAGAGTAGAGTCGACAAGGCGCTTCATTATGGGATCAATCTCAGGCGAGATAATGATATCGTTGTAGACCCATACGGCGATTAGGCCTCCTTCCTTGCGAAGTACACGTTTTGCAACATTGTAAAATGTGGTTAGGTCAAAAAAATGGACTGCTTGTGCAGCAACAATGAGATCCATAGAGTTTTCTCCCCCGATTAGAGCCACCATTTCGTCTTCCGACATGTTTTTCGGAGTGTGATGGTAGCTGATTCTTGAGTGTTTGATTGCTCGTGTAAGTTGTGCTTCGTTTATATCGGTAGCCACCACATTCTCGTAATGCTCAACAAGCTATAAAATATAGAGAGAGTTCTTGGTATTGTAAATATTATTAGTTCTGCTAGATAATGAAATTCGATTCCAATAGGCGGCTAGTTCTCCGACTATATTCTATATCTAGGTTTGCAGCCACCAAAGTTGACTTATATTTAGAATAGACATGATTCATTAAAATATACATCGTAGGTAAGTTAGCTATATTGTTGCTGGATCTAGCTATCAGAAGAATCTCCGTATCACAAATCATACGTAAAGGACGTTTACCAAATTTAAGGAAGATGAGAGGATTAGAAAGTGTACCCCAATAGCAGCCTGGCCGTTGCCAGTTCCGACATCCCAAGCAAATTTGTGGTCAAGTGTCCGTGCGGCAATCTTTTTATACCAATCGATTGGATATCGGGGCCTTGCGTCGAGATAAGCTTCAGCCTCTTTCTCTGATAAGGAAGCCATTTTTCTTCCTCTCTCTCACGTTTTCTTTCCTTGGTATTGAATACTAATCAACTTCGTTTTATACAACTCTCTTGCATGCTTGTTCATGTCTTATCTATGAAAAAGGTTGAACGAAGTCAAACTTGGCGTGAGGTAAAGTTTACTATAGTCCTACGTGGTCGTCTGTCTATAAGTTTGTTTAATATATATATTTGAATACAACTCAATGTTGAAAATTCAAGGTGCATGGCATGTTCCACGAAATGGTAGAAAAAAGGATTTCTGAAATAAAATCCTTGAATTTAGCCTTACCCTTCATTCTTTTTTTTTTTTGTAAGCGTCTTAATTTATAAATTTTGCAGTTTTGTAACTGCCTTTATGAATAGAGGTATTTAAGAGTAATTATATACTCTTTATATGACGATATATATTCCCAACATCCATTTTTCATATTTGAAAAAAAAAAGAAATGACCGTAAACATGGAAAATCGCCAAAATCTTCACGTTATCTCATTACACTTATAGGAAAAATTATGAGGAACGAATCAGTTCTAACAAAAATACGGATTTTGAGCTGGAAAATGTTCTCATCATTTATTTCAGTACTCGCAACTAAAGAGATCAAATATTAGTTTAAAAAAAAAAACTAAAGAGATCATATAGATTAGTTATATAGCCTCTGTTTTTTTTTTTTTAATTTTTGTTGAATTGAATGTAAAATTGTATTCAATCAAATCATGCTTCTGAATTTGAGTTTAATTGAAAAGAAACCTATCTTCTAATCATTAGCCTCTAGTCGAGAACCAGAAGATGAGGCTGTCCTCAAATGGTCGGTCCCCTTGAAATCTCTGATGGTGCTGAGCCGGTTACGAATTGTTTTGTCAAGAAGTTTTACCAGTTTGATCGGAGGAGAAAAAGGTTCACCATATCGCCTTGTTTTTTTTTATGTAGTCGATGTAAACAATAGTTTTTTATGTTTGGATATAATTTAACATTCATTTAAAAAAAAAAAAAATTCCCAACCAAGTTTAAGGCTTCAACCTTAATCATATCAAGACTCCAAGAACCTTTTTTTGTCATATTCTAAGAACCTTTTTTTTTTTTAACCTCAATCAAATAAATAGTGCGAAAATGAGACCGATATTCAAAATCTGGTTTGCGACGAAGCAATTTCGTGAGAAAAGATACTGATGACCGGGTTGACCCGGAAGATCCTCTTCCCAAAAAATAAAAATAAACCCTAAATCTCCGAATTGCCGTTGCTCTCGTCACACTCCGCTGCAGCCTCTCCGTGACTCCACCATCGACGATCCCCACAGAAATCTCAAGTTTTTTTGAAAGAAAAGAAACTGCTCTAATGGAGTTTCCCTTACCGGAAGACAATATCGGCGGAGATGATTCCGCTGCAAATGCCACCAGGGCTTCAGGTCTCACATTAATGAATTCCTCACATAGAATGCTTTCTTTATCAGTTAGATTGGAATGGAATGGTTCTCATTTTGTATCCGTATCTTTCAGGTAGTAAAAGAAGCTTTGGTGATCTTGGAGACGATGAGGGTGATAACTCCGGATCGAAAAAGGTACCTTTTGCGATCATAAGAACATTGCAAAGTTTTGGATTCTATATATATTTCGTACTACAGTTTTTGCTCACCTGCCTGGTTCAAGGATGAGATTCCCCCATTGGCTGCTTCTAAAAGTATTAGCCTTTTCTGTGTAACTCGTTGAGTGTACTACCTCTTAGTGAGAAATTTGTTGTTTATCATCGTTCAGGGCGGTACGAAGGTGGATAAAGCAGACCCTGGTGTTGCAACTGCGATGAGAGAGATTTTTAAATCCACTGCGATGATTTCGTCACTCAGAGAGAGGTTTTTATCCATTTCCTTTGTTTGATGTTTCTGGGTGTGAAGCTTACGGGTTCAATGCCATTACTCCTCAAATCTTGTCAAAAGAAGATTGTAGAGTGTTTGCTTTGATGTTATAATTCTAACCTTCTTTTGCTCCCTCTCTCTCTCTCTCTCTCTCTCGCTCTCTCTCTCTGGCAGTCTTCAGACTTCTCAAGATGATCTTGCTTCATGTCAAGTATTGTTACTATTCTCTATCTGAACTAATTTCTAGACTATTGCTATTCACGAATGCATTTTTATTTATCTAACTATTCTTGTATGGTCAGAATGAGCTTGAATCAGCGAAAACAGAGATTCAAAAGTGGAAATCGGCTTTTGAGAAAGAGTCCTTTATACCGGCTAGAAAATCTCCTGGTTAGCCTCTCCATGCAATGTTGATTTGAACATTAGTATATGTGATGCTAATTGCTACCCCTTGACAGTATGATTCTGTTTGGTACTGTTTCTTTTCAGAACCTAGCTTTGTGGTTGACTACATCCAATTTCTAAGGTCTTCGGAGACTTCTTTGAAAGAACAGGTTGGCATTGAGTAACCTGTAATTTATCAGTGTAGAGTCCAGAATTTACAAACAGCTTTTGATGGTTATATTTCTTTTCAGTTGGAAATTGCACAAATGAAGGTAACTTCTCAAGGAAATCATTGCCTATGTCTTACATTTTGTCTTGACCATTACATGTAAAAAATGTCGCTAAACATAGTTCTGGATTTGTATTTCTAGTTAGCCATCCGTGATCTGAAATCTCAACTCAAGCCAGCATCAATGAAGGTATAGAATTCTCCCAAAATGTTTATCATTCGGAGTAAAAAAGTAATACAATTAGGCCAACAACTTGGACTTTTCTAGGCTTAGTTCTCCATTTTTTTTTTTAATGGAAATAGTGTTCCTTTGAGGATGTAAATGTAGAGGGAAACTTTCTCCTAGTAAACATTTTTTCCTGGCCTCTGGCTGCAGACAGATGGAGACCCAGAAGTAGACAGTGAGCAGCAAGGATCGACAGGTCCCTCACGCAATGTCGCAAAGATCGAGGTAAGCAACTGTAATTCCATTTCATTTTGAACTTAAAAAAGCATTCAATAAATAATTTGTAATACATATTCATGATACTTTTGTGAACTTAGAAGGAAGTCGAAGTTGATAAAGAGCCGGCATTGTTGGAAGAGTTACGAGCAGCAAATGCGGTGATCGCGCATTTGGAGGAGTTTCAGGCCGTGGAGTTGGCGACGCTCAAGGAAAGTATAGCCAAGCTTGACAAGAAGATCGAGTATAATAGCAACTTTGCGATGTTGGTTCTACAAAAATTCCCCGGCTTGTTTCCTCCTCCACCCGCAACTGAAAATGCTAACGAGTAGATTTTATTTTATCTTCGTTTAACTTAGTATGTTTTAAAACTTTTTTTTTGGCTAAAAAAACATGTATCGAATATCTTATGATTTTTAAATATTAACTAGATGAATACCCGCGTGTACACGTAGATGTTTTGTTTGTTTTAATATACATTATAAAATTCTATTTTTCTACAAATTAATCTATTTTTATTTTTGATAATATAAAATATCATTGGATTTTTTTATAAGTTTAATCTAATTTTTTGTATTTAGTAATATGAATATCAGATGAACTCGTAAAAATATAGTCATTATTTTTTGTAGATGTAATACTTTTTATTTTTGCACCTAACCAAATATATCTTCATTATTATTTTTCTCAACCTGTTTTTTTGTTTGTTAGTTAATTTTTAATGATAAAAATATGTATTTTGTAGGACAAATTTAATATCTTCGCCAAATCGTATTTTGTTTTCTGCTCGAGACTTCAAGTCTCAACCCTTTGTCTCGGTGGTAGGGTTGTCATCGGTGGATATTGCCTTTATACAAAGAAAATGGATCAATGTCTATGTAAACAAAATCAGAATGAATTCAATACAAGAAATATAATACAGTAAAAAATCCATAAATCAAAGAGGAGACGAAGAATAAAAAAAATTACCTATTGACTTGTGGAAATTTTGAGTCGATATTAGAAAGCATTGGAGATTGTTTGAAATTCCATCTTTCCAATTTCCAAAATAAAATTAATTTGCAGTTTATTATGAACCATAAATTGATATGTACTTCTCTTTCGATTTTTGTGTTTAATTAAAAACGAAATTAGTATAATTTAATTGTTTAATTTTCTCATAATTTTTTTGAATTTGATGTATAAAAAAATGAATGCTGATGTATCAAGTTTGTGAGACTCAACTGAGTTTTTATATAATAGATTTTGATATCATTTATGTGAATTTAAAATATTCAAATAATGTTTTCATAATGTACAAACGAGTACATGTAGTGAGATGATATTGTCGTCGAAAAAACAACTTTTTATTGTGTAAGAAACCGTATCCAGACCGTATCCCCGTGACCCGGTTGATCCTCCTCTTCTTCCCCAAAAACAGAAAAAAATAAAAAAACTAAACCCTAAAATTCCCAATTGCCGTCGCTCTCGTCTCACTCCGTTGTGGCCTCTCCGTCACTCCACCATCGACACTCCTCACAGAGATCTCAGGTTTTGCTGGAAGAAAGTTATGGAGTTTTCGTTACAGGACGACGATTTTGGCGGAGATTATTCCGCTACAAATGCCACCAGGGCTTCAGGTCTCACGTTAATGGATTTCCTCACATTGAATGCTTTCTCTATTGGTAGATTGGAATGGAATGATTCTCATTTTTTGTATCCGTTTATTTTCAGGTAGTAAAAGAAGCTTCGGTGATCTTGAAGACGATGAAGATGATATCTTTGGATCGAAAAAGGTACCTTTTTGTGATCATAACAACAGCAGTGCAAGTTTTGGATTCTATATATTTTTCGTACTTCAATTTTTGCTCACTTTCTTAATCAATGATGCGATTCCCCTCATGGGTGTTCTGTGTAATTTTCCGAGTGTACTACTTCGTGATTATTGGCTTCTTTGACATCACTTTTTCTTAGTTATTCTTTTATCTCGTATCTTTTACTATTAGTTCGGCTTATGAGGAATTTGTTGTTAATCTTCATTCAGGGTCGTACGAAAGTGGAGGAAGCTGCTCCTGGTGTTGCAACTGGGATGATTTTGTCTCTCCGAGAGAGGTTATTTATCAAATTCTTTTTTAAAATGTTTTTGGATGCGAAGCTTACGAATATGAATGCCATCTTGTCCTCGAATTTAGTCAAAAGTAAAGAGAGAGTGTTTGCTTTGATGCATTTCTCTAACCTTATTTTGTCTTCTCTCTCTCTGGCAGTCTTCAGAACTGTAAAGATGATCTTACTTCATGTCAAGTATTGTTACTATTCTCTAATCTATTTAAACTATATTCTAACTATGTTTCTACTTTTTGTATCTAACTATTGTTTTTTTTGTGTGGTCAGAATGAGCTTGAATCAGCGAAAACAGAGATTCAAAAGTGGAAATTAGCGTTTCAGAACGAGTCCTTTGTACCGGCTGGAAAATCTCCTGGTTAGCTTCTCTACGCAGTGTTGGTTTGCACATCTGTATATGTGATGCTAACCCTTGACAATCCCAAAATGATTCTGTTTGGTAATGTTTTTCTTTCAGAACCTAGATTTTTGATTGACTACATCCAAAATCTGAAATCTTCTGAGAGATCTTTGAAAGAACAGGTTGGTATTGAGTAATTTGTTGTGTATGTAAGACAGCCTTGATTGTCGAGACAGGCTCTGATGGTTATTTCTCATTTCAGTTGGAAATTGCAAAGAGAAAAGAAGCTTCATGCATTGTACAATATGCAAAGCGGGAACAAGAAATGGCCGAATTGAAGGTAAATCTCAAGTACCTCATTTTTCTCCACATCTCTTCCTGTCTGATGCCTCCATTGACATGATTTTAGAATCGGTCGCTAAATATTCTTCGATTTGTATTTCTAGTCAGCTGTTCGCGATTTGAAATCTCAGCTCAAGCCGGCGTCAATGCAGGTATACATTTTTCCCAAATGTTTGTATCATCCAGTAAGTTATACAATTGTGCCGGCAACACAAAGCATGGAAAAAGTTCGTTGTTGAAGACTTTTCTAGGCATAGTCCTTCCACTTTTTATGCCATAATTTTCCTTTGAGGATGGTCATCCTTGACTCTGATTCATGTAGAGGGAAACTTTCTCCTAGCCCCGTAGTTTTCTCTACTCTGAATACGATGATAAGCGCATGTTTCTTGGCATCTAATTGTTTAGAAGATTGAAAACAGAGGAAATGGCTATAAAATCGAATTGTGTTGGTCATCTAGCAGCTCTTAATAATCAGATATAAGTGTGTTTGAATTATTCTGGCTTAAATATGTAGGCGAGGAGGCTGTTACTGGATCCAGCAATTTATGAAGAATTTTCACGTCTGAAGGTGTGTAACTAATCTTTTCTAGCCGTTGGCTACTATCTACCCTCTGAAGATTGTCATAAGAATATATGTCATAATATATTTCCTTATATACCAAACTTGTAGCTACTAATCAAAGCTTCTCATGAGTTATGAATGACTCCTCAAATACTTATAGCTATCACTGCCTTCATGAATGGAATTTGTTTTATTTCTCTTAGGTCGTAGATACAGCTGCGGATGGAATACACATTTTTCTATTAGCATCAACGAAGAATGAGAAAATGAATTTTGACATCATGTTTCTGGTTAATTTTTAACAACAGAATCTAGTTGAGGAGAAAGACAAGAAGATCAAGGAACTCCAGGATAATATTATAGCAGTTACTTTTACCCCTCATAGCAAGAATGGCACGATGCTTATGGCAAAGTGCAAAACCTTGATAGAGGAAAACGAGGAGATTGGACACCAAGCTGCTGAAGGAAAGGTATAGGTTGTTCTGTTCTGAGTCTATTTTTATTCGGATTATAGAAGATCTGATTCCTTGTAAAACGTGACAAAACTGATGCCTTTCTATGTTCATGTGGTATGGCAGATTCATGAACTAGCGATGAAGCTTACAATGCAGAAATCTCAAAACGCCGAACTTAGAAGTCAATTTGAAGGTAAGTCACATATTGATATCAGAGATTTTGTAAAGTTGGAATTTGGATTTGAGAGGTTTTGTGGAATGCAGGACTGTTCAAACACATGGAGGAATTAACTAATGATGTTGAGCGATCAAACGAAACGGTGTTGATCCTTGTCTTATCTCTTCTTAATTCCCTTAAAAGATTCTTTTTTTATTGGTTTTGTTGGAAATGGGATTTTGAAGAGACGAAGCTTATGATGATATTCAGGTGATAATATTGCAAGAGAAGTTGGAAGAGAAGGAGAATGAGATAGAGAGAGTAAAGAAAGGGATGGAGGTTGTTGTGTCTGATGTAGGTGACAAGAAAGATGAAGCTGATGACAAGAAAGATGAAGATGCAAAAGATATTGATGGTGGAGAATAGGAAATTAGCTATCAAAGATGTTTTGTACATTTTGAAGTTAATTACGATTTTCTTCGTTATATCTCAATAATTTTTGTTTCATGAAACTAAAGTGATAAATTTCATCAGTGTCTATGTTAGTTCAAGAGTTTTCTAATATCTTCAAAGCACGAAAACACTATTGTCCAACTTTCCATAAGTGTAGGCTTAAACTAACCTGATGTTCAATAATCAATATACTAAGAAAAAATCTCTTCTCGACTCTTCTTCTTCTTGCTTATGTGAAATATCTGAAAAAATAATTACTCTGTTTTTTTGGAGATGATCTTATGCATTAGTGTATTAAATATGAATTTTTAAATTTCATTAAGTAAGTAGTATATTTTCAATTACTACACTAACCACTAACCACTAGGTCATTTGACACGTACGAAGCGTGCGAGGAATTCAAAATCAGGAAGGAGCGGGAAAACAATGCGACGTGGAAGCATCTTAGCGAAAGGAGCGAACAGTCTCCATTGATCAGATCGAAAATCAATAAACAGTATTTGGGATTTGGGAGGTTTTACGCAGAAAGCAGAAATGGAGAAGTACGAGAAGCTAGAGAAGGTTGGGGAAGGTACGTACGGGAAAGTCTACAAGGCGATGGAGAAAAGCACAGGGAAGCTCGTGGCTCTGAAGAAAACCAGGCTCGAGATCGACGAAGAAGGTATCCCACCTACGGCGCTTCGTGAGATTTCGCTTCTCCAGATGTTATCGGCGTCGCTCTACGTGGTTCGATTACTCTGCGTCGAGCACGTTCTTAAATCCCCAGCCAAATCTCAATCCCCCAAATCGAATCTCTATCTCGTTTTCGAGTACCTTGATACCGATCTTAAGAAATTCATCGATTCGCATAGGAAAGGTCCTAACCCTAAGCCACTTGAACCTTCTCTGATCCAAAAGCTCATGTTTCAGCTCTGCAAAGGCGTCGCGCACTGTCACAGCCACGGTGTGCTTCACCGTGATCTGAAACCACAAAATCTTCTTCTGGTGAAAGATAAAGAGCTTCTTAAAATCGCCGATCTGGGTCTCGGTCGTACTTTCACTGTGCCTCTCAAGGCCTACACGCACGAGATTGTTACTCTCTGGTATAGAGCTCCTGAAGTTCTCCTTGGCTCCACTCATTATTCAACTGCTGTTGACATTTGGTCTGTTGGTTGCATCTTCGGTTAGTCTTTTGTTCATGATCTTTTGCTGCCTATTGAATTCTCGTCTCCCTTCTCAATCTCGTTCTCTGCGATGTGATTCTGTCTTTATGTTTGTTTTCATCTTTGAATTTGTACAGCCGAGATGGCCAGGAGGCAAGCTCTTTTCCCTGGTGATTCTGAGTTTCAGCAATTGCTTCATATCTTCAGGTAATTTGCCTCTCCTTTGAATTTGTTTTCTCCGAATTTTTTGGCCTTTTTGATACTTTTTGATACAGCGAGCTAGCAATTGAAAGAGATACACTTTTTGATACTGTTTTTGGCTGAATTCAATCATTTTTTCCGATTGAGTCTTGTGTAGTTAGCAATCTTGTATAGAGACTAGCAAGTATCTTACAAATGTTTTTTTTTGGGTTGATGGAGACTGCTAGGAACACCAACTGAGCAGCAATGGCCTGGTGTTTCCTCTCTGCGTGACTGGCATGTCTACCCAAAGTGGGAGCCGCAAGACTTAACACGTGCTGTTCCATCTCTTTCGCCTCAAGGAGTTGATCTTCTCACGGTATTTAACTGCCTGATGATGACCATACCATATGTATATTGTTGCAAAATACGCTCTAAAAGAATAAAGATCCTGTTGCTTCTGCCTCCTCTTTTTCCTAAGCTAGAAATTTTTGTTAATTGTCTTCTCCCTTTCATCTGATTTTGAGCTTATGTTTGCAGAAAATGCTCAAGTACAATCCAGCCGAAAGAATTGCAGCAAAAACAGCACTTGATCACCCGTATTTTGATAGCCTTGACAAGTCTCAGTTCTGAAAGCGAAGACGCATGTTGATTGCTGAATCTGTTGTCATCGTCTTGGTGAATTTCATTTCTGTTATTTTCCGATCCGACACATCAGTGTCTCATGTTTCGATTAGAGATTTGTAGTCTTGCAGAAGAAACTACTGAAGTTTGTTTTCTCAAGTGAATGTAAACACTCATTGGTGTGGTAGCAATGAGATGATTTTTAAAGATTGCTTGTTTTTGTGTAATCATACAAAATTTGATGCTCAACTTTATGAGGACATTAGCTTGAAGCCTTGACGGGTCTTCCAAAGAAGCAGAGATTCTTTGAAGTGAAATAGAAGGGTCTTCAATAGAATTTTGTCAAACCCAAATGTTACGTACAATGATATTAGTGTACATAATTGGCATTCTGACTCACAAACACATGCCCAAATAGTTCACAACAACACAAATGGCTAGCTGTTCAAAGATAACTAAGTTAAAGAAATTGAACGCTACACACAATTGAAGGAAACCTTAAAATACAATAGAAGTAGTAGTGGCTAACGCTGAGGATGTGATGTGATGTGAAATCAATTGGACCACACATGAACAAGGCCGTGTCTGTTTCCTGTGTATATCTCATTGCGTTCTTCGTCATAGAATAGAGCGGTTATGTCTTCTAAAGCTTCAGCCACAGCGTTTCTTCTTTGCTTTGAGCTCTTCCCAAAACAACTGCTACTACTGCTCTCATCTTCTTTTGGAGGTCCACTGCTTGATGTTATCTTAGCTAAACATTTCCCAGTCAATATATTGCTGATATTGATCGATCCCGCTGCACCAGTAATAAGTCAATCAGTGAGATTAGTTAGTTTAAAGGGTATGCATCTCAATGTGGAGGCTTATTATATATACTTACCATTTCCTTCTATCCACTGATCTTCCGTATCTGCTTTGCAATACGAGATGATCAGATCCTGATCACTTGTTATGTAGATATTATTTGTGTTACAGTCCGGATGCCATAGAAGATGATCCTCGAAGGAAGTCACGAGCTCTCCGCGGAAATTCCACACGGAAACGTTTCGGTTCCTGAATGTTAGAAACAGCTGGTTCTCATACAGAAATATGAATGCAGATGGTGTCATGAACTCAGCTCTGCTAACTTCCATTAGATCGGCATTTCTGACCTGCGTTTACAAATCAGAAACAATTCTTTATAAATAAACATGGAAAACAGAAACTGAAGCATTGATTTGAATACGATAAAAATTAAGCTTACGTCAAGGATTTGGAGATTCTCATTCTCTTGCTTAACAAGAAGTTTCTCATTGAATTGTTCAATGAAATCAACTTTCTTATTCCGGTGAAGCAAATGATTGAAGGACTTGAGAACTGTGCCATCTTCTATCGATAGAATTTTCAAAGGAACATGACTGGTAGCTCTCTTGAAGATCAATAACATTATCCCAGGACTGATGCAGGAAAAGAAACAGGAGTTAAAGGTACACATAACTAAGTCACAAGTCTTTCAGTCCATTCTAGTAGACAGAGCAGTCAGATAAGTAACTTGCTCAACATTTGCAAACAGGAAACACAAAAGGGCTAAAGAGAAATGGATAAAAGTTACCTGATTTTAATTTCCTGGACATGTTTATCTGATATCGAATATAGCATGGTGTAGTTTTTCAGATCAAAAACCTTGTACACACTGCAGAAACAGCTAATGGGCTGAGAGGAAGAAACTTGTAGTCACAAAGTTTGGAAAGTGTAGACCAGAAAAATAACCTGTCCTGCGCAGAATAAGTAAGCACCTTTCCATTGACATCATCAAACTCTACAAAACCAGGCCACTTCAACGATTCAGACTCAAAAAGGGCAAACCCTGCATCTGGCTGACCTCTCAGAATATACCTAATATTTAAACATAACCAGAAAGACACATTAGTTTGAACAAACCCACGAAAATAGACACTAAAATAAGAATGAAACGGAAGACAACATACTCGATTCTAGTGGATCTGCATTTCAAAGAGCTGAAATTGTCTGAAGCATAAACTGAAACCGTGATGAGAGAATCATTGTTCTTGTTGTAGAACAAGCTCCGGATGACTTCATCTGGACTTACATTTAAAAAGCATATTCTTCTGTTCGTCTCTGCAATTACATAAAGAATCCACAAAGGTAAAGCGTCTAAGTAACACAGACAAAAAAAAAACTGAAAGAGAAAGTAGTCAAGTTATCGCAAAGTACCTCTGCTGAAAGCTGCGCAGACACCAGAATGGGCAAGCGCAAAGACAATGTCCCTTGCAGCAACTATCTCGATAACTTTAGTTCTTTTCATCAAAAATGGTAATGCAACTAAACAATGTCCCTTGGGATCGTGTGTATCATATTGCTCCTGTGAGAAGAGCTTGTAATTAGTTACTGAATCGAGTTCATATCATTTGAAAAGTATAAATTGAGTAACTAATAAGCAGCCAAAAAGCAATTTCTAGGGTTTGAGAGAGAGAGAGATTTTCTGAATAACATAAATTAGGGCAAAATACAAAAGCTTGAAAAATCAGAAGAGCTACCACGAGACGCATGTTGCGAAATCTCTCCTGGGCGGTGCTAATAGAGAAAGCTCGATCCTTGCGAGATGAGATTTCTCTTCGTTGAAGCTTTTTAACGCTGTTGACGAACCCATCTGGTCGAGACCTCTTTTTAGCTACAACTCTTCTTCCACTGCAAGGTCTAGGGCTAGCTGTAATCCTTCTTCCTTCCATCTAACTTTCTCCTTGAAGCCCTAGAGAAGGTTTTCGAAATTTTTTTTGGATACCCTAACGATGAGGAAGAAGAGGGAATACGCGGCGCAGTTTAGCGGGAGCGAGAGAAGAAATCTCCAGAGGAAGACGAGAAGTGACGGCTACTACATACCCACTGTGACGTAAGACGGTAAGAGTTTGCAGATTCAGATTGGAATGGCTGATTCAATGTCTCAAAAGCTCTTTCCTTCAAAAAAATCCCAATTTCGAGCACGAACCAGCCTAACCAATCTGAATCATTTCGCACACAGCGATGTTTATTAAAAATAAAAATAAAATAATTACTCAAAACGACACGTATTGAGATTAATTTTTTTTTTATGGGTCGGATAACTCTATTGGGCTATTATGTCCCAATAAAACCTTATAAGGACAATCGTTAATTTACTTTTGGACTCGGAAACTAGTTTGGTATATTTCGTTAGAAAAATGTTTTCCAAATCCAAGAGTGAATTAACGAAGAAGAGTAATGCTTACATTTCTTTTTTTTCGACTAGTAACTTTATAGATTCTGAGAATCATAATCTTTTTACATTTTTACATTTCATTTACACTTTTTATTCAGTAACAAAACAGCTCTTTCAAATATGTTGAACAAAACTATCAACTAAGCATTATTACTCTTCGTTATGTATTGGCGAAAAATTGTTGGTAGAGTTCAAGTTTCCAGTAACACGTATATATTACCATAAACTCTCCGCAAATTACAAAACTTATTAAAAAAAAAAATCAAAAACATCTAGAACTTTTGAATTTTTGTTATAAATTCTTCAGAAAACCATTGAAAGTCTTGTTCATGACAATTTTTTTTTCGCAGTTTTCAATCTTTTATAAGATTTAGAAACAAAATTCATAAATCAATTATATAGTGATAGAAAATTGATGTATGGGCAAAAGTGTAGGTCAATAGAACAAATGGAGAGGCATGATCAAAAACATTTATAAGCGAGGAAGAATAATTTAACGGGCTTAAACCCAAAAAGTCATCCCCAGTAAATGAAGGAATGGGCCCAGACAAAGACGGTCAACTATTCATTGAACAGATGTAAACTACCACACGAAATTAGCAAAAGCGACGGATCTCATACATAGCCATGTGTTGAGTTCTACATCCAACCTCACTTTATTATTTTTATCATCTCCATCCTTCCACGTCCAGTTGTGAGAATTCAATTAATGCACTCGTTGAAAACTTTTGTTTTTAAAAATAAATTAAAATGATACATGTTTTGCTCAAGTAATCAATTAATCAATGAATTTTCAACGCTGCTCAACCTACAACTAATACTGTATTCTTGCATTGACCACATTTACTTCGTCTTATACATGACCGTCCACACCATCAGGAGCTTTTATTAAGCATCAAAGGTATAGAACATTCGGATCGTTTATTTATTGCCAAAAACTTTTTAAAAATGGTTAAAATATTTTATCCGTGACAAATGCACAAACAAAACCTTTTACTCAAATTTAAGAAAACAGAAATTCGGATATTTTATTTGACTTATATGTCATTAAGAATTTGGTTACAAATCCGTGTACAAATAGTCCCCTTTTGGAGGAAGGAAAAAGAAAAACCACTGAGAGAAAAATAAAAAACAAAAACAACTGCAAAAAAAGAGAAGAGAAGAGAACTAGAAAGCGTAACAGAGAAGAAGAAGGCGTAGAGAAAAAGATTATGAGCAGCTTTTCAATGAAATCTGATGATAAAAAGGAGAAGCCAGCAGTAGCCATGTTAGCTGCAGAAGCGCCCAAGACAAACGCTGCCATGGAAACGCAGTCTGCTAACGGCGGCGGTAGAAAAACGCGGAAACGCAACCGCAAAATCTGTATCTGCATTACTCTCCTTATCATCATCCTCGTCATCTTTATCGTCCTCCTAGTCTTAGCCCTTACTCTGTTCAAAGCCAAACGCCCAATCACCACCATCGATTCCGTAGCCGTGGATCGATTCCAAGCTTCCGTCGATCCACTTGCTCTCAAGGTCAATCTAAACCTAACGCTCCGCGTCGATTTCTCCTTGAAAAACCCTAACCGCGTCGGATTCAGCTACGATTCTTCGTCGGCGTTACTTAATTACAGAGGCCAATTGATCGGTGAAGCGCCTCTCCCGGCGAGTCGAATCGGGCCGGAGAAAACGAAGGCGATGAACCTAACGCTGACGCTAATGGCGGATCGATTACTCGCCGAATCGCAGCTTCTCTCTGACGTCATGGCTGGGGTGATCCCGCTCAACACCTTCGTTAAAGTCGCCGGAAAAGTAAGCGTTCTCAACATCTTCAAGATTAAAGTCCAATCGTCTACTTCCTGCGATCTCAACATCTCTGTTTCGAATCGCAACGTCACGAGTCGGCACTGTAAGTACTCGACTAAGCTGTGATTCTCATCTTCACTAGAAGAAAGGAATCTGAAAAGCTTTTAATTTTTATAGATCTACACTCGTTGTCTTCTTGTTTTGATGGGGTTTTGTTTGTTTTTTGAAATCTTTTGATCTTGTGTATGTATGTATTATTCGCTTTAGAAACAAATAAAATTGAAAAGGCATTGTTGTTTTTTTTTTTTTTTTGACATTTACGTTCGTATCAGTTCAGATCTCAAATTGATGATTCAGCAAAAGCATTAACACGTTGAGTCGTTACAAATCAACGTGTCAACGTAACAGATGGCTAAGTTTCTTTCAACTATTTCAGTAAGAACAAGTCAAAAGAAATCAGATTCTAATTACTGTCATAATAATTAATGGGGCAGATTGGAAGGAATTAGTTGGCAGCTCAAAGTTGCAATCAAAGCACTTCTTCTTTACTTTAATCTAGATATCCATATTTATGTAACTGAGCTTCAAGCTCTGCAAATATACAAACAAACAAAAAAAAAAAAATCATCCACAAAAACTACATTATAATTTTGTCATCAATCATGACCAAGCTTAAACGTAAACCCAGAGGTCCCAGAGGGTGCATTTGCTGCCCAGGTTCAGGCATCATCTTAACCATTATCTTCCTCATTGCCTTAATTTTGGCATGGACGGTTTACAAACCAAAACACCCGATAGTTCTGTTTCAATCCGCCACCGTGCAAGACGTGGCCTCGCGTATACCCTTGCCATTTGATTATCCAGCTCAATTGCACGCTTAGTCTCCAGGTTATTCGTGAAAAATAAAAGGTTCGTCGATCCTGCCTTGTCGTCTTATTCTACAAAGATTTTATATTGGGCGGAAAGATTGTGTTGGAAACAAAGACAAAGATCCCAGGGAAAATTAAGATATTTGGAGAATCTTCAAGAAACACTTGGTTTGCTATATCGGATTGAAAAATCCCCATCGACTTCCCTTCCATGAAAGTGCAGAACCAAGAATGTGGAATGAGCACAAAACTGTGAATTGACTTCATCTTCTGGTAAAGATATGTATGCAAAAAAAGTAGGCTTTTATTTCGATATATACTAATAAAGCTGTATTCTTCATTGTTCCCTGCTCTGCCTCTCTTTATTTTACTCTTGATACCTCTCTCACTCAACATTACTAACAGAAAACAAACCAAAACCTAAGAAATGAATTCTCTCGAGCATCCTCCTACAAAAACTCTTAACCAGGAAAACTTAAGAATCCATATATTTCCTCATCGTTCCAACTCTAAATCGTACCATAAGAAAGAAAAACACATTTTACCAAGTCGAATTTGAAGCTCACTAACAAAAATAAACGATCTCATATCTGCATCATTCATTACAAATCGAAGGTCGAGCAAATGTGCAATTTAAGGAGACACACTGAACAAAAAAGATAAGAAAAACAAAATAGATAACCTCAAACAAGTTCAATGTAAGCCATTGGAGCATTATCACCTCGCCTTGGGAGAGTTCTGATGATCCTCGTGTAACCTCCATTCCTCTCACCGTATCTTTCCGGAACCTCAGCGAACAAGGCGTGAACGATCTGCTTCTCGTAGATAAATCCCAGAGCCTGCCTTCGCTTGTGGAGAGAACCGTCTTTAGCCATCGTTATCATCTTATCAACAAACTTCCTCATCGCACTGGCCCTGGCTCGAGTAGTCTTGATTCGTCCATGCTTCAACAGCTGCGTCGTGAGCCCCCGAAGGAGAGCTTTCCTCTGGTCCGGTGGTCTATTGAGCTTCGGGACTCTCCTACCGTGTCTCATGGCGTAAACACGACCACCACCATCAATAATTTTGAACCCATCCTCAAAACTCTTCCAATCTGCGTTTGAAAAGCCGTAGCTATTTTGGAGATTCAATGGAGCCAAAATTGAAGCGATTAATATCTCTAGTAAAAGTGAAATTACCTGGAAGTCCGATTGAGAGTAGAGGGTTGACCGGAGAGAGACCAGAGAAAGAAGGGAGAGAGGGAGAAGAGACGGGGAGACGAAGAGTGACCGGACGGCGAGAAGACGAGGAAGGTAATCGGCAAGATACGGCGGAAGGAAGAGCTGATCTGAGAGAAGACATGCTCCAGACTCTACTGACGGAATCTGTAGGTGTCGCCATTGCCATTGGAATTGCCATTGCAGTGTGTTTCTCTGTAACAAAAGGGAAGAGACTCGAAAGGAGTGGAAACCTGAAAGGATAAGGGGGATAGAGGAAGAGGATTGTGTTTATCAGAAAACCTCCGAATGGGCCTTAATGGGCCTAAATAACAGGTTTTCCATTTGCCAATTGTATTTGGTCTGGGACTTGAGATCGGAACTTCTTTGGGTTTGGTAATAAGGAGTGGATTCAGAGTTGGGTTTGGTAATAAGAATGGATTCAGACTTGGAGGAGTTTGAGATAATTAAAACTCAGTATATCCTGAATTCGAATTAGTCTATGACAATTGATCGAATAACACCATACCAAATTTCTTGGCCTGAAAAGCTCACAACAAGAACTTTTTTTTTTGTCATTACCACTTACATTCCACCTTAATTCATTACAAATGTAGAAAATACTTTTGATTACTTGACAAAGTGCGTATGTGTAAAAAAGCAAGCAGTAGTCCTTAGTAATACATTTTACGGTTTATTTGTGTATAAACAACACACATAAAAATACTTTTTTTTTTACAGCAAAAGTAGAAAAATACTTTAATGTGAAATTTTCTCAGATTTCTATACAATTGTAATGAAAATATATTCACGGTTCACGGTTCACGGTTTGTATAGAGCAACCAATTATACAATTGCAAAGGGCAATAGCGACTTTTTGAATATGAACTTGGAGAAAGACACTCAGCTTTTTACGCCGAGAACTTTCATATTGAGCCGTGTGTTTGCGTTGTGAAGAAACTAATAAAATAAAATTAAGTGAAAAAGGGAAAATATGATCGTAAAAAGCGTGGATGGATTCTCTAGGGCTCACTGCAATGCCCAAGCCGGAAGCCATGCTATTATTATAAGGGCCATGGGGGCTAGTGTTTGACGTACAAAAGTCTAAAAACTGTCAGTGAAACAGGTCCAAAACTTGGTAGTAAAAAATAATATAATAAGAGAAACTTTTTATAGGAAAATTGTTAAAAAAAGGACAAAAGGGAAAAGATGGGGATGCAGATGAAAGCAAAATGTCAAACACTAGTTTCAGATTTTTATCGGGAACTGGGGTTTGACAGTTGGTGTAATGGACTCTTCAAAACATGTGCATCTCTTTACTTGTTTCGTCTTTGTATTTACTGTTTTAGCTCTACGTCTTGTCCAATTTCTCTCACATGTTAATGCCCCTGGTCCGTTGATAATAGTAATACTTAGCTTTTTTTTTTGTTCTTTTCCTGTTTTTTTTTTCTTTTTTTTTTCTGTATTTAAAAAAGAGAAGCGACTCCACTGAGTTCATATTTGAACGGTGGTGAACTTGTATATCACTCGGTCCAGAACTAACCATCTTTTTATTTTTGCGCATTACGGTGAGAGTCATGTGGCTCTACACATATTGAACATTAATTTTTTATTTTAGTTCTAAAAGCAACTCCAATTACAAGACCAAAAATTGGCGTTATTCTGTCACATCGGAGTTACTCTAAAACATACTATAATTTCTCAAACCCATTGTTTGACCCGACGACCGGGCCGGATACTTATCCATCTATCGATTAAGTCTTCGTGGATTATTAGTAAAAAAGTGATATTGCACCGGTTCCACGAAAATGAGCTAAATTATTATACACCAATCAAAATAATATTATCTTCTTGTTGTTATTTTGAGAGTAAGAGAGGGAGTGGGAGAGAGAGAGAGAGAGAGGGAGAGGTGGGGGGAAGAAACAAGATGGATCGGCAAAAGGAAGATGTCAAACACTCAACGACGAACATCTCCGATCTCCCACCTAATCTCTTCCCATTTACATTATTTTTAACCAAATTAATTAATAAAACCAGAGAAAGAGAAAGAGAGAGAAAGAAGAGTTAATAAGAATAGAGGTAGAAAGAGTCATTAAATGTATGAAGCGACATTCACAATAATTCGAAAGGAGGAAGACGAGCAAGATACGGCCACACTCTCAGTGTCCTCGTCCACCACAACGCAAAGCCCCTTTCTTCGGAGAATCAATCTCCAACCCACTCTCTTCCAAACACACACACACACACACTCTCCTTTCTTTTGTTAATTTTGCTTCCCCCTTTTTTCTTCACCTTCATCGGAGATCGTGAACAAGATCAACTAAAGAATCAAGAATCCCCCTTTTCTGTTTGGATTTTGGATTTTTTTTCCCTATTTATAACCATGCAATCTCACGACCAACCCTTCAGTCTCCATGGCGGATTCCGGCGATTTCAACGGCGCTCAGCCTCCTCATAGTCCTCTCAGAACCACTTCTTCCGGTAGTAGCAGCGCTCCTCCTCCTCCTCCACCTCCTCCCGTCATGGTGAGAAAGCGATTAGCCTCCGAGATGTCTTCATCTTCTTCCTTAAACACCCCTGACTACACCAACCATCGTCCTCCTCGCCGTGCCCCTCACCTTCTTGACTCCACCTACTTCATGACCTCTCCACCACAACCACCACCGCCTGTTTCCGCCGTGACCGTCGACTCCACCACTCAGCCAACGCCACCTCTCTCCGTCTGCGGCTTCTCCGGTCTTCCGGTTTTCCCTTCCGACCGCCGGACGGCGATGTCCATACAGACAATGGAACAAGACCCTTCAGCTTCTTCTTCTTCTTCACCTACTGTCTGGGTCGACGCCATCATCAGAGACTTGATTCACTCCTCGACTTCTGTCTCAATCCCTCAACTTATCCAAAACGTTAGAGACATTATCTTCCCTTGTAACCCAAATCTTGGAGCTCTTCTCGAGTACAGACTCCGATCTCTCATGCTTCTTGATCCTTCTTCCTCTTCTGACCCTTCTCCTCCTCAACCTTTCGACTCCATCACTCAACCTCTCTATCATCATCAGATCCCTAACAATCCTTCTCCTCCTGTAACGCAGCAACAACAACAACAACAACATCATAAGCCTCCTCCTCCTCCTCCTACGATTCAGCAGCAAGAAAGAGAAAATTCTTCCACCGATGCACCACCGCCAGAGACGGCGGTGACTTGTACAGCCACCGTAACAACCACGGCGGAGGCGTTAAGAGAGAGAAAAGAAGAGATTAAGAGACAGAAGCAAGACGAAGAAGGTTTGCATCTTCTCACATTGCTGCTACAGTGTGCTGAGGCAGTCTCTGCGGATAATCTCGAAGAAGCAAACAAGCTTCTTCTCGAGATCTCTCAGCTCTCTACTCCTTACGGAACATCTGCGCAGAGAGTCGCTGCTTACTTCTCCGAAGCTATGTCAGCGAGACTGCTCAATTCGTGTCTCGGTATCTACGCTGCTTTGCCTTCACGGTGGATGCCACAAACGCACAGCTTGAAGATGGTCTCTGCGTTTCAAGTGTTCAATGGGATAAGCCCTTTAGTGAAATTCTCACACTTCACGGCGAATCAAGCGATACAAGAAGCGTTCGAGAAAGAAGAGAGTGTGCACATCATCGATTTGGACATCATGCAGGGACTTCAATGGCCTGGTTTGTTCCACATCTTGGCCTCTAGACCTGGAGGACCTCCTCACGTGCGTCTCACGGGTCTTGGTACTTCCATGGAAGCTCTTCAGGCTACTGGTAAACGTCTCTCGGATTTCGCGGATAAGCTTGGCTTGCCTTTCGAGTTCTGCCCTCTAGCTGAGAAAGTTGGAAACTTGGACGCAGAAAGACTCAATGTGAGGAAAAGAGAAGCTGTTGCTGTTCACTGGCTTCAACATTCCCTTTATGATGTCACTGGCTCTGATACACACACCCTCTGGTTACTCCAAAGGTAAACACAATAATCATTACATTTTATCACTCTTTTAGATATCTATCGTATTGGAGAGAGGGATGTTTAAAAAGGCTTTCTTTTTTTGTGGGTTAATAATTGGGAATGAACAGATTAGCTCCTAAAGTTGTGACAGTAGTGGAACAAGACCTGAGCCATGCTGGTTCCTTCTTAGGAAGATTTGTGGAAGCAATACATTACTACTCGGCACTGTTCGATTCTCTTGGAGCAAGCTACGGTGAAGAGAGCGAAGAGAGGCATGTGGTGGAGCAACAGTTACTGTCGAAAGAGATAAGGAATGTTTTGGCGGTTGGAGGACCGTCGAGGAGTGGTGAAGTGAAGTTTGAGAGCTGGAGGGAGAAAATGCAGCAGTGTGGCTTCAAAGGCATATCTTTGGCCGGAAATGCAGCGACGCAAGCCACTCTTCTTTTGGGAATGTTTCCTTCTGATGGTTATACTTTGGTTGATGATAATGGTACGCTTAAGCTTGGATGGAAAGATCTGTCTTTGCTCACTGCTTCAGCTTGGACTCCTCGTTCTTAGCTTTAGTTTTCTGTCTTTTTTTTTTTCTTTTTTCTTTCTTGACAAACAATGCCCATAAATAGATTTCACCTGGGGTTTACTTTTTGTTTATGTGTTGAAAAAAGAGAGGATCCTTGAGTCTTTTGTTCGTTCCACTTGCACTCTGTATTGCTGCCTTATTTGGTGGAATATACATAGAAGTTGTTGATCCTGGAAGATTAGAAGAAAGTTGGGTGTTTGAAAGAAAAAAAAAAACACATACAATGATACAATAAGTCGAACTTTATGTAACTTGTTGAAATAGTAATCATGTAAAATAGTAGCTTTGCTAACTTTCTGATCAACACTTTTCAATGTTGGGCCAATTGCTTCTTTATGTCAATTACCAACCTGAAAACTCATTTAACATATAAATTAACTTTGTTTAAAAAATGCCAAAAAAATGAGATGTTTGGATTCTTTCGTATAAAATAACTCTCATATGGTCGCCTTTCTCATCTCGTCTTCAACAACGACGAAACCCTAATTTTGATTAAGTTCGATTTGGCAAAGCCGAAACTCGAATTCGCACTCTCTCGAAATTGATCGATTGATCGCTCTGTTTCTATTTTGAAAATTTGTGTTTTCCTTCTCTTGAGTTCTCACGGTGCTGCTCGGGTTTTCTGAGGTTGAAAAGTTGAAAACCATCCCGTTTTATACGGATAGTTCCATCGCTCGAGTTCCATCTCTTGCTATTTGTCTTCGCTGCGTATCTGCTTTATCACCGGTTTCAGGCTTGTCTCTTACCTCTGGTTCTCGGCTCCCTGATTTACGCTCTCTCTCTCTATAAATCTCTGATTCCAAGTCTTTGTTCCGCTGTTATCACAGCTCATCGCCGTCTTTCCATTCACTGGTGTCTTTGCTCCGGCGTCGTCCTGCTGCTTTCGGTTCATCGGGGTTAAGACTTGATCGTGGTATTCTTCATTTTTACCTTTTTCATTTTTTCATGGATGTGAGCTTTTCAATTTGTGCAACGTTTAAGGCTCGATTACGTCAGGGAATTTATGTCAGGCAACCCTATCTATAACTGATTTTCAAGTTGATTAGGAAAGTATTTGTGTCAAATATTAAGGTCTAAATTGTTTAGTTGAACATAGAAGGATCTTTATTTTCGTATGCATTCTTACTGTGTTTTTGTTAATTCCTAGCCAATGCATGTTTTGCTACTTAGTGAAGATTCTAAAAATGTTACTGACGACCGTCTGAGTTTCAATTTGCTATGGATTTAATCTGTTTGTGGCTGGTGATCCTTTAGTCTTGTTACTGATAAGTTGCCCATAAAATCTCGTATTTCACTTCGGAAGAGTTTTATTTATTTATTTGAGGCTTCCATTTTCGTAAGAGAATTGTTATGTCTTGGGAATTATTGATTATACATGCATTGAGAGATACTTGTCTGTTCATGCGTGCATTTCAGGAAGGACTGTGAACATTAAGTTTTGAATATTCTCTCCATCAAAGAGTTGCTCGGTGCACTGGCCGGAAATGGATCCTGGTCGATTTGGTCGTCAGCAAGAATGGGATAATAACAGTGTAATTGTGGGTTTCTACTTACATATATGGGATGATAAACAAGAAATTATTAGGGATGTTGTGAATGTCAATTTTTACGGCCCCCCATCCGTGGAGTGAGAGACCTGGAAAATGAGGATGTGGATGGGATTTGGCTAACGTAATATCAGTCATGATGTTTGTTGCTGACTTAGCTTATTCTCTTCAATTCACAGGCTCCGGAGGGTTATGGTACTGAGCATGATCCAAATAATCGGTGAGTACTAGTCGAACTGACTATTTTCTGTACAGTTTTTAGCTCTCGTGGGTGAATAACCACGTATATTAGTGTTAACTACTATCACTAATTTGCATTTATTGTACTGTACTTGGGGTTTGGATACTTGTGTGGACATAGTAATGATAGTTCATTTTTTTTAATCTATCTCCTACTTTACATTTCTTACAGGTTTGGCGTATCATACGATGAGGGATATCCCGACAAAAGGTTGTTGCGTGATGATGTTTACAATTATCCACCTGGACATGATACCCTGGGTCCTTTGCCTCAGTCTAGGAGGCAAAACTATGAAGAAAATTATCCTCGTGAACTTCGTAGGCAAGACAAGCCTTACACTGATACAAGCCATGCTGCTGGTTATTATCATGATATCGAAGTTGGGAGTCGTAATGGATACTACCGTGATCATGGACACGAAGGATCGTCAAGATATGATGGCCGTGATGACTATTCTTGCAGTGATTATAACTATAGATCTAGAAACTACCATCATAACAGAGATGATAGCCGTGAAAGAGATTATGATTATGCTCGCCGGAGTTATGATTCTGATTATGAAAGGGGCAGTGTGAGAGATGGCAATCGAAAGAGCCGAGACTCGCAGGATAGAGAATGGGACTCACGTGACAGAGAGTGGGATTCACGTGATAGAGAATGGGACAAACGATGTTACAGCCGTGAAAGAAGTCCACATAAGAGATATGAGAAATCTCGATCTCGCTCTGCTGGACGTGATGAGTTCTCAAGATCAAGATCTCCTAGAGGTCGGAGCCATGGGCGGAGTTACCGGGAAGACAGCTACGAGGACGATCACTGGCATGAAAGTGAGAGGCGAAGAGAATATGAAGATAGACATAACCAGGATCATTTTTCTTCTGTATATAATATTCTCCCCACCCCCATCCCCTGGTTTACATTGTTTTGTTGCGAAGACATTTAAAAAATCCTTTCCTGTATTCTTATGGTTTTTGCTAGACCCCATCTGCCACTGTTGTTGTGAAGGGTCTCTCAACAAAATCAACAGAAGATGATCTATACCAGCTTCTGGTAATCTCTTCTTCATCTTCCAAAATTATATATCGTCAGGGTTGAACAATTTTTCTTGCATGACTTTATTGTTCCCTTGTGCATGACTAGGCTGAATGGGGTCCTCTGCATGATGTCCGTGTGATTCGGGAGCAAAATTCTGGGATCTCTCGTGGATTTGCATTTATTGATTTCCCCACGGTGGTAATTACTTTTAAATTTTAATTAAGTTGTTAGTTCCTTGTGGCTCTTTCTTGTGTTCTATTCAACCCAGTGAGTGCAAATACGTATGTTTGTCTGTGCAGGATGCTGCACGTACCATGATGGACAGAATTGAGCATGATGGTATAGTTATGGATGGAAGGAAGCTAATTTTCCGTTATAGGTCTTTTAAAATTATTTTACTTTGATTTTAATTTCATACTCCTAGTTACTTGTGTAGCATTCTTTAACTGAAATGTGGTGTGCTGAGCAGTGAACCTAGGGCTGGTGTGCCCCGTAGGCAGGAAAGTGCTTCTAGGCGCAGTTATGGTGGAAACAAAAGCATGATGGTTCCCACGGATTGGATGTGTACAATCTGTGGCTGTATCAATTTTGCGCGGCGAACCTCCTGCTTTCAGGTTGGTGCATTGTTTGGAAAAAAGTTCTGTAGATTTCATACCCAGGACTAGCGCATGAACGCATCAACAAACTAGATGAATTTACATATAAAGTAGAACTTCTCATTTTGGTTAACATGAGTTGGTGATGACAATACCAAAAAATATAGAACTGATAAAACCCTCAGGGAGTATCTCTTCTGTGCTACAAAAAAATAATTATTTGAGTTCCTTTTGGTGATAAAAATGTATCTCAATTGACACTTAATGTTTGGGACTAGGGTGACATACATATGTCACTAATAATTGGTATATGAACATTTTATCTTTATGTAGACTCGTTGATGCGCATACCTATGGTAAGAATATATTTGTTTGCATTTACAGTTGTTTGTTTGTCAGTAGATATAGCTATCATAAATCAAATTTCAAAAGAGAACTTATATAACTTCCTTCAAGTGCTCTTTATTGATTTATCTTTCCTTCTACTTGTTTAAGCTCAAGCAAGGGTTTATTTCCAGTTCAAGATCGTGGTGGTCAATTGAACCTGTAGCTTCTTTTTCATGCAGCTGCCTGTGTATTAGTTAATGGCAGAACACAAAAAATTTCTTAGGTGCAGTTTTAATATGGCAGAAACAACTTATGGGCATTGCGCAAATACCTTCGATCTCTTTTTTCTTACGCAGTGTAGTGAACCCAAGACCAAGGATTCTCCTTCAGCCGATATAGGTTTGTCAAACCCAGCAGGAAAACGAAGTTTGGAGACAGGTTATAATATGATCAGCTTTTTATTCAAGATGTTTTAGATTTCCTTGTTTGGTCAGAAAACAGTTGAAAGTGCTAAGGTTATAGTTTTTGCACTTCTGTACATGCCATTTATGCTTAGTAAACGACGTTCTTATCTACTTTTCCAGGTCCAACTCATGTTTTAGTTGTACGTGGGTTGGATGAAGATGCTGATGAGGAAATGATTCGGTGTGAATTTTCCAAACATGCTCCTATCAAGGTCGACAAAAACCCTTTTGGATTCGTTGTTTAGGATATGTACTTTTTACGTTAGTTGACTTGTTTTTTCTCTTTCCACCATTGTGTAGGATCTTCGACTTGTGAGAGACAAGTTCACTCATGTTTGCCGGGGATTTGCATTTGTGCATTTCTGCTCGGTAAGGTCTCAAAGCCAAGTCGGTTGTTGCACTTACTAGCTCTGGTGTTTTACTTCTCAAGCTCTCACGTCTGCTTCCATTTTTCCTTTCTGATGATTGTTATTGCAAGTGTAACTTTTGATCAGAGAGTTATTAGATGGTATAGAAATTAGAAACCCAGTCTAGATGATCAGTGGCAGTTTTTTTGTTTGAAAGTGATTTTTTTTTTCTTTTTTTTTTTTTAATTTGTCTTAGTGCCAGAAACGGAGTCTATAGTAATTTTAATCTTCTAGTGTTGTGGGTAGTTTATGCAATGTTTGGAGATGGGCACGCTTAATTATTTACTTTTGTCGTGCTATTTCTATAATCTAAAAATCTTTGCATGGACCTTTTAAGCTATTGTTGTAGATTAATTCCTTGGTCTCTGTTGTAGTTGGTAATTTCCGTGGTTGCAGATTCTCTTAAAGGTCGGATTTGGAACAGAATTGCTTTAATATAGTCAATCTATTTACCATAGTTTATGTAGGTATTTGACTGTTTTTTAATCCACCTAAAAACTTGTAACATAAGAATATGATTATGTTCGTGCAGGTTGAGGATGCTACCAAGGCACTTGAAGCAACAAACGGAACAACTCTTGAAAAGCATGGTAAAATCCTTAGAGTTGCATATGCAAAGAACATTCATGGTTCTGGAACTGGTACATCAGCACCCTCTCACTCCAGCAACCTCGCTGCTGCCGCAATTGAAGCAGCAGCATTTTCTCAACAGGTACTTGAATTAGTTGGCCACACATTGATCATTAGTTACATTTGTTATAATGGTTATGTAGTGAAACAAAGCCAGACTAGTTTGTGTTTAGTAATTTCCTTGCATTCAACGAGATTGGGGAGTGAAAGCAGTCTGATTGTTATGGGAAGTGCAACAATAATCTGAACATTGAGTAAATGGTCAAATTAGTCTGCTTTAACTTAAAATGCAGTATGAACCTAGGACTGAGTTATATAGTGTTTAAAGATACGTCCATCTTCTGGCATTTTCAACCTTGCCTGAACAAGGCATGGTGTAAAATTGTTGAATAATAAACGGTTCATCAGTCACGTGGGGTGCTCTGGTCGTCTAAGAACAGTCTCTTGTTTATGTGTGTCAATGAACTTATACGTCTCTACAGAATCTATTGTGGTACTTGTAGTTTGTTGTATCGACATAATTATTAGCTTGTGCCAGTGTGCGGAAACATCCTTAGTTATTTACGGACTTTTGGTGGTCAATGGAGTTTGTCACTCAATGTACTAGAATCGTATTGAGACAGTTATAATTTATTAGCCAAAGGAAAAGCACAATTTTTCCTGAATGTTAAATACATTGTTTGGACATAAATATGTTTCTTATGAGGCTGAATTTCGCTATGAGGCTGAATTTCGCTCAATCTTGGTTTAATTTTTTCATTATCTTTTTTAAAAAAGATTGTCATGCTTATGATTCTTCTAATCTATGTGCACTGCCATTGTCTTTATTAGTATGACGGTGTTGGATGGGCTCCAAAGGAATACAATTTTGATGAGAAACAAACTGGAGGGCAGGCCCAGGGCGTTGGGGAAATTGAAGCCCAGAAAGGGGCTTCTGCTTCTGCTCCACAATCCGGCTATGTGTGGGATGAAGCATCTGGTTACTACTATGATGCTGCCTCTGGATATTACTATGATGGAAATTCAGGTTTGGACTTGCTTATATAATTATTTTTTATCTGTGGGGTGTATTTTTTTACAGGATAGTTTCTTTGCAAATAGGTCCCACGTCTTGTTTGTTCAAACTATATCAGGGTTGCTATTTTGGCTTGTTGTGTGTAACGCAAAGTTTCGGATGGTGCATATTCTGTTCTTAATGTGACTATGTTCTTTAACTTTGAATGCACTAAAACAGAAACTTAGAGATACACACTTTTATGTCTTAGGTAGACTTGCTGTCGGGATCAATCAAGTACTATCTGATGTAGTTTGATTATGGCTTCAGTAGGACTCTCAATGGATTTTGTCACTTTTTGACTTTTAAGTATTGGACAGTTAGGCCTTCTTATCTATGTGCTTTGAAAATTCGCATCTGATAGAGCTAAATGATGAACTGTTTTAATGATTTGGTAAGCAATGGTCATCTCTACTTGGTTTGGGTGGTGGAAAGCCTGGCTCCTCTTGTGTGAGAGGAGGGTAGTTTTTATATTAATGATATGCTTTTAAATATGCAGGTTTCTATTATGACAGTAATAGTGGGCTTTGGTACTCGTATGACCCTCAAACGCAGCAATATGTTCCTTGTCCTGATCAGAACAATGAGAGTAAATTAACTGAAGAACAACCAGAGTCTGCCAAGATGGAGAAATCCACTCAACAAAAAGTTATTATCTCTGCGGCTGCTACCCCCAATGTAGAAAAGGCTATCTCCTTACCAGACGCGGTTCAGGCGGCTGCAGCAGCAGCAATTGCAGCAGAGAAGAGAGAAAAAGAGAGAGTGAAGGAGATAAAACTTGCGTCAAAGAGTAGCATACTGGCTAGCAAGAAAAAAATGAGTAATGTTTTAACCATGTGGAAGCAGCGGAGCCATGAAACACAAACACAACGTCCCTCACTCGGTGACAGTCCACCTACGGTTCTGGCTGAAGCAAGGTCGTCTTTCTCAACTGTACAATCCAAGGGCAAGCTGAAATCTGATGCAATGATTTCAAAGGAGAGAACTACCTCCAATCATGGAGTTGCTGCACTGACAACGACTCCAACTATAGAAAGCTCGAGTAGCAGTGCAGCAGGAGGACCTTTGATGGGATCTTCTTTTCGAGAGACTCAGGGAGGAGCTTCTTCTTCAGCTAATGTACAAGTGCCTCCAGTTTTGCCTTCTACTCCTTTGCCTTCAGTCCCGGTTTCGGTTTCTGGGAGTGGAAGAAGAAGGTTCTCTGAAACGCCATCTGCAGTGTCTACTCACAGAGAACAGCCTCAGACATCATACCGCGACCGTGCTGCAGAAAGAAGAAACTTATACGGTTCATCAGCTTCAAGTGGAAATGATGTTATTGATACAAGTAAGCGTCCTTGACAGTTTGACTTGTCTCACTCAAAGTAGATTTTTATTTTCTTGCAAGAATAAAAACCGTAAACGAGAGTTAAATTTTTGTAACATGATTGGCTAATATGGTGTGTGTTTGAATGAGAAGATGAGGATGTTGTGGGGTTGAGGAAAGGTGCATCGGATCCAACACCTTTTCCTCCTGGCGTGGGTGTACGTGGGATTACCACAACCGAAGTCAATAGTTTCGACGTAATCACAGAAGAGAAAGCAATAGACGAAAGTAATGTGGGAAACAGAATGTTGAGGAACATGGGCTGGCACGAAGGATCGGTAAAATTCTTTTTTAAAATATCAATTTATAACGTTGTATTTTGATGGTAGAGAAGATAGTCTGATGGTTGGTAAGGTGCAGGGATTAGGGAAAGACGGGAGCGGAATGAAAGAACCGGTGCAAGCACAAGGCGTTGATAGGAGAGCAGGACTTGGGAGTCACCAGAAGAAACTTGATGCTGAGTTTGAGGCTCAGCCTGGTGATACCTACAGAACTATTCTCCATAAGAAAGCTCTTGCGAGGTTCCGTGACATGTCTGACAATAATTGACTCTTGCGATGTTTTTGTTCTTGTGTAAAGTGGAGTTGGAATTTTCAATGTTGTCTTGTGTCTAAACTTTTAACTGTGAAAGTGAGTTTGATTCTTGCTCTCTAAATTGTTAGTGAAAAGACAGTTTGAAAACATGGCATTTTATACTTTTTAAGTTGATCCGTCCAAAAACAACCTTAAAAAAACCAGTCTCTCGCCATGGCTGGAGACAATAATGAAAGAGGGACTAAAATTGTTTTTGGACGGCTAAAGTTGCAAAATTTGTTTTTGGATTAATCAATTTGAATGAAAACTTGAAAAAGTTATCTAGATGTTCCAGAAAAAAACTTAAATTAGTTTTCACATTTCCTTGCGCAAACTTACTTTTATTTTTTAAACTCACTAGAAATTTCTAATACTTGATACTTGTCCCGTACTCGTTACTTGCCTTGTACCCGCTTTGAAAAAACAAGTATTTATCATTATCAAGCCGGGTAATAAGTCATAAAAATCTATTACTTACAAGTACAAGTTAAGTATCAAGTATCATTAATATTTTTAATACTTGTCCCATTATTTGTTACTTGTTATTTGTTACTTGTTACTTGTTAAAAAAGTATTTGTTATCCGTTTAAAAATATTTGTTATTCGGTTTTGATCACATATCGATATTTCAATTTTATTTTTTATTAGCATATTTATTGATTTTTAGTATGAAATTTTTTAATTTTAAGTATACTAAGTTCAAATAATCAAATGTTTAAGTATTTTAGGTTCAAATAATCAAATATTTGAGATTTAAGTAATGGATTTTGGCAAGTAACAAGTCGGATCAAGTAACTTGCAAGTACTCCAATTTTTCGCCAGTATTTGATATAGCAAGTAAACAAGTCAAGTATAAGTAATAAATTGAATTACTTGAACAGATCAAGCCAAATAACAAATACTAGAAAATTAGCAAGTATTTGTCCTGTGCCCAGCCCTAATATAAAGTATAAACTAGCTTCTGCCTTCTGCTGGACTGCTAATTTGTAGGCATTACTCGAACGTCACCAACAATTTTTCATCATTACCTAATGAGCATAAGGTACTTTTTAATGAGCATAAGGTATTTTCTACGATTTTTTTTTAAGATACATAAATTGGTGTTTTTAAGGATAGTGTTAAATAAGATGGTGTTATTTCAACAAACAACAGAAAAACAAAAACAAAAAAACAAAAGGAAACTACGTATTATGTATTGCATTCGCTCCAAAATTAGTTATGTATTCCATTTCCATTTATTTTTTCCCTATATCAGCCTGAAAGATATTTCCCTATTTTATTTTTGGACATAAGATTTTCTACATATACAGAGGTCCGGACAATTACAAAACATGTGAATAAACTAGCTTGTGTCTGTCATTGGCTCTTCCCAAAACAAAAGTGGTTAAATAAAACGTTTGTGGGAACTATTGATGTAATGGTTGGGTTTTGTTGCTGCCGCCTATTTCTGGATTAACGCCTCAAAAAACAAAAAAAAAAATCAGTGAATTCACCTTGATTTACGTTGTCATATTTGCTCAGTACGTGAGATGGAAATGAAGGCTTTCCTTCTGCAGTTTTAAGTTTTTACCGACTCTATATATATATCCAAATTCAACACTTCTAAAAACCTATACATACCAATTTTATAAGTTGGTATTTGCTTCTTGGAAGTCTGCCAACTTTTTGTAAACGTTTTTTCAAGATGAAGAAATGTGAGTTTTTTTTTTATTGATTATATAAATAAAAGTAAGTTTGCGCCGAGGAAAAAGTGAAAAACTGATTTCTTGATTTTGAGAATTTTTTTTTACAGGGTTAGTGGGAGGAGCCGTTGTAGTAGTGTTGATTGCATTAGGGACATGGGCTATTATCTCCGTCACACCTCCACCTTCTAAGATCTGCGGAACGCCCGGTGGACCGCCTATCACCGCCCCGAGGATACGGCTCAGCGATGGTCGCCATTTAGCCTACCAAGAACATGGAGTTAGTAGACAAAACGCCACCTTCAAGATCATCTTTATCCACGCATTCGCCACCTTTAGACGTGATGCTGTTATCGCCCAACGTGTTCGTCCTGTAATGATTCAATCTTTTCTCTCTTTAACATTTCTCTTTTTGCCTAATTAATAGAGAGAAGAGTAATTGCATTGAAATGTTTGTTTTTAACAGGGGTTTCTTGAGAAAAACGGTATCTACATTGTGTCATATGATCGACCTGGTTATGGAGAGAGTGATCCTGATCCCAATCGCAATGAAAAGACATTAGCTCGTGACGTTGAACAACTCGCAGACCAGTTACAACTTGGTTCCAAATTCTACGTGGTTGGATATTCAATGGGAGGCCAAGCCGTTTGGGGTGTTCTCAAATACATCCCTCACAGGCTCGCTGGTGCCACGTTGCTTTCTCCTGTAACCAACTCATGGTGGCCAAGTTTCCCGAGTAGCTTGACTTGGGAGCTATGGAACAAGCAATCTAAAACCGAAAGGTTTGGGATGCTCATTACTCATAACACGCCATGGCTACTCTATTGGTGGAACAATCAAAAGCTATTCGAAACATCATCTGTGATGCAATCAAGCCCTACGATGTTCTCTCCTCAAGATATGGCTGTACTGCCTAAACTCGCCGCAAGGGTGGCTTACAAGAACCAAACAACGCAACAAGGGACACACGAATCATTAGACCGTGACTTGATTGTAGGATTTGGAAAATGGGGATTTGATCCGATGAAGATCGAGAATCCTTTCCCAAAAGGTGAAGGATCGGTGCATCTGTGGCAAGGGGATGATGATCGGCTTGTCCCGGTGGCACTACAAAGGATCATTGCTCAGAAACTAACTTGGATAAAGTATCATGAGGTTCCAGGCGCTGGTCATTTGTTTCCAAATGCTGATGGGATGGGAGAAACTGTCTTGAAGGAACTATTACCTATTCCCCAAGCATCTTGAGTTCATCAATCTTCTTCATTCAATTTTACATTGTTTGTTTAGACTCAGGAAAAAATTGTACATTTTGACCCACCCTCAAAAAAAAAAAAAAGTTGGAATAATGTATAAATTTCTGTATTATGTATGAATTTCTTCATTTTTTTTTTTGTTTTTGCATTTCTCTTGTATATGTTGCAGTGTTGTAAAAAGATATATTCTAGTAAATAAATCAAGAGTAAAAAATCTCTGGTTTTGCACTTTTTTTGTTTCTTTATTTTGTATGATCTTCTGTATTTATTGGAAACAAGAAAGCTAGCAGTAGATAACAACGAAGATTGCACTTATTCTGCCACAAATATCGTTTCTTAAACTTGCAGTTAAAGGATGCTAATAATAACATTAGATTGAAAGCAGAGAAAATTCTCACTTGGGAAGACCCGTTTCCGGATGGAGAAGAGCGTGAGTTTGGTCAGGAAGCACGACGGGACCTCTTCCAGGTCTAGTGCAGATAAAATAGCTGACTTCTCCTTTTTGATCCTGAGATCCAATGTTGTCTTTAATCTCAGGTGGAGGTTGCAGACTCTCTACACTGTTTTCTCCATCTAATCCTGCCTCCTTTAGAATCGAATGATCTCCCACTACGTAACTGGTAAACATCGAAACCAAAATCATTACAAGCAACCTTTTTAGTTATCTGTTAATGAATCACACAGTTCTATCTCTCACCTCCTCATATCAGTGTCAGACTTAGGAGGGAAATAGTAGAGCAGCCCTTGGAGCAATTGAACTGCTACCTTTCTGTTGCGTGAAATCAGTACAGCGTTTGGGCCAGCATCAAATGTATAAGCAACCTGTCGAGATTTTACTTTTTGTTTGTTTGTTATTGTTTATATACTTGAGAAAAACAAAATAGTTTTGCAAGGTGGTCTGATCTGTCTCACATCCTGATCCTTGTGCAAATAACATTTGCCAATCAAAGTAACAGTCAAAAGATCGAACAAGACACAGCTAGGTAGGGCTTTACCTGTGGTGTTCCTTCAGAACGATTCCACTTTTCAACTAAGCTAATTATCCTGCCAAAGCAGTTAACAGCTTGATATTAAGAAAAGAAAGGATGTTTGATAGTTAAATAAATAGAAGCAGCATATAATTCTCAAAATAGAGAAATACCTGTGGGAAGTATCATTCATGTAAAATATGGGTGGAGATGTATCCAGACAAACAGCATGAAACTGATTACTGTCTGCGCAGCTCAGTTGTGCAAAAGATGTGAAATCTCGGTTTTTTATAGCTTCCTCCATTTGCGGGATTCGTTTTGGCACAACTTCCTAAAGATAATGAAAAAAACCAGAAGATGAGGTTTAAGAGGTAATGCCTACTTTCATCAAACATTAGGGAACATACCTTTGCTCTATGCTGTAAAAGCAAACTCGTCTCAACACTTTCACGCATTCCAGAGGTGCTGCTCGTTTCCTTCTGCTGTGAGCTCACCTGAGTGTAGCACAAGCTAAACATATTTAAAACAAAAAAAAAAGAAAAATCTTTTACAGGCAACGGAAGAAAATATAAGCAAACACTGGAATTCCATAGGTTACAGATCATTCGAACTTGTCTTAGCCATGCCATAATGCAGAAGAGGCTGCCTGTATTGATCCATAATATGCTACAGTCATACGTTCAAATCGAGCAACTCAATATTGTGTTCTGAAATTTTTTATTATATAGGTCATTCATTCAAATCATATGACAAGAGAGACTGTTCCATACAATTAATTAGAAACGGCATTATCTGGAAGATGTGAAAATTAGAAAAATTTCTGCGACAAGTCTAAAAAGTCGCTAGAAAAAAAGATTAATAAGATCCATACCACAGCAATGATGATAACAAGATCATCCCAATGCTTCTCATCTGCCAGTTGAACTGCAACGCTGTCACTTCCATCTCCTTTGCTTCCCATTGTCCACTTGACAAATCCACCAAATAAACTGCGGCAAGCACTTCCTGAACCTTGCCTACATGAGAGAAAGAAAATTAAACCGTGAATACGAGTACCACTTAATTTCTAAAAGAATGTCAGATTACATGTCATTCAACAATAAAAAAAAAATGGAAAACGTTTTAGTATGATAACTCAGGCATAAATTAAGATCACTGTAAAAAAGAATCAAGATAGTAGCTGTATGTAATCAGTGCATGAGGACGATGCCACATAGATTGTAACGAATGATATTGGAAGAAAGTCCACTACATATGTACCTGGCTATTGCAGAAAGATGGCTTGAATCTTCATCTACATTCATCAACTTTGCAAGAGAAAAAACTGTAGGAAAAGAGCAGTTTATCATAAACAACGAGCACTCTGAAGCTCACGATATGGATAATCTTATTATCATTAGAGGAAAGATGAAGAGTTTTAACATCGACTAAATTAAACTTTAACATGAAGGTTGCACCACGGTAAACTATGAATGTATGAGCTTAGGGGGATAAGAGAAAAAAAGCAATCAATCCACGAGGAGGAAACAGAGAGAAAAGGCAAGAGTACCTAAACAAGCAAATCCAGCTGCTGAAGATGCTAAGCCAGCAGCAGTAGGAAAGTTGTTATGAGAAGCAATATGTAAATGCAACTTCTCCCAATCTTTCTTCTCTATCCTGATACCCTTCTCCTTGTCTTCAACATCACCAGCACGACCTCGAATTTCCCTCAAACAATTTTGGTATCTACTCCCAGAGAGAGAGATTTCCTATACTAACACGGAATCAAACAACAAAAACGAAAAGACTCGTTCAAATCATAATCCAAATCTAGCTCAGAACTGAAAATCCATATTTAAGCTTTTTGCTGCTTTTCTTTGGATTCGAGATTTGAAATCTCAGCAAAGAGACGAAGAAATGAAGCGAAAGTACCTTGCCATTGAGCCACATTCGATCCCGATCAAAAGCAGGACTAACGGCGACAGTGGTGACGGTGCAGAGGTGATCGGGATCAAGAGTTACGCTAATGCTATCGTTGACAGGGAGAATCCGAACCTCATCTCTCTTTCCCCAATACTTAATCACGGCGATGTTCGTCGGCGTTTGCGCCGTCACCATGTACACCCATTTCTCCGCCGCCATATGAAACTCCAACGCGAAGCTCAGGTGATATTCGTGCCCAGAGATCTGGAGCTTTCAAGTGATATATATCCAAAAATAAATAAAAGAGACGGAGGATTCGAAAATAACAGTGACTCATATTGCCTATAACGGAATTCGGACACATATCCTAAATTAAATTATTTTATTATCCAAAAAAAATTGGTAAACCAAGAAGGAAAAAACTTCACTACTTTATTATAGGAACTTCACTACTTTATTATAGGACACTCTTATAGTGTATAGTTTTCGATGAAAACACCAAAACTTAACCTATAAAGTTTGAGAAACAAAAAAAAGAGTTAGGTAGGAGTGGAGATTAGAACGTGTGATATATAATGAGTTCTTGTTCTTTCTTTCGTTTGGTCAAATCTTCTTGAATGCATAAAACTAATATGTATTCATGATTTGTCATTGTTCTTATGAGAATATAAGATTTAGGGATATATTGTTACAAACTTACAATCCTTGGATTTGAAATAACAAGCAGAAGTGAAGATGGATGATTAAGTAAAACACAACATGAGCAAAAGCAAAAAAAAACAGACTCATATAACTCATACAACATTGGTTAAGATTATTGAAGAAAGCATCTCATTCCAAATATCCGGGACACCAGGCAAACACCAATGACTACAATCTGATAAAGGTCCAGCGATATGATGGTGCTTCTCTTCCTCTCGCATTGATCTCTTGAACACCGAAGGATGTCCATCTCTCCTATACGCCGACATTGTTGTGATATCGTGCAGATACACTCGGTATTTCATTCTCCTAAGCACTTTTTTCAACACTCTCGATTGTTTAGGAACGTGTGAGTTGTTGGAAGATGATGAAGAAGAAGGTAAGGGATGTCTCTGGTTGTAGCACTTTTGACCACTCTCTCTGCCACAAGATATATATGTAACATGATCATCTCTTCTCCTTCATGTTATTGTATATTTTGATGACATTTTGGTAGAGAATATAAGAAAGGAAAAAACCTCGGTGAGATGGTGCGGAAAATGACTTTGGTTTTGGATGGATCAAGATTAATCTCTACCCATTTAGCCCATGTGGTAAGTCCTCGTTCATAAGCAACCATTGGGTCCATAGAATTTAAGACCTCGTTTCCATCCTTGTAATAGTCCCACCTAAAAGCATCATTAACTTGTGTTATTGTTAGTAATACATATACTAATCATTTGCTTCTAAACCAGATCTTATATATAAAGGTTTTGTTTGATGGCTTACGAATTTCGTTTCTGAGAGTGAGTCCACCAGTGAGCGGAATCGAAGACAAGAACATCGACACCTCGCCAATATCTAGCATTGTCTTCGATTGAGTCTAAATGTAACACTCTTTTACGGTCATTTCCTTTCTTGAGTTCCACAAGCAGAGGGGCCCAACAGAACTCGATTGATGTCTCAAAATCCTGCAAGTAATTAACCAAGATTATTAGTTGCTTTTACTGACCAATTATGTAAACGTGATCCAAAAGGAGATTTATGCGTTGAAAAGAGAAATGATTATTACCAGAGAATGGAAAGACATTGTAGGACCATTGTAAGTGAGCTTCTTACGATGAGTGGGAATCACAGACTGTACTAAGCAGACAAGAGATTCCCACTGGTTTCTCATCATTGAATCTCCAACCAGCATTATTCTTTTTTTCCTCATTTTCCCCAGAAATTTCAATGCATCAAACCTGAAACCAATCAATTAAAGAGAGCCTACTTTGGTAAGAATTAATTAAAAGTTACAAATTGTGGGGCTAAAATCACTGTTTTAAAAACTGAGAAAGTAACTCACTAGATCAAAAAAATGCTTTTCAGATAAATATGAACGCACAAGGTACATTTATTTAAACAAATATTTTTTATTCAAAAGAAATTGAATATTTGATATTATTCAATATTTCTTTGAAAAATTCTTGGGTTCACCCCTATGGGTGAATTCATTCATTCACCATCTCTCATTTTAGCCAATAAGAATCTGTCATGTAATATTATTTTTAAATAAAAATACAAAATTAAAATTAAAAGATTAAATACTAAATCTAATCTTTTATAAATATATATATATAATAAATAATGTATATAAAGATTAAAATTTAATATTATGCTTGGATTCACTATTTACAAATTAGGGTATAGTTTTTTTCCATTAAGAAAAAAAAATATTATGTTTGGGTTCACTATTTTCTATCTAGAGTTTAATTTTCTTCATTTATAATTCTAAAAATAAAACAAATAATTATGTAATGATGTATGTTTATTAAAAATAATTTTACATAAACTTTAATATTATGTTTGGGTTCACTATTTCCAAATTAGGGTATATTTTTTTCATTAAAAAAATATAATGTTTGAGTTCACTATATTCTATTTAGGGTTTAATTTTCTTTATTTAAAATTCTGAAAATAAAACAAATAATTATGTAAAAATATATGTTTATTAAAAATAATTTTACATAAACTTTAATATTATGTTTGGGTTCACTATTTCCAAATTGAGGTTTAGTTTTTTCCATTAAAAAAAATATTTAAAGTATACAATTTTGGTAAGTTACTTTAATTGACTTTATTATATGGCAGATTCTTATTGGCTAAAATAAGAGGGAGTGAATGAATAAATTCACCCCTAGGGGTGAACCCAAGAATTGTTCTATTTCTTTAGCTAATTTTCAAAAAAAAAGTTTGAAATTTTTTTCATAAAAAATAAGATAACACAATCAAAATGGATGATGTGCAATCTAATTTTTCTATATTCTACATTGCAGAGGAATGAATGGAATAAAAACATACAATCTAATTTATATATTCTATCCTTCAATCAGTTTATTACTTTTGCTATTACCGGTTCACTCCTCATGCAATTGCCTATTTTGAGGCCAAAATAATCCTAACCGAATTTGACATCAAAAAAGAAAAACTGGTTAAAAAAGAAGTAAGAATAGATAGATAGTAGGAGTGTGGTTGTGTTGCGTGCCTTGAAAGCGAACAAGCCTTAGGGATCCATCTCCATTTCTGGTAATAAGAGTCAGGCCTCCCATTTCTCTGGCAACTTAGCGTAGAGCTCAAGTATGGACAGTTTGAGTCATAAAGCGGATACGTTTCGTCGTAAGTCCATTTCCCGACCGAGTAATCACACTTCTCCTCTCTTCTTTCCCGCCTTGTCTGCAACGCGTTGAGTGGATCGTCGTCGTCACCGACTAGCCATAGCTCATCAAGCTGCGACGATGCTTCTTTGCTAAGGATGAGACACAGAGAAAAGAAGAAGAATCGAGTGTTTAAGGTAGCCATGTGGAGGAAACTGAGCAGTGTGAGCTTAGAGAAGGAAATAATATAAAGAAGATAGAAAAACACAAATGGATAAAGTGAAAAGGGAGTTAATTACGGAAAGTGATGGTAATTAGTAGTTATAACTTAATCAACTTATGCTTGAAATCATGTTCCGTGACTTGCGTTTCCTCTTTTCTCCATCATTTCATTTTTTCTTTATTATAGATTACAGTATCCGAGGCAGGATTCGCGCGAGTTATACCAAAATTGAACAAATGTTGTTAACTGTTATGGTTAAGACCATCTCCAACCCTACTGCAAATTTTACTGCAAAATAGAGTTTGGAGTAAGATTTTCTCCAACCCTACTCTAAATCTCACTCCAAAATGGAGTAAAAAATGAAGTTACTCCATATATAGAGCAAAAAATAGAGTTTCTCCATTTTTTTGGTCATAACTCCATTTTAGAGTAAAAATGAAGTTTACATTGGAATAAAATACAACTCCATTATGGAGATACTCCAAAATAGAAAAAAATATAAAGTCATACATTGGAGATGCTCTAAAAGAACAGTTTTATTTTTTCAATGTTCGTAAAATTGAAATCGGATTCAAAATAAGTCAAACCGGAAATAAAAAAGTGATAAATGAAACATTTAATGAAAAAACCGAACCTAAATAGTACAAACAATCCAATAAAGCAAAAAAAAAAAGAATTGCAGAATGAAAAACGAATTCTTTCTTTATTAGTGTCGAAGACAACAATCAACAAGCATAAAAGTAGTATAGAACCAATGAACAAAAGAAATGAAGGGTTTTATTGTTTATCATCATCCTCTCGCTAAATCAAAAGGCAAACAAAAAAAACCATAAAGAATATTAGAATACTAAGATTACGTACCTTTCCTTAGTCAACGATAATTTGGTTATATGGACGGTTTTGATTGGGTCATAGAAGAAATATATTTGATCTATCCACGCGGATAGATTGTTAACTCTCTCATTGGCTGATTATTTTGGTTATTATTATGCCTTCACTCTTCTTAGACCTACGAATCAATCTCTTTTTATATAAAGGTGATATTGGTAGGGGTTTTTTTAGTTATTATTCATTTATTTACATCAGGATATATTCTTATGATAGATTGAGATCTTTATGAATCTATATATACTGATCCTAATTTTATATGTATTTGGACTTTTAGGCCTGTGCATGTATCCAAAAGGATGTGGACTTTTAGGCGTATGCATATTCCAAACCCTATAAATACTAAGTGTATGTTAATGAATTGAAAGCGGTAAAAACAGAAGGTCGATCATAGATCATGGATGTTTCGAAGAAAGCTGCATTCATCAGAGCCGAGAGAGACGGCGCCGGTATGGTCACAAGAGTCATGGGTTGGTTCTTCGTAAGTGTCTTCAATATTCTGGCTTGCGTCTTCTTCTCACAACAGGGTTCATGGAAGAAGATACCTCAATATGCGACTACTGTGGCGACGTAGAAACTTATTCTTCTTGGTGGGATCACGTACGGTGTCTCCATGTTAGGCCTTGTCACGTACTTGATAATCTATCGTTTATCAGGTATAAAACAGACAATGGTGAGGGTAGCTCACAACGTTTTACTCGGTATTCTTGGCGGTTTGCCTTGTATGTATATCTTGGACTCATGGGGCTGGGGCGGTAACGGCAAACTCTGGCTATTTGTTTGGACAATGTTTTGCCTTTTGCAACTCGTTGTAGATGTCATCACATTGGCTGTACGGTCGAGATCAGGGACCAAATCAAGAAGCACTATGAGTGATATACAAACACCAATGCCATTTCTCTTCCCATCACCACTCAACAAATTCATAAGCATAAACAGAGCAACTCATAAGCAAAAAGACCAAAAATTGTCATTTTCCAGGTACAAGAGAATGGCTATTGGGGTTTCTCCAATGAGATCAATCTTACCACAAACAATAAAACTAAACAGAACAAAAAAGTCGAACCAAATGGTTTCTCGGTCTTATAACAGATTCACAACAAATTCTTATGATTTCTCTCCTCTTTTGGCTTTTAGGTAATTGAATGTGATCAAAGTAAGTCTATCCACGCACACCTCGGTCAAGACTTACCATACGGCTCGTGCCATCCATCTGCATTCCTCTTAAGAAAAAAGAATTGCAAAATGAAACACGAGTTCTTTCTTTTATCAGTGTCGAAGACAACAATCAACAAGCATAAAAGTAGTATATAACCAATGAACAAAGGAATAACTGAACCAAAGAAATGAAGGGTTTTATTGTAGAGAGAGACCCAAAACTCTCCGTGCCACAAAAGGTCCTAAACGAACCAATCATCCAAGACAGACCGCATACTTTTCAATCAACCTAAATATGTCAAAGAGTATTAATGAAACCAAGCTAGAGATAGCAACACCACTCTTCTTCAGCTTTTATTCTCCTTCATGCTTATCAAATTCACACCATTTCAAACAGCATAACACAAAAACAAACACTCTGCTCTTTTAGTTAGCTCCTGTCCCAACAGGTATCATCTTAATATGTCAGTCCAGATTTAGAAAATCCATTTCTCTTGATCATCTGAACAGGAATCATCTAGCCATGATTGGTGGATGTGCATCCACGTCAGCTTTTTCTTTTCCCCCTTTTCATTTTAACCCATTTTCAGATATTAAATATTGTTTAATCAATCAAGTCGTGAAAAAACTTCAACGTCATGAATCAAGGTTTACCTGACAACTCAGTAAGACTCTTGTTGAACAAGACCGTACTTTTCCCTCTGATTACAGGCCAAAACAAATAAGAGTAAAACATTAGAACATTAAAGCAAATTTCTGCGGTTTTCTTTCATGAAGAGGAAACTAACATATCAACATCTTTTTTCTCATCTTCAAAAAACAAAGATCAAACAAAACCTTTAGCACTTCCTAGAGATCTAATTGTGTCACTTGGCTTGTAGCAAACACATCAAGAAGAGTTTAGATGACCCTAGTTTCTGGTAAATTAACTCCTCACTCAGACTAGCCACAAGGAGAATCTATTAAGCAGAACAGTACAAAAAAGAAGAAAATGAATGTAATATGACAACGGTGGTTGGTAATTTGGTAAGGCAAACAAGCTAAAGGTTTGAAATTTACCTGTTTCAAAGGTTGATCTTATATCCTAGAAGAAATAATTGAAATGGTAACGTAAAGTATAGATTTCTTACCAGATAACTCGTGCTTGTCGAATTTTGCAAGCCATGAGTCTGAAGTGACATGAGAAGACGAAACTGCATCCAACCAGATGCGAAACTGCTTTTCCTTGCCATCCCCATGTAATTTTTCCATCTCATCTATCCATTCATGTATCGGTTTCTCCACCCCAGACGGATGAACAAATATACCAAGTGGACTCTGCAACATTGCAAAAGCAAAGCAGTTAAGCCGATTTATCCGTGTATATAATACAGGCAATCGAGAACAGCTTCAAAATTATTGATTTGGACACTTGAAAAATCCATTAACTCAGATGCTCCCTCATCTTCACTAGTTCTTAAGAAAACGTAGAAGACTGACACATTAGACTATCCATTTTTCAAGTGAAGGTTAGAATGTAACGTATTTTGTGGAACGAGAGAACTTTTTTTTGTCAAAGAACACGGTTTAGGGGTTTTACTCAAAGAAGTAAACTACTAATTTACCTTTGAATTGAATACATTTTAAAAGTATTTCTTAGGCAGTCAAACTTACAGAGAGTGATTTTATATTTTGCAAATACTTGTCAGACTTCTCCACCTCTCCACAACGCCATCTCTCATAAAACAAGTAAAACTGAACAACCTCATGAGCAGGATTCAAATTTTCCACGTGGAAATTTTCAGTATCCAGAAAATCTCTTGGAGAGGCGCTTGATCCCAAATTAAACCTTTGAATGGCTTCTATGATGCCAGCTGCACATCTCTCGGACGCAAGAAATATATTTGGGTTGTCCTTTGCATTTTCTTCATGCCATTGCAATAGTTCTTTGTGCGAATTGCTAACCTTAAACAGTAAAATAGCATCACAACTACAACTACAAGAGCAAAATCAAGTATGACCACACTTAAAAAAAAAAAATACAGTAGGAAACTAACCATTACACCATACGCTTGAGGAATGTTGAAGAGCTCAGCATCGTTTCCAGAGTCACCACAAACAAGTATGTTAGAAGGCTGCTTCCCTTCAATCTCCAACTTTTCAAGTAGATAAGTCAGAGCACCTCCTTTGCCAGCTCCTCTTGGTAATACATCGAAAGCGTAGTCGTTGCTGTAAACCAGCTTCACATCCACCTATACGGTATTTTACTGTCATCAGCACCAAAAGAAACATTCTATGATAAGAATAGCCATCAAATTCACATGAGGGGTACACACAAAGTCTCACCCCACGTTCCTTTAATATCCCTGGAAGAACCTTCATTATTTCTAAAGCTTGTTCTCTTCCCACGAAAAAACTCACTTTGTGCTGCTCTTGGCTCTTCTCTGGCTATAACAGACCCAAAACAAAAAGAGAGCTTTAGATTCAGCAGGATATACAACATTACTATTCAAATCCGGTAAGTGTCTAAACAGTAAGACAAAACTCTCGACTGTCATAAAGGTTTAACAATATTTTCTAAAAACAGGAACTAATACATATTTGTACGGTGGACTACACCTCATTCAGCTTCATCTATGCCAACAATACAATTTCTATTGCCTTTATTCCAATTTAGTAAACCTTATAACAAACTTTCAAAAAGAAAAATTAGAAAATGCATCTACTCTACAATCCTTGCCTACAAGCTAACCCATCGTCATAATCATCAAAGTTTACACCTTTTTAAACAGAAAGTCTGAGTCAACACAGCAAGAAACAAGATCGTCATGATCATCAAAGTTTACACCTTTTTAAACAGAAAGTCTGAGTCAACGCAGCAAGAAACAAGATCGTCATAATCATCAAAGTTTACACCTTTTTAAACAGAAAGTCTGAGTCAACGCAGCAAGAAACAAGATCGTCATAATCATCAAAGTTTACACCTTTTTAAACAGAAAGTCTGAGTCAACGCAGCAAGAAACAAGATATCAATATCCACAGAAAAAATACGTTGAAAAGAGATATACTAGGAAAATCCTTTGATGACAATATTACCTGCGGCTCAAGTTGAGGGAATTTAGAGGTTTCCTCAACAACAATGTCTCTGTTCCACATTTCACCCAAACGAGCCTCCCAAACATCATCCGACACCATCGATTCACCACCGCCGTATACAATCTCAGAACCGACAGAAGTTATGGCGATGTCCGGAGTCAACAACGGCCTCTTCTTCCTTAGACTCAAGTAAGAACGCAAGGACCTCCCGGTGGAGTAAACAAGCAAGGAATCATGGCGATAGTGAGCTTCCCAGAGCGCATTGAATCTAAGAAGATGGGTGTTTTCAGGATCATCGTGATCAACCTGCGGATTTGGGGAATATGAGTTTTGGTCGATTATAGAAAACTAAAGAGAGAGAGAGAATTAGAATTAGGAGATACCAATGTGCAATCAAGATCAGTGACAAGGATGAGACGTGGTGGTCCATCTAGCCTATCCATCGGTTCTCCAAAACCCAGATGATTTCTTTGCTTCTCCCTTCTTTCTGTCTGTCTCGTTCCCTTCGGATTTGACTGCCATTGGAAGACATCTTCTCTTTTGAACACTTCTGCTGAATCTTTCTTCGTTTTTCTTATTTATTTAGTTTTTTACCATCTAGAGTTATAACATTCATATCAAATCGAGAAAAAAAATTCAGCCTTAATTAGGTGAATTTTTTCAAATTTTCATTTTACCATCTTTAATACACATGTAAACAGTCTATCTACAAAACTACAACACATATTTTTTTTTTTTTTTACTACAACACATATTGTTATCCCATAAATTTTATTGTTTAGATTATTTACATTCTATTAATTGATTCGGTCTTCTATAGTTCTACACAAAACATAAATTTATATTCACATCCAACATAATTTGATTTTTTTAGAACTAAACAATTTTTTTTCATAATATACCTTATAAAGGCTTCATCGCTGAAAATCTAAAATCCGTGGTTTTACTGGACAGAAAAACTGAGAATCTACTTATTTGGAGCTTCTCCATTCGCTCGAGAAATAGCTCACAACCTGATTTTTGGTGATACCGGTGATAGACCAGTTTTCGATTTGTTAAATGGCAAACGAAGTCGTTTAATAAGAATTAGTACCTGGCCCAAGTAAAGCCCCATTAAGGTTATATCGGCCCATACTGTTCGCAACTCAGACACATCATCACCAGAATCCCTTTGTTTTTTTTTTTTTTTTTTTTTCCATTTCTTGCATGCTCATCGCTTGTCTTCTCTCTTGTCTCTACCCAAGCTCGTTCTGCTCAGTTGAGAAATACAGCCATTTCCGATCAGTAAGGTCTTCTATATATCTTTCTTTTGTTTTTAAATCTGTAATTTTAATCATTTTCCGTAGTTATTCACAACTTTCTCCTGATCCAAGCATTCATTTTGGTATTCAATGATCTTCAGTCTTCCAATCTCTGTGGAATTTTTTTTTTTTTTATAATTTCCAGATTATCTCTTATTCATAGAGACATAAAGGGATTCTCTGATGGGTTGTACTGTGAGGGAGAAGCATGTTAGGCCGAACCGGAAGACCCGATCCGTGAAACCCGAATTCGATCCGTGCTGTTTGCTCGACAGGACGGCTCTTCCAAAATCAATTGTTGAATCGAGTCTGAAACATCTTGTTTATCACCCGGGTCTTCTAGATTCGGGTCCAGACCCGAACCCAAGTGAGAATTCCGAGGAGAATGGTTGGGGCTACTGTACGGAGGAGCAATTAGAGGATATATTGCTGAAACATTTGGAGTATATATACTACGAAGCGATTTCGAAGCTTGTGGGATTGGGTTACGATGAAGATTTGGCGTTGAGAGCCATTCTTAGTAATGGTTTCTGTTATGGTGGGATGGATGTTTTGACAAACATTATGCACAATTCATTGGCTTATCTTAATAGCAGCACAAGTGAAGGAAGTAATGGGAACAGTGACGATCAGTCTGATACTGTTTTCACGGATTTGAGACAGTTGGAAGAGTATTCGCTTGCGGGTATGATTTATTTGCTGCAACAAGTTAAACCTCACCTGAGTAAAGGTGATGCAATGTGGTGTTTGTTAATGAGTGAGCTCCATGTAGGGAGGGCTAGTACAATGGATATACCTAGTTCTGGAAATGGAAATAGTGCTAATGTGGAAGGAGTTGGTGCTAATGGTGTTGGTGCTATGGTGCCTGCATTGTGTAGATTCCATGGAGGCTGGGGTTTTGGGAATGGGAGAGGACCTGAGTTTTCTGGTAATGGGTTTTCTTCTTGCGGCGAAGAGTTGACATTGCAGAGAGAGATTGATTGTCCGAGGAGATTTAATCTCTCACCGTCGATGAAGTCTTTGTTGAGAGAGAATGTTGCAGCTTTTGCTGCTGGGTTTCGTGCTAGCATGAAGCAGAAGAAGCAGATGCAAATGCAGTCTGATACTGGTTGCAATAGCTTGTCTTGCACAGCTGCTGCTACCTGTTCAGAGACGTGTGAGCAGCCACGTAGCTCGGGAAGCGAAGAAAGTGTAAGTTCAGTGCTGGAGAAATTCCGGGATCTGAACCTCGATGATGACAGTGTTGATTCATCAGCACCTGAGGAGCTAAAGGATGATGTTTTAATAGGGCTACTTCGTCAGGTTCAGGATCTCAAGAAGCAAGTGAATGAGAGGAAAGATTGGGCTCAGAAGAAGGCAATGCAAGCTGCCCAAAAGGTCAGCGATGAACTGGCCGAGCTTAAATCATTGAGGAGTGAGAGAGAAGAAACTCTACGGTTGAAAAAGGGGAACCAAGCTCGCGAGGACTCTGCTACGAAAAGATTATCAGACATGGATAATGATCTTAAGAAAGCTATCTGTCAATTTACAAGGGCAGATGCGATAGCAAAGACACTCCAGAAGGAAAATTTAGAAATCCGGGCAGAAATAGAAGCTTCCAAGTTAAGTGCATCGGAATCGCTCACATCGTGCATGGAGGCATCAAAGAAAGAGAAAAAATGCTTGAAGAAACTTGTGGTGTGGGAGAAGCAGAAAATGAAGTTGCAAGACGAGATTACAGCTGAAAAAGAAAAGATTAAGGCACTCAATAGGGATTTAGCTCAGATCTTCCAGGAAGAAAAAGAATACGAGGTACCTAGAAATGCATTATCTTCGTTTGCACACCGATATATCCTCTGGATCTTCACAAATTGTTACACTTGAAAGAATCAGTGTTGATTTTAGAATCTGTTCCGAGAATTAATTTACACCTCCTGATACTTTTTCATGGGGCAGGTCTTTCTTTCTTTGCTGCTAGAACGTTAGCCTATTTTTCATAATCGTTTCGTCTTGGTAATATGTATTTGCAGGCGAAATGGAGGCAGGAGCAGAAAGCAAAGGAGCAAGCTTTGGCACAAGTGGAAGAAGAACAGCGGTCCAAAGAAGCAACGGAGGCTAGCAACAAGAGAAAGGTGGAAAGCTTCCGGTTAAAGATAGAAATAGACTTCCAGAGACACAAAGACGATCTCCAAAGACTGGAACAAGAGCTGTCTCGGCTCAACAAAGGCTCTTCCACTGACTCAAGCCTCCAATCCGATAACACCTCCGACACAAAGGGGAAATCAGACAAGTCTGCAATGTCAAAGCTGCTTGAAGAGCTGGATAGGCTTGATGGGTCATATGAGAAGGAAGCAAACAATGACCGGGAATGTTTGATCTGCATGAAAGACGAGGTTTCGGTTGTGTTTCTCCCTTGTGCGCACCAAGTTGTTTGTGCGAGCTGCAGCGATAGCTTCATGGCGGGTGGCAAAGCGACCTGTCCTTGTTGCAGAGCTCCGGTTCAGCAGAGGATCCGCGTCTTTGGAGCAACTTCGTAGTCAAAATACTTTTTTCACAGTATCAGTTTCATAATTATCGATTCCAAGTCGAAACCTGAAAGAATATAAACTTCAAGTATGCTTTTTATTCCTTTAATATTCAAAGTATATGTGAAACAGTAAATGAATGAAACCAAGGCATAGCAACACACCACTCTTCTTCAGCTTTTTATCCTCCTAGATGCTTATCAAACTCGCACCATTTTTATTGATCATCTCAGTAACACACCACAACTCAGCAAAGCCTCTTGTTGGACAACACCATACTCTTCCCTTCTGAATACAGCCCAAAACAAGCAAGAGCAAAACATTAGAGCATGCAAACAAACTGTTCTATAATATCCCGTTATGATGAGGAAACAAATATAACAATACCTTTTTCTATCATCTTCGAGAAACAAAATATATCAAACAAATCCTTCATACGTCCCAAGAAATTTTATAGTACCAATTGGCTTGTAAATTACACGTCAAGAAGAGTTTAGATGACAATTTAGGCTTTCCTTTTCCTTCCCAACAATATTTTACATACTGAAAAAATAATTATTGCCATCAAATCCATTCCTTTAAGTTAACCAAGAGAAGTATCGGTAGTGAGGAGAAAATAGTTAATTTGATTTAGTATCCGCTTGAAAAATATTATGGGAATAAAGTCAGAATTTGTTTTGGTAAACCATAAAGAAAATGAATTTAATACAATCTATAATGAATAGTAACTCTATGATACATGTAGATTATTTGTACAATCTCCTCAACTGCTATGACTCACTAAAGGTTTGCATAATCCTATTGTTGGAAATCGATTCAGATTTCTATTGTGAAGTTACTTCATTGCGGTGCGGTTGCGCCACTTCAAGGAAGCACATAATGCAATCAATAAATGTGATACAACTTGTACAGTGAAACAGAAAAAGCTTATAGTTTCAAGCCTATATTTACGGGTATTTATTTCTAAAGGAATTCCAACGTGGTTTCAAGACACTTTAGCATAAATGCAATTTTATTTCAGACATGGAGTCAATTTGCATTTAATTATTCCACACTTTAGAATTTGTTTTCTCGATTAATGTTAGAAACTAGTTTAGTAATGCAATCTTGAAAGATGCCTACAAAAATAGGGATATATACTAATCAAAAATTTACTTCCATTCCTGGCGTTAGTATAATTTTTAAAATATTGATGTCGATGGTTTGAAAATTATAAAATATAAAGATATATAAAAAAATTTATGTGAATTTAGTATCATCGATTTAAATTTTGAAACATTCTGGGTATTTATTATGTTAGCAAAACTATAATTTAAGATTAAATTAATTTCTTTTTTTTTTCTTTACTTTAGCAAATTTTCTTCGTCCAGTTTTATGCTATTTTTTTAAATTTATTATTAAATAATAATATTTGTCATAGTTACGAGAAAAACGGTTTTCTCCCAGCGAGGAAAAAAAAAGAACGGGTTTCCCCCATTTGTTATTTGTTTTTTAATTTAATTTTTAATGTTTTTTATGCAAATTTTTTTTTTCTTCGGAGGCTAAAAGAAAGACGAGGAGGAAGAAGAACGAACCAGCATTATATATCAGCAGAAGCATTCTCTGCTCTTGAGAACCTCGCAGCCTAACCAGGTAACAAAACCCTAATTTTTTTCGTCCCTTATGTCATTTTTAGTCCTTGTTTTTTCTCGAATTTTCCCTAGAAAATTACGAGGATGAAGATGGGAAACGCCTATCCCGAGCAAATCGAATTACTAAAAAAAGCTTTAAACGAAGTTTTTTTCGATAATCTATTCCTTAATTCCTGATTCGATTTCTCTTTTCGAAATTTTGGTGATTGATTTTATCTGCAGTGTGTTCGCAAAGTGATTGGATGAGCTTGGATGTGGAAGTGAAGCCAAGAGGAGGTCCACTCTTGTTGTTATCATCAACCTTGTCACTGTGGCCATCATGGCACAGCAACAATCTTCGCGACTCAATCGTCTCCTTACACTGTTGGACAGTATCCTTGATTTTTCGCGATAGCTCCTCTGTTAACAATACTGCATATGAGTCTGCCTTTTTTTTTATTGCGTTTCTTCGTTTTGATAATGTCTTTCTCGTTTATTGCCTTCGTATCCTAATCTTCGAAGACAGTCCATGTTCTCCTTGATTATATTGTTTCGTAGCTGGTTCAACGCAATCTACTCGGCTTACTGCAGCCAGGCAGATCGGAGATATTGCAAAGTCTCATCCTCAGGACTTGAGCTCTCTTTTGAGAAAGGTAAAGTCTCATCCAATTAATGGGGGTTTTAGGGCTTGGATTTCGTTCTGGGGTTTACTTTTGTATGGTTAGGGTGTCTGATTACAGAGATATAGGGCTTTGGTTGATTGTTATACTGATGAGTGATGGGAATATAACTGAGATGCCTATGATAGTGCCAGTGGAAGTTTCCTACATTTGTTTCCTTCTCTTTGGAAATAGTATTTTTTTTTTCTAGACCTACTATTCTGCCAAATGTGCTCAGTATAGGTGTGTATACAGAGTAGACTCGTTGATCCAGAGACTTTCAGAGATAATGAGTGTGATGTCCTGCATTATAAATCTCAAATTTAGTGTTTGGTTAAAAGGTGCCACCCCCTGTTCGATGGGTTTACTTCTTACGTTGTTGCATAGAGCTATACATAACTATGATTCCTAGGAGCGCCTCTTATTGTTTGACACCTAGTTACATTACATCTTTAATAGGCTGTTGTTAGCGTTGTTTGAACATACCCAGCAGATGATTTATTAACCCATACCGTTTCTAAAGAATGTCAAAGTTTTAGATAAAGTTAAAGGGCTTTCAGAATGGAATCTTCAGTGGGGTGACCACCTGCCTTTCCATAGTTTTAGGATTTAACTCGTATTTCTAGAGTTTCTGTTATTGAGGTCAAGCTTTGTGAGGACAGCTGATCTTATTCATAAAAGAATATTTCTACTCATGCTAGATTTTGTTTTCTTGAAACCTTGTTTCTTTTGCTTTTTAGGTATCGTATATCTTATAATATTCCGTCTAAGCATTAGATATTAGTTTTACATCTTTCTAAACTGCTAAGTTGTTCTTTATAGTAGATTTTTCTATTTGTTCCCTTGACTTAAATCTGTTTTTCCGGGAAATAGGTTTTGCATTACCTCCGTAGTAAAAAGTGGGATACGAGGGTTGCTGCTGCTCATGCTATTGGTGCCATTGTTCTGAATGTCAAGCATACTTCATTGAGTGAACTCTTAAATTCGTTGGCAACAAAGTTGGGTGAGGCCGGGATATCTGGTAATGTAGATGAAGTGGTGGCTTCAGGAAATCTTCAGTCCAAACTTCTAGCAAATGCTCCCTTCAGAAGGTTATGAATAGATCTGTTACCCAATTCATATGCTTTTTTCATCTACCGTTAAGGCGTGTGTCTTTTGGTGTCGTAGTCATGTTAAGGTTTCCCAATGTCTTTTTGATGCCTCTAACTTTTGACATGTGTTAACAGCTTTGAGATGAATAAAGTCTTAGAATTTGGCGCTTTGCTGGCGTCTGGTGGACAGGTAATTCTATTATTTACTATTGTAGACTTGTCTAGGTCAGTCTCTATGATTTCAGCCGATCTATCTCCGGTGTAATTTCTTCATTGATGTCTTGACTATAGGTCTAGGCAAAGATCTTCGTGGAAATTACAGTATTGTCAGTCATAAATTGTTTGGAATAAGTAAGCCACTGGAATAATATAAAGTTTGACGGAAATCTGGTTAGATTCTTAGAAGAGTTTTATGTTTAACTAAGTTCTCTTGGCATCGAAGAAAATATGTTAGATAGTCGCTCTTTTTGACTTCTCGTAGCTTTTGTTATTTAGGATCACATCCTTAACATGATTGAAAGTATAAGCGCTGTTAGAATTTGTTTCTTACAGTTTTATTATTTGGCCTTAAGAAGTTCTGTTACTCTGTTTGTAGCTAACCTTACTGCTGTTTCAACACAATCACTTGATGCAACATGATACCTTGCCCACGTTCTTCCTTTTTTTTTCAACCTTTGGTTTAGGAAGTATGTGAAACCTTCTGCATGCTCCTTTTATCCTTACCTTTTTTACGCCTCATACATTTCTGTTTTTTCCTTGACATATGTTGCAGTCCCTTTGGTACAAAAAACATAAAATCAGATGATAGCCAAATTATTAGCTGTTTACTGAGAAACTCTATGTTGCAGGAGTACGACATTTTGAATGACAATTCCAAGAATCCAAGGGACCGAGTGGCTCGTCAGAAAAAGAATCTCCGGCGACGTTTAGGTCAGTAGTTCCTTGGGCTTGTCTTCGCTTCTATTAATCAATATCATGGTAGTGTTATGAATGATCCAATTTAATGAATTGCGATATACCAGGCTAGTATATATGTATATTTTGAAAGCCTGTATAGCGTAAACCCATTCTTCTATGTCTATTATATCAACTGTTGGTTCTTCTCAATCTTCGTAAAGTAGACTCTGTATGCACTAAAAACTATTTTGTTTTACTAGATTGATGCATCTTTTAAACAGACGTCTGACAATATATAGAACAGGTTTGGACATGTGCGAGCAGTTTATGGATGTCAACGAAATGATTGGAGATGAGGATCTTATTGAAGAGAAGTCTAATGTTCATGCAAATGGGGTTGGAAATAGATTATACGCAAACTATTCTCCACATCATATTCAACAATTTGTTTCAAGAATGGTTCCCCGTGTCAATTCTAAGAGGCCAAGCGCAAGGGAATTGAATTTATTGAAACGTAAAGCAAAAATGAGCTCCAAAGATCAAGCTAAAGTTAGCTGCGAAGGAGCAGATGTTGAGATGTCATCGTCTCATGCTTCAACCTCAAAAAGAACTCTGTCTGACTCATTGGACTCTAACAAGGTATTTGGATAATGCATACTCGTAATGATAGATAATCAACTTGTTAATTTGAGTTGTCGAACGTTAGTATTGAACATACAACTCAACTTGGAGTCTCAGTAGTTCATTGATATGCGATCCTTGGATTCAATTCTCTTTGGTGTCTAATCTCTAACAAATGTATAGTCCATACATAGGCACAAACTTTACTTGAAAATAAAGTCGCAGTTTTCCTACTTTGTTTTAGCACTAAACGTCAAGCTGTTTGAGGAATTTTCCTTACGTATTAGAATTCTAGGTGCTTTTTTTTATTTAGGCATATCATAATTCACACTGTCTTCTTTATTCTGTATATGCTACTGGAAAATTCGTAGGCAAACGTTGGTAACGAAGATGATATTGAGCCTGATGGGGATGGAAGATGGCCTTTCCACAGTTTTGTTGAGCAACTTATTCTTGACATGTTTGACCCTGGTAAGGTTCATGTACTTGTGCCGTATGTATTTTACTTTGCTTTTCACTTATTGAGTTTCTAGTAAAGCTGACCAATTATCTGATTATATGATCAGCATGGGAGATCCGCCATGGCAGTGTTATGGCTCTGAGAGAAATATTAATGCTTCATGGTGGTTCTGCTGGAGTGTCAACAGCAGAGTTTAGCTCGGATAATGGTTTTGAGTCAAAAGAAGTCTTGAATACAGTAACACGAGAGAGAGAAATCGACTTGAATATGCAGCTTTCAGAAAATGAGCTTGAGCCACTTCGGAAAAGACTTAAGACAGAGGATCCATCAAAATCATTTATTGATAACACAGTTTTGGAGGTTATGGGGAGTGACTATGATATTGATGTTAAAAATGAAAATGTTGAGTATTTACTGCCGCCAGTGCAGGTCAATGGTCAAATTGACTCCAGTTCTACGAAAATGGAACCTCAATCTTCTATTGATGCATCATCTCAGTCTGAAATAAATCATGTGGCAGAGGTTAGCAATCACTCTGAAGATACGAGTTTTGTTGAGGAAGCTGTTATCCCTAATAAGCATCAGAAAGAAAATATCGAAGGGTTGGATTTGGTTAAACAAGCCAGGCATTCTTGGATCAAAAATTTTGAATTTCTCCAGGATTGCACCATTCGTTTCTTATGTGTACTTTCTCTTGACCGGTAAGACTTTGGTACTTATCATAGATTTTCTTTTCCAGTTTTAGTAGTTTCTGCTGGCATCTATAGTAGCACGATTGTTTATTAAACGTCCTATACTAGTTGAGATTTGGTTAATCATTTCTAAATTGGTCGTTATTTTTCCCTCTATTGCAGTTTTGGGGATTATATTTCTGATCAGGTAGTTGCTCCTGTGCGGGAAGCGTGTGCCCAAGCACTTGGTGCTACTTTCAAATACATGAGTCCCTCGTTAATTTATGAGACATTAAACATCTTGCTTCAGATGCAGGTAAATGTGTAATCAGTTCTTTTTGAACTCACTCAGAACTAAGAAACTTGTTGCGGTCTCTATAAATTATAAAACGGTTTCTTAAACTTTATCATTTATATTTCCTTAGCGCCGGCCTGAGTGGGAAATTCGTCATGGGAGTCTTTTGGGCATCAAGTACTTAGTTGCTGTGCGACAGGTAAACTCCAGCGCTTGGGTGCTAATTTTAAGCTAATACATGTTTTGGAAAGCTGAAAAAGGACATACAGTATTTATAGTCTTGTTTTACCATATTTTCATGTCCGGAGGACTTTTGTTTTTTCTATCATGATATGGTAGGATTTTTTAATTATCTTAGGCTCTGTGTTACTCACTTGGCTTCTTGGATCGTTCTTTGTTTGTAGAGATGCCTGTCCAGTATTAGCTTTTCTTTCTTATTTGCCCTTATTATTATTATTATTATTGTTTTGCAGGAAATGCTCCAAGATTTGCTTAGCTATATTCTTCCGGCGTGTAAAGCAGGGTTGGAGGATTCTGACGATGATGTGCGAGCGGTTGCTGCGGATGCACTTATACCGGCAGCAGCTGCTATTGTTTCTTTGAGAGGACAGACATTACTTACCATTGTCATGCTACTGTGGGATATCTTGCTTGAGTTGGATGACTTAAGTCCATCCACCAGCAGGTAAGCAAGTGATAAATTTATTCTTTTCAGTATCCATATATGGTTAAAAACTTTGAAACCAGTATACTATTTCTTGCAGTGTTATGAACCTCCTGGCAGAGATCTATTCTCAAGATGACATGACCCTTGTGATGCATGAGGAATTATCAGTGGGGGATGAACAAAATATTGACCTCAATGGAAGGGTTCATGTCGAGACTATTAGAGAAAGAAGAGATGTCAAGGAAAGCCCATATGCATTATCAGCTTTAGCCCCTAGGTTGTGGCCATTTACGAGACATGACATCACATCAGTTCGATTTTCTGCTATTCGAACTCTGGTAGGTTTCTACTACTTGTTCTACAGTAGAATCGCTCAGTGCTTTCTGCCTATGTTTGTCGCTGCTTGCATGAATACATGTATCTTGTGCCTTGTGTTTCTTTGGCCTATTAACTTAACAGATGCAAATCCCTTTTGTTTACTTCCGAATACAGTTTTCCTTTATGTTCCATTCATATGCTTACCACTGGTTCCTAAATTCCCCTCTGGCAGGAGCGACTACTTGAAGCTGGATGCAGAAAAAACATTCCTGAGCAGTCCAAAATTTCTTCTTGGCCATCGTCAATATTAGGGGACACCCTGAGAATTGTCTTTCAGAATCTTTTGCTTGAATCAACTGAGGAAATTCTGGAGTGTTCGGAGAGGGTGTGGAGGCTTTTGGTTCAGGTATTTAGTAATGATGTGTTGCTTTTCTATCAGTACATACCTAATTTTTTTCCTACGTTTTTTTTCTTCTACACCTTTTGAAATAGATACTTTCGTTCTTGGTTTGCATTGAACTTTATTATAGAGTAGCTTTCCAATTTGCATGGTCATATGTGGTATTGCAGATGTAAATTTTTGACATTAAGTCACAGGACAATGGGAATGTTTTGAGAATCATGTGAATGATTCCAAACGAATTTGGGTCATGTAATGTAGTCACCTGAAAACGTGTTATTGTTATTACTTTTTTGTTATTTTGAGGTTAAGTGTTTAGACAGCCTAATTTTTTTCGTATTGGACCTAGATCTCTCATGTCACTTCTTATTCAGTGCCCAGTGGGAGATTTAGAAGAAGCTGCAAAATCATACATGGCTTCGTGGATAGAACTTGCAGCTACTCCTTATGGCTCAACATTGGATGCTACAAAAATGTTTTGGCCAGTAGCACCTCCTCGTAAGAGTCATTTTAAAGCTGCTGCTAAGATGAAAGCTGTCCAACTTGAGAGTGAAGCTTCCAGCATTCTGGGCTTTGATTATGCAAGAAATTCTGCTTCCCTAGAAAAAAATGAAGATGCTTCTGCCAGGTCCACTAAAATTACTGTCGGCTCTGATATGGAGATGTCAGTGACTCGCACCCGGGTAGTTACAGCATCTGCGTTAGGTATCCTTGCATCCCGGTTGAGCGAGGGTTCAATGAACTTTGTGGTAGATCCACTGAGTAGTACTCTTACTTCTTTGTCCGGTGTTCAGCGCCAGGTATGCTCTCTCTCTTTCTCACTCTCACTCTCACTCTCACTAGACGTCTGTTGCATGTTTCAGACTAAACCGCTGGCTTTGCAGGTTGCGTCCATTGTGCTTATCTCTTGGTTCAGAGAAATCAAATGCAAGGTCCCTTCCGATGGAAGTGGAAGTTTTCCTGGTTTTCCTAGTCCTCTTAAAAAGTGGATGCTAGATTTGCTAGCTTGCTCAGACCCTGCTTTCCCTACCAAAGACATACTACTTCCTTACGCTGAGCTCTCCAGAACTTACACTAAAATGAGGAATGAAGCTTCTCAGTTGTTACATACAGTTGAAAACTGCCATTGTTTTGATAAGTTATTGTCAACGACTAAACTCAATGTGGAGAGCTTGAGTGCTGATGAGACAATTGAATTTGCATCAACACTAGCTTTGTGGAATAAAGACAGTGCTGGAAATGAATCCTTAGAAAAGCAAGTTTATGAAGATGTGGAGTCATCTAGGCAACAACTGCTAAGTACTGCTGGTTATTTAAAATGTGTCCAGGTATATTAAAATATATTTGAATTTTTTCATGTGATATTTTAAATCTTTGGTCTGCTAGATCGATACCTTTTTTCGACACTGAACCTTTTTAATCCGATTTCCGGACTGTTCATGCAGAGTAATCTACATATCACAGTCACCTCCCTGATCGCTGCCGCCGTTGTTTGGATGTCAGAATTTCCCGCTAGACTTAATCCAATAATCTTGCCACTGATGGCTTCGATTAAAAGAGAGCAGGTAGCAACTGAAGTTAAATGTTTGTTTTACCTACGCTGAACTGAACACTGACTCTGTGCTATTTCCAGGAACAAATACTACAGCAGAAAGCTGCTGAGGCTCTTGCAGAGCTTATTTCTTACTGTGTTAATAGAAAGCCAAGCCCCAATGACAAGTTAATCAGGAATATTTGTAGCTTGACGTGCATGGATCCTAGCGAAACACCTCAAGCTAGTATCATTAGCTCTATAGATATCGTTGATGATCTGGACTTCCTGTCTTCGCGGAGTAACGCAGGAAAACAAAAGGCAAAAGTCGTGTTGGCTGGTGGCGAAGACAGGTCTAAAGTTGAGGGTTTTATAACTAGGAGAGGAGCTGAACTTGCATTAAAGCATTTAAGCGTGAAATTTGGTGGTTCCTTATTTGACAAGCTCCCGAAATTGTGGGAGTGCCTCATTGAGGTTCTTGTTCCTGGAAATCCTTCAGATCAACAGAATATTGACCTTAGAATAGAATCTGTCTCTGATCCACAGCTCTTGATAAACAACATCCAGGTAAACCTAGTGAAGTGTTTTGCATAGATATGATTTTTCATTTTCTTGCGGCAAATTTATGTCCCAGAGTGTGGTTAATAAATCATGACAAGTAATTTTGATTTACATGTTAAAAAAATTATTTTTCAACCCCGGAACTGGCAGTGTTAGAAACTATTTCCGTATACTGCTATAGACAAGATGAACATTAGAAATGTATGAGAACGGTTTGCTTAGCAAACTCACTAGTTACAGTTGGTAGATGTTTTGATTTTTTAGCTATATCAACGTAATAGCTAAGATATTGGCTGTTCTACATTCCTTAAACAGACACAGTTAAGCTTATTCTTGAACAGGCACGGAGTAATTTGATGTGTTATTTAATTCTGAAGCTGGAAACACTACAGTTTGTTTCTGTAATACCTTCACAAAGAAGGGTTGTTTGTTATAAAAGTGTTTTTATGGGATGCTACATGGACACGTCTGAACATAGATCGCTTAGCAATGAACAGATTGCCTCAGTAGGTGATGTCTTGCGTGAGTTATTTGAACGTTTAGTTTTAGGGAGTGGCCATCATAGATCCCGTTGATAAAAAAATGAAGCTTGTTATTGAATATGCAGAGCCGTAACTTGATGTCTTTTATTTTATCTGTTCTCCAGGTGGTACGTTCAATAGCACCAGTGATGGAAGAAACACTGAAGCCTAGACTACTCAGTCTCCTGCCTTGTATTTTCAAATGCGTTCGCCATTCCCATGTGGCTGTTAGATTGGCTGCTTCTAGATGTGTTATGACAATGGCTAAATCAATGACAACAAATGTCATGGCAGCAGTAGTGGAAAATGCTATTCCAATGTTGGGAGATTTGACGTGCATTAATGCCAGACAAGGCGCAGGAATGCTTATTGGTTTGCTTGTTCAGGGACTGGGTGTAGAACTGGTTCCATATTCTCCTTTATTGGTTGTTCCACTCCTGAGATGCATGAGCGACGTTGACAGTTCAGTCAGGCAGAGCGTGACACGTAGCTTTGCTGCCCTTGTACCTATGCTTCCATTAGCACGTGGGGTTCCCCCTCCTGTAGGGTTGAGCAAAGATTTATCCAGTAATGCAGAGGATGCCAAATTTTTGGAGCAGCTACTTGACAACTCCCATATAGATGATTACAAGCTTTGTACTGACTTAAAAGTTACATTGAGAAGGTAATCTTCGTATTCTAGTTTAACTGAAAGCTGTTTCGCTGCTCTGCGTTTCCCTGTGTCATTCAAGGTCTCTGCTTTTTTAATATGAATTGGTCGTTTCACTGGCATTCTTTCCGTTTTTTTGCCTTGGTTTTCTCTGTTCTTCTATACAAAATTGAGGGTTTGGTTTTGTGGACAATGGTAGGACATTTGCACCTATCGTTGGTTTAAGCCGGGTAGAACTCAGGAAAAACTTCCTTGTGCTTAGCCCGGTCCTTGACTAATAGGATTATACGTATTCCATAACTTATATCAATTTTTTATAGTGTTGAACCGAACTGAGAGGGACCTGTATTGCTTTTTGAAATCTTTATTCTCGAATATTTATCTGTTTTCTTATTTCAGGTATCAACAAGAAGGAATCAATTGGTTAGGATTCCTAAAACGTTTTAAGCTCCATGGAATTCTCTGCGATGATATGGGGCTTGGTAAGACACTTCAAGCATCTGCAATTGTGGCATCTGATGCAGCAGAGCGTCGTGGTTCAACTGATGAACCAGATATTTTTCCATCTATAATTGTTTGCCCTTCAACACTAGTTGGCCATTGGGCGTTTGAAATTGAGAAGTATATCGACCTTTCTCTGCTAAGCGTATTGCAGTATATTGGCTCTGCTCAAGACCGCGTTTCTCTTCGTGAACAGTTTAACAACCACAATGTCATTATCACATCTTATGATGTGGTCCGGAAGGATGCTGATTATCTGACACAGTTCTCATGGAACTATTGTATTCTGGATGAGGGACACATAATTAAGAATGCTAAATCTAAAATTACTTCAGCCGTGAAACAATTGAAGGCCCAGCACCGGCTTATCCTTAGTGGAACGCCAATACAGGTTAGATAGGAGTGCTGGATTTCCCAGAAAATTTATACGTGCCCTTATCCTCTGAGTGATATTGGTTTCTTTTTGCAGAATAATATCATGGAGCTTTGGTCGCTTTTTGACTTTTTGATGCCTGGATTTCTTGGGACCGAGAGACAGGTAGCGCTTAATCATATTCCCTGCTTTTATGTTGTTACAGTATCAATTTTCAGGGTCACTTTTGAAAATTGTAATATGAAGAAATATTTTTGAATCGTCTTTGTAGTCATAAACGAGAAATGTGTTTCTTTATCTGGCAGTTTCAAGCATCTTATGGAAAACCGTTGGTGGCAGCTAGAGATCCTAAATGTTCAGCTAAGGATGCTGAAGCGGGTGTACTGGCAATGGAAGCACTCCATAAGCAGGTAATGCTGTTTCTGGAGTTCATTTATGGCGCTGTTATTGAGAAAATCTATGGTAACTTTATTACCTGATAAAATCTTTGTATCGCGTAGGTTATGCCATTCTTATTGCGGCGTACAAAAGAAGAAGTCCTCTCTGATTTGCCAGAAAAAATCATCCAGGACAGATACTGTGACCTTAGTCCTGTCCAGCTGAAACTTTATGAGCAATTTTCTGGTTCACATGCTAAGCAAGAAATATCTAGTATCATAAAAGTTGATGGATCAGCAGATTCTGGCAATGTGGATGCTGCGCCGACAAAAGCATCCACACACGTTTTCCAGGTATAATATTGTTTTCTGCGTTGAACGCAACATCAACATTTATATTCATTCCCACCTTTAACATTTATCAATATGGAGAGACCTGATTTATGTTTGGGGTTTAATTTTCCAGGCACTGCAGTACCTGCTTAAACTCTGCAGTCATCCGCTTCTTGTTCTTGGCGAAAAGATTACAGAGTCGGTGGCTTCTGATTTGTCAGCAATGATGAATGGATGTTCGGACATTATCACTGAGCTTCATAAAGTTCAACACTCTCCAAAGCTTGTTGCTCTTCAGGAAATTTTAGAAGAATGTGGAATAGGTTCTGATGCTTCTAGTTCAGATGGCACTCTTAATGTAGGGCAGCACAGAGTTCTGATATTTGCACAGCACAAAGTAATTACATATCGATTAATCTTTTCTAATTTCTTCCATTTTTCCGCTATGTTTGTTTCCTTAGAAGATTGTCCAAGATCTAACCATGTTAATTTATGCAGGCTTTGCTGGACATCATTGAAAAGGACTTGTTTCAAGCCCACATGAAAAGGCGAGTTTTCAACTTGTTTATTCTCACATTCTAGTTTGTTGGACTATGTTACGATTAAGCGGTCTCCTAATTTCTCGCTTAAAAGTCTTAAAACGATGAACCATTTTCCTTTATGTTGATTGTGCTTAACTTGTTTTCTGTGAATTCCATGTTCCTATGGTAATTTAGATATATCCTTAAAACTGGCATCTTCTATATGTTGCTTATCGGTTTATGCCTGATTCTTGAAAGCAGTGTCACATATATGCGACTGGATGGTTCAGTTGTACCGGAGAAAAGATTTGAGATTGTGAAGGCTTTTAATTCAGATCCTACAATTGATGTTCTGCTCCTGACAACACATGGTATGCTTTTCGACTAAGCACTGAAGTTCTTGTGCTATCTAGAGTAGAAATTGTGACCAAGTTAACTGAAAAAACTTCTTTTTCCTCATTCAGTTGGTGGACTTGGGTTGAACCTGACCTCTGCTGACACACTTGTATTTATGGAGCATGATTGGAATCCTATGCGTGATCATCAGGTAGAATGGTTTTGAAGTTTCTTTGGATTTGTGCTTGTAAGCGAAGAGGAAGAGTTTCACACCTCTTCCGTCTTATATTTGAAAGACTTGGAATATATCAGTTTTGCGCTTGAATGGATAATTATGACTATAGTGGGGTTTACTAATTCAGTGGTGAACAAAATGTGGCAGGCGATGGATAGAGCGCATAGATTGGGACAGAAGAGAGTTGTAAATGTACACCGTCTAATAATGCGTGGCACACTTGAAGAAAAAGTGATGAGTCTCCAAAGATTCAAAGTGTCGGTTGCCAATACAGTAATCAATGCTGAGAATGCTAGTATGAAGACAATGAACACTGATCAGTTGCTCGACTTATTTGCTTCAGCTGAAACTTCGAAAAAGGTAATAAATTTATTGTTGTGACTCTCTAACTGAAGAAGCAGATTTGGTATCCTCAATAATTGGTCTTTAATGTAGGGTGGTGCGTCTTCGAATAAGGGATCAGAGGATAGTGATCAGATTAGTGGAACTGGAAAAGGACTGAAGGCAATTCTGGGTAACCTAGAGGAACTGTGGGATCAATCACAGTACACAGAAGAATACAATCTTAGCCAGTTCTTAGCTAAGCTAAACGGGTAGTGGCCAAAAAACCAGGAACGTGTGTACATATTATTCAGCTCGATTCAAGAAAACCAACAATTTTGACGTTCCAAACACAGAAAAGGTTACATCCACTCTCTCTTTTGTTCAACTTCTTCTTCTCCATTTGTTTCGTGTTCAATCTTTTAGATCCATAAAGAAGAAATTAGTTTAAATCATAAAAGGAGAAAACGCGAAAAGATAGATTGGAGGTTGGAGGAGACATCGAGTCGTTCGTTTTGGCAATACGACCGGTCTAATGTTTGTGGCCGCCAAAGTAGTTTTTGTAGTGATTCTGAAATCGTGTAAATACGCTTTTTACCAGGCTTTTCTCATCTTTTTTCTAGCTTTTTTCTAGTTAGTTTATGTTTATTCTTCTTCTACTTTTTTCTGTTACCTTGTTTTTGTCGGTGTTCAACTATTGAGGCATAAAACAGATAAAAAGAAAAAGCTAATCTCTTGAGTAACTGAAAAATCTCTCAAAACCGACCTGAAGCAAGAGCTAGCTCTGCAGAATCAATAAGTTTTAGTTTTTGGCAGTTTTTATTCTGAACTCAAAAAAAAACAGAAAAAATCGAATCAACATTGTTGAAAACTTAAATGTGTAGCTACCCTAGAAACAACACTTGCCCTCTTAGAAGGAGTTGTAAGATTTTCGTTTATCTAAAAGGATAAGAAAAACAAAGCAGCCTGATCAGTAATCTGACAATATATACACGAAATTCACATCCCAAACACCAACAACAATTTTCACAAAGTGAGCCAGAAAGAAAAAGATCAGTCTTGGCAGAGAAAAGATGAGATAAGATTTGGATCACCAAATTTCATGAGCAAGTCAAGATACTGCATAGCTTCTTGAGGAGTAAGACCTTCGAGGAGGAAATCAAACAAGTCAGAGTGAGTCCCTCTCATTACTTCCAAGCTTTGATTCATCAATTTCTTCTGCTTCTCTTTCCCCATTTCTGCAGCTTCCACCATAGGCAGTAACTCTTTCTCTTCCTCTTCAAAATGTGCTTTACACATCACCTGTTTAATACAACAACACCACCTCAAACTTCCGTGTTGACAATATCTGGCTAATTTCATTACAAGAACACACACAAAAAAAGTGAAGATTGTTTTGTCGTTCTTTACCTGTAATGACTTGAAACGAGAAGCAAGACTAAAGAATTCCTCCGAACAGATTCCAGAGTCCAATACTGCAATGGATTTGATATACTCTTTGATTCCATTCATCAATGGTAATTCTCTCCCGTGTTCCTCGTTTGCGCTTTTGCACATCCCTACAAAAACCCAGAATTTTAGAGAGAGAGAGATCAATATCCAACATTCGACATAAGAAATCCGTGAATCAAAACCCAGCCCTAAAAAAATCTGTACCTCGATCAACAGATTCGAGAACAGGGAAAAGGATTCTCTCTTCCATTTGAGCATGCTCAACCATGAGCTCTTGTAGCTGCGTATAGCTCTTGGCGAATTTCCTAATCTCCATCTTCGGCGTCCCAACCGACGGATCCACCGCTCTTCTTCCTCCACGTGCCGCCAGATCCTCCGACCATCTCAACATCCTCGCGATGTGCCACAACATACTCCTATGCTGAAGCCAAATCGTCCTCACTATCAATGGAGTCGCCTCGTCGAAACCTTCTAGATTAAACTTCCAAATCATCAGCCTCGGCTCTGGAAACTTCTCCTCGATGTAACGGAGCAGAACCTCCTGAGATCCTGACACCGTCTCCGATCCGACCTGGATCGTCGGCTTTTGATCCTCCGATGGGACGAAACGGAGGTGAACTTTCTTGTGAAGGAGAGCGAAGCGGAGATAGGAAGTCACCAGACTGTTCGGTGGTCCGTACAGTCTCACTGCGACGGCGGAGCTAGCCGTCGCCGTCGTTTTCGCCGCCGTCGGAGCGGTTGGTGGTCGCTGGGCTGAAACGCGAGATGGCGCGGTTGTGGAAGAGGCTACTACGGCTGGAGGTTTGACGGCGAGGTCAACCGGAGCGATCTCAGCCGTGGATTTAGTAGAGCTCGAGAAGCAGGTTCCCATTTTGTCGGCGAAATGAAGAATCTTAGAGACGAAGAGGAAATCGAGAGAGAAAAGGTGAAAAGGAGTGAGCTGCAAGAAAATGGAGTGAGAAGATGTGGAAAGAGATGAGACACTGAGGCGCGTTTGTTGAGAAGAAAAAGGTGTCACGCCATTATCAAACGCCAAAAGCTTAGGAACATGAATTTAGTATTCCCAAAAATCGAAATTTAAATAACATTTTTTTTCTTTCTCATACAAAAACAAAAGAAACCAAAAATTAAAAATAACATTTCGACTCTTTGGGACTTTGCGTGATCACAGTCATAGTCGTCGTGACTACACAATTACGTTAATGCTGCTGAGATTTGTTTTTGATACAATTGTTTTAAGCAAGTGACCAATTTAGAGAAATATATTTATGTTTTTATGTTGAGTCGTACACATTCTGTATGAGACAAAAAAAAAAAGAGAGGAAGAAATAAATGTTTTCCTTTTTTTGTTGAGATTGTTTTTTTAAGTGTTTATGCAAAACGAAATTTCCTTTTATAGTGGATAAAGAGATCTTCGTAATTAATTCAAAAATGATATCTTCTTCTTATTATCGATTTTGTAGGATCTCCCTAATTAATGTGAGATGCACATCCCACATCTAATTTATTTGGTGCAGAATAAATGAATCTCATGCATGCATTTGACAATTATTGTGAAACGAGTGATCCTAGAAAAGATGTGTTTCAAAAATCAAAACGTTGTTTTTATTGGTCATCATCATTCAACAATATTAGGTTTTTATAATGATGTTGGCATTCACATAAGTACATTTCTAAGTTTAAACCAGGGTTACAGACTAATGAATGTTTTGCTGAAACATAGGTCAAGAAGAGGCACTTCTACTTGAATTGCCATTTGAAGCCCATTTGGAGCTGCATTTGTCATCCTTTAGCCATAATAGATTTATTGGTTTGGATGTAAAACAAGTTTTGGAGTTTCTCAACGATGGAAACAGAGACACTTATACTTTGTTTCAAATGGTTTTGATGGTGTATATAGGCAGTATATGGAAGGATTTGAATAAGCAGACCAATTTTAACTTTCATCTACTTTCCTTTCATCATATGCTACTTTCTAGACAGAATTTTCATCAGTTTCCATGCGGTCTTTTTTTGTCAATGTTCATAAACTAAAAGCTTCACTCAGATCAAGGTTCACTCCTATTCATAAATATAATGATATTAAGTTATTAACTATGTAAAGTATATCTAAATGATTATAGTTATTATAAAATCTGAAATAGTTAAAAACACAACATAACAACAAAAGAAAAGAAGAAAATACGCAAAAAATATTTAAATGAAAAAAATATGTATGAAGTTGCTGCATGCCAAATCAACAGTGAGAAGAATGCGAATAGGAAGTTTGGGATTTGGTGAACATCTATGTTCCTCATAATAATTGCATAAGGTCATGGGTTAAGTCAAACCACTTCAATTATGCCATCAGCTTATAAAAAGGCCTAATTTTTAAAATAAAAATAAAAATAAAAATGGAGAGTACAAGCATGTGCTTCCTCTGTTTGGCCCAAAGACCGGCTGTGTATACAGACATACAGTAAACTCTATTTGCTCAAAAATCGTTATTTTCAGTTCATTTTTGTTCTAGTTGTTCCCTGTTACCCGTAAACGATGCAAATGTGCGGTCTATTCCTTTAAAACTGCAAATATTTAAGTTCAAAGAAATTCTATCTATTAGAATGGTTTAAATATTTAGGTAGAGACAACGTATAAGGGGATAATTGAGAAGATAAGATTTCTTTATGAAATTGATTCCATATCCGCTTTATAAACGAGAACAAAGTATCAGACATGGAGAATGACTTTGTGTCTTTTTTGTTTCGCCCATGTGATCATCGCCCCTACTTAACTCGCCTTTACGCTTCGCATTTGCTCTTTTGCTTCATCATCCACAGCGTAAAAGGCATATGAGAACAATTCAGTATATGCTTTTTTAAATCCTAATCTCGCTTTAAAAAAATAAAAATAAAAATCTTGCCTGGTTTTTAACATAAAATGTTGGATTTCTTTCTTTTTTTGTGGGCAATCTGTATTTTGGAAATCTTTGATTTTGAGATATATGTCCAAAATTTGAGAATGAATTTTCAAATTCCAGGGTTTTATCAGGATTTCTCTCATGATGATATGATATTGCCAAAAAATAGCATTGATTAAAAAAAAACAAAAAAAGGTCAGTGATGAAAAGACATTTCCTTAGACAAAATCCAAACGCTGAAAATAAATGCCTTAAACCATATAACAAGGGCTACAAAAAAGCAATCGCTGAAAACAAAACACAGGCAAAAACATGGAAACAAAAAAGAAGTTTTTATGTTGTTGTATTTATAGCATTATAGATAAGCTTGTGGAAATGATGATGATGATATGTTATTATAAGTTCCAACATGTACAAACATGAGCATGCGTTTTATGTGTGTGAACAACGTGGTGACCAAACAGGTACAAACGAAACCAAACATCATGATGAGCATTTAAAACCTCCACAAGCAACAACCCAAACGATGAGAATAAAGGACAAAACAGCACCTCCCACCATCAGCTTCATCTGCAGGCTCTGTATCCACATTTTCCTTCTTAACTGCCTCCCTTGTCTCTGGAAGCTATCCGCTTGGAACTGTAGGTTCTCCGTTTTATCAACCAGAAGTTCTATCTTCTCTCCTCTGTCCAGAACCTGTTTACCATCAACAACAGAATCCTATCAAAACGAGCTGTATCGCCTCATATTTTCTCATTACCAGAGCACCTATTGGCATATAATGAAAAGAAGAATCTAGTTATTTAAAGCTTCAGAAGTTAGGAACTTGTTTAGTATCCTTCTCTACAGTTTTTTTTTTTTTGGCCAAAAAAGTGTGTTTATACCTTGCAGACAAAACCGCTATCACCTCAAACCAAAATTACAAGAGTGGCGTGCTATTATATAAATTAAAATGCCTCAGCTTGTTCGCCTTTTCCTATAACTACAAAAGCATACCTTCTCAATGTTGTCCATCATGATCCCCTTGACCTCAGTTATTTGGGCCTTCAACTTTGAAAGTTTGCTCATTTCTTCCGGATGGCTCATACAATACTGCATATGCTCCTTAAGTATAGGCCTGTTAGAGGTAACAAAATAAGGAAGAAAAGACTAAGAACATTGTTGCAATTCAAAACGATGACTGATATCAGAATAGTCATGGCTAAAGAGACAGACCCGAACTCCCTGTCAAGATTGTATGCAATGCTAAACCGATCTCCAAACAAATCATCATCTTCGTCATCATCTGCAAGAGGGTGTGGCTCATCGTTTTTTATACTCCCCTCATACCGCTTCTTAAAGTCTTCCTTAACCCGTTCAAGGAACACGAAAGGAACACTTCTTCCCGTGGACTCATCAGCAACCACAAGAAACACTGCATACAAACACAATCACAAGCATCATCAAACCAAAAGTGAACAAAAAAAAGCTTCAACTAACACACAAGCATTAAAAACTACATAAAGGCTAATAAGACTCACCAAAACCATTGTCGACAAGGAAATTGAAGGTGTGACCATCGCAAGAGTAAGTATACTTGCTGCTATTGGTGGGCAGCTTCTGTAGACATTGAACAGCAATGGTGCTAAAGTTTCCTGAATAAGGAGTATGCTCCGCTAGAACAACGGTTCCTTTCGCAACAAAGCTGTATATCAAACCCTTCTGACTCATTTTTGGAGCTCTTGAAGCCTCTAGAGAAGAAGTTAACCAATCTACAATCAGATCTAGAATGAAAATACCAGTAGATACGTAAACAAAATTGGATTCATAATCCACTAGATACGGAGAAAAAAAAGATGAATTCTGCTAGTCAATAATAGATCACTGCATCAAGCAAACAAAATCCGGAAAAAAAAGCCTAGGTGATGAACAGTAATTCGCTAAATCGGGAGACAAATTGCTGATGTATCGATGAGCAATCGATACATAATTCAGAAGAATACCACCGAGATAACGATTCTGAACCGGAAAGCATGATCTGATGCTCCGATTAAGTAAAACAAACGACGAAATTTAAAGATCGGCGCTAAGTTAGTTCCAGGGGAAAAGGACAGAGACAGGCAATCGATAGAAGGAGAAGAAGACGAAATCGAACAAGAATCAAACTCGATTATCAGTTGTAGCAACAGAACAAAGACGAGCGAGAGAGAGACTCTACCTTGCGACTTGGCTTGGTGATGAAGGATTAGGCTCTAATTCTCTGGAATGCTGCTAGAGATGTGCTCTGCTCTATATTATCGGAGACTAGTCTCTTTTTAGCCTGAGATGAAATTGCATTACTTAATGCTCTGATTAATTCTTAACTATGTTTTTTAAGGAAAACAAATACTTAAAAAACAACTAAGAGTAAAATATCGTTTGGTTTGATTGTTTTTCGGTTTATCGATTTCGGTTCTTGATTTCTTTGGAATTAAACCATATCTATTCTGGCTCATTTCAGGTAAGAATATCATATAAATTTTCTTTTTTTTTTTCGATTTAAAACTGAATAACCTTGAACTCTGTTCGGTTTACTTTCATATTTCGAATGTTTGGGTTTAGATCAGATAATACGCCGTAATTAAGTGAAAAGTGATTCGGTTTCTTTTGACTGGTTGATAATTCTTCATACATATTGTGACCTCTGTAAACTTAGTAAAAATTTATAACAATGCATACATTTTTGGATGTTTTGTAGGTGAATCATAAATGGTATTTGCTATATCCGCAAATCTCATCAGAGGATTGATAAAAACGTACACGCAAACAAAGTGAAATCTAAACAATACTATTTTATATAAAATACTTTTTTTTTTCCAATCCAAAAGATATGTGGATATTGCCACAAATTTAGATGACTTAAAATCTTTAAAAGCAGCAATCAATAGCTTGGAGTAAGTAGCACAAAAACAAACTTGCAAACACACCAAAAACATAGTGACTACACTTGTGCCTTCAAAAAGTGATCCCACACTTCTTTCAGACAATCTTTTAGCATGTCTGAAACACATTTCCTCTCCATATTTTCCTCCTGATATCGTAAACAAAACTATTGTCACCAATTCGACGAACACTATACAATTCAAAAAGCATGCTTTGGAAAAAGAAATGTTACCTTTAGTAGTTTGCTTAAGGCTTTTAGTTTGAGATAAACTTCCCTTGAGGTTCCTCCAATTCCAGTTCTAAAATCATATCGATCAGCCTCTCGGACTTGAAGCCTCAAAGTCGGGTTTATGTATGTAGTCGTTACGTTATGCCAAACGCCACAAACACTAAATCTATCCCCACATGAAGATTTCCCAAGTGGCCATTTTAATCCACCTTTCACATTTGGATCTATCACAGCTGAATCTGTCAGTTCTTTAAGATTTTTAATCTCATTCTCCTAGAAACAATCAAAGAACCATGTTTCACATTATAAACCGATACCATTTGTCCAATATTCTTGTTCATCTCATTTTCTTGGATACTGTATATAATATGGAATAGACAAAGTCAACTCACTGAGAGATTGGTTAATGTTCTTTTTGAATCAACCGATAGCCTCATGTCAAGATCTTGATCAAGGCATGATACATCGAGAATTAAGTGCCTCAAAGCATTAAGCTCAGCCTGAAGAAAAAACATGACGCAACTTCAATGTCATGTTTGAAAAAAAATGTGGGAAGTGAGAAGAGAAATATGACTTGCCTTGTAGAAATTGAGTCGTTTATGTTGTTGATCCACCATACACTTACACGAGATGGTTATATCAGGACGCGTGTTGTCTGATACCTCAATAACCAGATTCCAAACATCAAAAAAAATTCAAATGAAACCGGAGAAACATTTATAAGTGAATCTTAACCAAAAGAAAAAGCAACAACAGCAAAAAAAAGCACCTTCACGTGATACAACTCCTTGGTCTCTTCTACACAAAATCCCATCTTGGATACAACTCCATACCTAATGTTTTCGGCATAAGACTTTGGGACATTTGTATAGAATGATTTCTTTAGTTTCTCCAATCTGCTTTTAGTTAACTGACCATCTCTTTGTGTTTCTGATGAACTAGCCCTGCACCATATGATACAGTGTGGGTAAGGTTGTGTGTTCAATCAACACTCATTACACCATATATTTTGATAAGTTTGGAACCCTTAAACTCGTTTAATCAGTTTGCCAAAAGAACTGTACTACAAGAGAGAGAGTCTTGATTAGCTAGAAATTCCCAAACCAATATAATTGACCAATCCAGAATCTCTAACTCTTTCTGCCTAAACTTCATTTGAACTTGATAGCTTTCTAAGCTGTCAAGATACAATCCATTACAAGCCACCTAAGTTAATCACAATTCTCCTTCACTAGACCAACACAAGGCTTATCAGTTCTGCACCATATAATGGAGTAGTTGTGTGTGTGTGTAAGAAAATTGAGGAAAAGTCAAGAAATCATTTACCTATTGAAGACAACTTTCCCAAGTCGAGCAATCAATCTGAGATTGACATGCTCTGATCCAAAACGTAGAAGCGTCTTCTTTGCCCTACCAAATCCTATAATAAGATCATCCTCCAACTTCTCTGTTACCCATAGCCATGGATTTTCCAGTTTCCCGAGATCGCTCTTCGCTAAGATAACCAACGGTTTTTCTTCTGCATCTCTCCTCCATTCTGAAGAAACGGGGACAAGTTGAAAGTTGTTGTTCTCCTCTGAACCAACCAGAAACCATCTGGAGATGCAATCGTTTGCGTAGATTATCTTTGTATTAACATTCCTAGGGTTTTTCTTGAGTTTTGTGGGAAGAGAAGGTGGAACAGAGGATGCTCTGATTCCAACATTTTCATGTCGTTTATGTGGTGGAACGTATGACATCTCTGAAAAAAAAAAAAATCATATGATCAAGAAAATTAACATGTTTTCAACAAATGTTACGCACGGAATCTATATCGGAGTAGCCACGAGTGGGAGAAGAAGAAACATAACCATACCTTTGGATCAGCACAAAGACTAGAGAAGAGGAAACTGGAAAGACACTGAAAGTGAAGTGGAAGAGACGAGACGGTTCCGTACCTTTATTACTAGCTTTTTCTCCTTGGGAAAGTGCATAATACAGTATATCTCATTAGTTTTTTTGAATTTATATTTAGATCATTTTTAACTTGGGAGCATTTAAACTTCGATGCTCGGGAAAGTGCATGTCTGCATGATATTCAAAATACAAATTGGTCAGAAAGGTGCATTAATCCCTTGTTATGATACTTGGTGTGGTCATCTTTTTCTATACACAAATCTGTCAAAACACTAGCCATGTTTTCAGAAATGTGACTGAAAGTTTTTTATTTTAGCTTATTTGATAGCAAAATATATATCCTTGTTACCCCAAAAAACAAAATCGTTGTTGGAGAAATATATTAACTTGTAATGTATTCATTTGGTAGCTAATGTAGTTGAAATATATACAAAAACCGTGAAAGAGGAGTCTATGTCCAACCTGCGGTCTTTGAAGCCTAGTTGACATCCCTCCTCCATGTGATGTAAATTAAGTATCCACATAATTCGTGTACAAATGTAATTCTTGTGCTCTAAGAATTTGACATTTGTTTCAATTATTTCGATCAGATAAATTCTTGGCCTTTTGTCTCCCTGTTCATTAGGATGATTCTTGATATTTCAGAAGAATCTCTATTCTTTTAGAAAATGCAGTGAAAACGTTGTAACGATTAAAATAGTTGTCTTTCTAACAAAATGTACTAAAATAAAATGACGAGGAAGAAGACAATTATATTTTCATTTATTTTCAATTTTGTAGAAAAGTTTAAATGTACTTTTAAGCAAATAATTTTTGCAACCCAAATTAATTCTTTAAAACAAAAACATCATAAGAAGATTAATCTAATACAAAATATTATAATCCGTGTTCTAAAAATGGTTTAAACTGTCGTTTAGAGAGATTTTAGCCGTTAGAAATCTATGAACCATAGATGATTATTTCATAAACGTTATATAATTTTGTTATTAAGTGAATTTAGACGTTTTTAAGTAACTCAAAACTTCTATAAACACTTGTTAACAAGTATTATTAGTTGGCAAATATTTATTAGTTTTTGTTTATATTCTAGTTTTTCACTACAATTGAATCTATAACTATTAATTGCGTAAATACATGATTTTCAAAATTATTGTATAATTTTCTTTAGATTGAATTTGGTTTTGTGATTATATTTACTGTGAGGTTTTTAATATAATAAATAATTTGTTCTAGTTCATTGTATTTAATTTACTAAAAAATCTGTTAATTAAGATTTGAAAAAATGACATTTAATTACAAATCGTAGTTTTTTTTACAACTTACTACTTAGTAGATTATTATCATATATATTACTTTATTATAAAAATGGTAGACTATTCTAATTTACAAATGTTTCAGTTAGACGCTTTAGACGATATGCATTGGATTACCGTCTGTTAAGCACCAATCAATTTTGAAACAGTGGACATGTTCAGTTTGAGTAAGTTACAACTCACTCAAGAGACTATACAGCCTATTCAACGTGCAATATTTGGAATGTTTTTCTTACAGAATACATAGCTGATTGCTAAGATTTTTTGTAGAATTTTATGAAGTTGTTTTAGAAAGACAGACAATTAAATTTTAAAATCATATATAAAATTAACATTTCTTTATTCTTCCATTTCTTTTCTTTTTTTAAACCAAAACATCAATCCTCTTAGATTCTACAATTTCAAATATAGAATACAACGAAACCAAATTGAGATATTTTCATTCCAACTTTTTCTTCCCAAAATTAAAATTTAACAAAAAAAAAATCAGTAATTTCCAAAACATAAAATAATTGCCAAACATAAAACGTACAAAAAAATTAATGTATAAAAAAACGTACAAAATACAAAAATGAGGACAGCGTGGAGAGTAAAGCTATTGGTAGCATGGCTGCAACAGAAGGCCAAGTGTTTGGTCTTACAAATATATAATTTAACTCTGAGTTAATTAACCCAAAAGCCCTTTTCCTCCTCAGGGTTTTATTTAAACTTCCCCTTTCTCGTTTCCTCCTTTTGGTAAACCACTTCCCCCTTCCTCTTACTCTCTTAAAACCAAAAAAAAAAACAAAAAAATCTAAAATCTAAAATTTCTCTTTTCTCTGTTTGCTCATTTCTCAGAGTTTAATGAAGAGACCCTTAACCACTTCTCCTTCTTCTTCCTCTGTTTCTTCTTCTACTTCTTCCTCTTCCGCTTGTATCCTTCCGACTCAATTGGAGACTCAAAGGCCTAAACGAGCCAAAAGGGCTAAGAAATCTTCTCCTCCTCTATCGACTTCTGATGTTAAATCACCGAATCCCACCAGTCCTGCCTCTACCCGACGCAGCTCTATCTACAGAGGAGTCACTAGGTATTTTTGTTTTCAAATTAAATGATTGATTTTTTTTTTTCGAATTTGGTTCTTTGGATTGGATTTTTGGATTTTTTTCTTAAACTGCATTTTGATTGCATGTTTGTGGGATTTTACAGACATAGATGGACTGGGAGATTCGAGGCTCATCTATGGGACAAAAGCTCTTGGAATTCGATTCAGAACAAGAAAGGCAAACAAGGTTCTTAATTTTACACACACACAAAAAAACTCATCTTGATTTTGTAATGAAGATCTGAATTTTTGACTGATGATTGGTTTTTTTTTTTTTGTTTGATCTCAAAAACTTGGTCACTGCCACTCTCTGCGCCTGCTTCTACTCATCAGTATATCTGGGTAATTTATAATTTCTCTGATATCAAAATCAGCCGAAATTAACTGACAGACAACCAATCAGTTTCTTATAAAAAAAAACTCTAAATTTTTTTTAAAAAACTAAGTTTAAAGAGAGTGGATTTGGTCAGAAGAGGAAGGAATCTCTAACTGCTCTCACGCGTAATTGCAGGAGCATATGACAGCGAAGAAGCAGCAGCACATACGTACGATCTAGCTGCTCTCAAGTACTGGGGACCCGACACCATCTTAAATTTTCCGGTAATAATTTTTTCCAGAAATCAGATTGATGATGAATCATGCATGTTCGTGTCTTGAATTGATTGGGTGTTTAAATAAATTGGAAAAAAACTTGAGCAGCTTGAGACGTACACAAAAGAATTGGAGGAAATGCAGAGAGTGACAAAGGAGGAATATTTGGCTTCTCTCCGCCGCCAGAGCAGTGGTTTCTCTAGAGGCGTCTCTAAATATCGCGGCGTTGCTAGGTTCCTCTTTCTTCCTTTTGTCCCCTTTTTCTTTTTTCTTTTAATTACCATATGTTTCTATTGTTTTAATTTCGGATTTTTACGCCAAATTGAGAAAATATTTTTTCCTTTTCCGAGTATTTAAAAAAATCAGAATTAGAACACATAAAAAGCTGGACCTTTTTTTCCTCAATATTCTCGCTCTCTATAAAAAAAAAATCATAATTAACTTTTGTTTGCGTACTTTCCTTCTGCAAAAATCGAGATGTTTATTGTAAAAATGTGATAGTTATTGTAACTCGATTTTCACAAATGCTTGTTTTATTATGTATTCAACATGTTTTTTTTCCTATTTATATTATGGAAACTTATAAAAAATGGAAAAACAGGCATCACCATAACGGAAGATGGGAGGCTCGGATTGGAAGAGTATTTGGAAACAAGTACTTGTACCTCGGCACCTATAGTACGTACCTCTTCTACCCTTTTTCTATTTTTTCATTTTGTTTTTAGAAATAATTAATCATGTATAAAAAATTTGTTAGAAATCGTTAGCATAATCGAATATTTTTAAACTACCGGGCATAACGGATCCTTTTGTTTTTTTTATTATTATTAGTCTGCTCTTTAATTAAAAAATAGAGTGTGATAATGTCTGAACTAAATACTAAATAGAGTGTGATTAAGCAAATATTAATTTGTTTAGTTAGACAATTAGGATACTATTATGGGGAGGCAGTGGGCTTTGAATTATGCACACAGTCACGTGAGACGAGAGTTTTGACATCATGTCCCCTCACTTCAACCTTGTAATTGATTTTTATCTTTTAATCAAATCAACTTTTTCTTTTTTAATTATCTGATCCCTCTGCATAATTACCTTTTAAATTCTGCATTTTTTGTGGATCCAATACTCTGAATACAAAAATTGAGAACTCTGCAGAAAGAATATTACCAACTCTTTATTGAAAAGTAATACCATTTTTTAATTGTTTTGTTCCGGTCCTTAGATTAGAAAGGCACCTAACCTTCAACAAAGACTCAAACAACAAGTTTTTTAAAAATGAAGATTTTTGTTTCTTTTTCAAATCCAACATTTTTTTTTGTGTGGAGTAGTTCGGATTCAGTTTTGCATAAATATAGGCAGCGTTCTGTAACAATGACACATACTATTCTTTCTTTTTTATTTCTATAAAAATAAAAGAGAGAAAGGAGAGGGAGTCAGGAGCATAATTACAAATAGTAGATGTGAGAAACTGTTTAGAATAATGAATGTTACAAGTGTAAAGGCGCGTGTAGCGCGTAGATCACGTGATAACACTCTCACTTCATAAAAAGGACAAAATAGTTCAGAGGCTTTTTTTTAGGACCAAACTCGAGGTCGATCTGGTTTTTTTTTTTTTGGTTTATTAAAAGATGGTTTTAGAGTTGAGAGTGTTCTGAGTAGGACTCACGAGCCCTCACGTGCATTTTTGATCTCTACCATATCTTTCACCTTGTCCTCCGAACAAAATCTCGTCTTCTTTATTTTATTATTTTAAAAGATAAGAATATTAATATGATTGTCTTCTCTAACTTCTCTCTACTTTAAAGAAAACTATTGTGGAAATTATAAAGGTAACAAACTTGGGTACTTAATAGTGAT